TTTAATGTTATGTCTATTTTGTGACTGTAATGTAATCAGGGAATTCATTCTGGAGACATGGAATTTTGTGACTTCTGAGAAGACTTTCACAGGCTCCATGCTAATTTTTTTTTAAAACATCCACAAAAATCAATATTTATGACCATTGCTCTTCCAAAATTCTTTTTATCCCTTTTGGATAACCAACACAAGCACAATGTAATGTGTCAGAATCATTGACTGGATATGTTTAAAATATTTATCTGAAACTGCAGCCTTGTTTGTTACCTTTCAATTCATCGATACCCGGTAGCTAATTCTCTTGGGACAAGCCAGACAGAGATTGTTAAAGTCTGGCTTCAGCAATTGTCTGGATCAGACAGAAGACAATAGCTATGATTTAATTGGTTTCAGCTAGGTTAGGAATTCTCTCATAAGTAAATATAGCAGTCACAGTGGTTAGGAGATTCCTTCTGCCTTTGCAACTATTAAATTTGGGATTGTATGTAAAGTACATTTGAAACATTTGTTTTCCTTAAGTTTTCTTAATTAACATGTTACGAATGTTGAATAAAATCATGACCGGTACTGGACTGGACTCCATAACTGTTGCGTAACCTATGAAAAGTTTATTATGGTAATATACAAATCTGATTTTGAAATTTTAAAAAACCATTGTTTTATATTTATTTAAAGAGATTGTGGGGACTTCAGCATTTTACAGGGCATTCATTGTTTACTAAGGGAAAATATTATATTTTTAATGTGAAAAAAATTATTTATTGTATTGTATTAATTAATTAGGTAATCAGATCTTTATAATTATTGAAGACCTGTTCCATGTGTCTTAAAAAGATTATATGTAATACTTTTAAGATGATTTTAAAATGACAGTGAAATAATTCAAAATATTTATCCTTAGAGAGTGACTTCGTAATGCTCCTAATGCACCTGTTTGGTCTAATGAACCCAGCTAGTTTAGCAAAATGTAACTATTTTTAGGAGGATTTTTAGTGAAATTATTTTGTGAGAATCTGGTGTATTTTATTTGGCTTAAGAACAAGTCTTTACATTGTAAAAGTCTCCCAGTTAGATGTTAATACCATAGTCTTAATGGATATCATAAGTTTGGCTTTTTGCTCATGTTAGAGTCCTATTTTATCAGTCCTATGGCTGTTCATTATCTGTTCAATAGATACAAGTCAATATTTCTCCTGTTTCTAATATCTTGTATGTCACACAAAGAAGTGATTCCACCACCAAGTAATTTTAATCGCACTTATAAAATCTATGCACTTAAAATAAGTAGCTGTCTTTATTAATGGTTTACAGTAATCTAGAACAGGGGTTCTTAAACTAAAACCAGTAGTGCCAGGGGAGTGCATAAAAAAAAATTAGGTTTATTAGCTTTTTTTAATCTTTTAGGGTGCGGGGAATATGTTTTGAAATCGAGATTTTGGGGGTGGGGTGTCAGGAAATGTTTTAAAATCAAGAGGGGTTGTGGTGCTGCAAAAAAAGTTAAGAACCCCTGACCTAGAACATCTTATTCACAAATTTACTCATTCAGTGTGTACATAAGTCTCCTTGCTGTGAGTCGCCTATAGGCCAGGGCTTCTATGTGATACTGTTATCAACAGAACAAATCTAGAATCACACAATATTTTATTTACAGGACACTCAGGTAAAGCATACATGCACTGGTGACTGTTTAGGAGGTTTTGTTTGTTTTATAGTTTGCAGACTCAATTAACAAATTATTTATATTTCTCATTGATGCTTGTTTTTTTTTGGATCATGTGATTTATGTAGACCAAAATATATATATATATATATATATACATATACATATATATANTATATATATATTATATACATTATATATACATATATAAATTATTTTTTTTTTAAATATATGTTTGCTTTTGATGTGTTATTTATGTTTATTACTATTTAATTTTGATGACCCAGTGCATATATCCTTAACAGTATTTTGTAATGGAGAGTAAATTATCTATGATTTGTGATTTATGAAGAATGTAAAGCCTCCAACTGTGAGCATTTGTTTCTTTGCTTTGTTTCCAATAATACTGATGCTTTAATCTTTATCTGAATTTATTCTTGTGTCATTGAAACTGTAACGATTTGATGCAACACAATCTTTCAAACCAATACTTACAGTTACAGTCTAAATGAAATGCTATTTTTTTTACATCTTTTGCACCATCACCAAAGCAAACATTTTTTTAAATATTTTTTTTTATTGTTTTAGCCCCAGGAAATAAAATGTGAGATTTTTGTTGTTGATGCATTTACAATGGAATAGATCTTTATTTTGTTCAGTATACATTAAACAAGCACTTTATAATTGCTGTAGGTCATGCTTAAACACTTTTATTTGATGAGGATAATGCTGAAATAGTACCGGTAGGTCATCTTCTTCAATCCATAAAGTCATAGACACATAGTTATGGGAAGAAATGGGGATCACAGTGCCGATTCTTTCCTAATCATATTTACCAAAATATGTTGGGACTTACCCGGTACCTGTAATTTAGAGCTTGTATTGGATTGCGCTTTTTTTAAAAAAACAATAGAAGTCCTCAACACTAAGATTTGTGCATTAAGGCCCTCCCCACTTTGCTTCATTTATTGTTTGGTGAGAGCACTGTTTGATGAGAGCACTGGTTGGTGAGAGCGCAGGTTGGTGAGAGCACTGGTTGGTGAGAGCACATGCTGGTGAGAGAACAGGCTGTTTAAGTTATCAGATAATGGGACATCTGGCAATTGAATTTTAAACATGTACAACATTTTGATAACATATACCTACATTTATCAATTTACCATACATTTTGTTAACAAGAGGGCTTCTTATCTATTTTGATTTCCTTCAATAAAGCTTTATTCTTACTATAAGTTTATTAACAATGTAATTTATCTGCCTTTTGTAAAAATTTATTCTAAACCATTTATTATCATAGGATCTGTAGTTTACTCCTCCATTAGTTCTTACTTCATTCATGCCTGCTAACTTATATTTAAGTAACATAACATTTTTAAATATTTTACTATTGCCAGAAAAATGGGAATCCAGGCTCAATGAAATGACTGCACCATGAGAAACTGTAATTAATTTTTTTAAATGTATTGATAAATATACTCCATCTATAGGTTCGTCCTCTCACCGATGTAGTAGGATTAAAACAAGTAAAATTTACTCCATCTAAAGTCTTGTTTTATCAGCTATCGTCTCACTGATGTAGTAGGTGAAAACAAGTAAAAGTTACTTTTGGGGGAGAGCAAGATAATAATTTGAAACTTCTTTTATCTTATTTGATCACATCTATAGCAAGATTTAATTAATTTAAAAGTCTGTTGTACACTTAGTTGTATTGCGTTTTTTCAAATTTTATTTACAACAAAAACAAGTCCTACATCCAGACACTGTCGTGAAATAAAGTTGAAGTTTTGACTTGATCTCTGTTGAGCTGTAAATAAGAAATGGTGCTCCTAATATAAATAAATCGTTTTGTTAAATCATATTACATTTTCTTATATAATTTGTATATGTAATAGTAATAAGCAGAAATTCACTGAAATGACCTCTCAAATTCAGTGGTGCCATCTTGGAAGTCAGCTATAACATAAATATCATGTAAAACTCTAACAATCCATTTGTTTTAATTTTAAGTACTGGGTATATGTAAGCTTTATGAGTTATAGAGTGCTACATTTTGGTTTCAAAACTTTATATCACAAATAATAGTTCTGTATGTATGTGTCTTAAGTGTTGTGTTCAATTGGAGCGCAATATAAAATTCCCAGAATTTAGCACCAACTGGGGTTCTTATTAAGTGTGTTACCTGAATGCATGTTTTGTCAAGTAACTTTAGCAGATGGGAAGTTCATGCATTGCAGCGGCCATTGTTTGGCGGGTTAATTCTAGTACTATTATAAAAGTCACAAGACTTTCCAACAAGCTGTAAATAAGTAAATGAACATCCATTGAAAAATGACATTTTAAGCATGATCAGAACTATCCATTTATTTGCTGCTATATCTTGGGTTTCAATGGAGCTACTTTTTTTTTTATAAAACCATTCCTGAATAAAGTTTAATTCTTTAATTTTTATTCATTTAATGTAAATTCCACTGCTCCTCTACAGATTTTTTAGTTAATAATAATTTAACATAAAGTAGCAAGTTTTCATGATCATTGAAAAAAAATCATCTATTCATAGACTTTATCCAATTACAGATGCAGTTTGATGAATTGTTATGAGCAGTCTGGGATAAGTAGGGGGTTGTGTACATTTACCATTAGCTTCATTTGTCATCTTTTAATCAACCTTGCCTTTAACTTTACACAATTTGAGGGTCACTGCTTTGGTCAAGTTTTTGTAAGAAAGTCACTGCTGCTGGGTTTCAGTGGGATATTAGAAGAATTGGTTACTCCTGCTTTATATTTTATATTGCTACTTTGGCTGTCAATGCTGTCAATTGTAGTGTTATGTAAAATTTTTGTTGAAATACATTTTTATGCCATATAAATGTCATTAGGAATTATTTCTTATTAGTATGTCATATCACTTTAAATATTAAGATTTATTCTATGAGAAAATTAACTGATTTAGGAGTAGTGCTGTATTTGTGACATATCAGTGAGTAACATGCTTATATTTAGGGTTAGCTCACCTTACTGTTAAGTGAGATTTTATCACATTGTGTTCAAATAAATATTGCTGCTTCAAGACATTAGATCAGATATTTATGTGATTTGGTATATATTTCATTTTTAAAATGTGCATTTTTTAAAGGGAATATGACTAATATGACATGACTACTCTGCGCTTCCATACTTTAGGGACAGTGGTTGTTGAGAAATGCTGACTCCTTCCCTTTCTGCAACATTTTGACAAAATTCTATTTCTGATGCACTATACATGGACAAAATATTTTAATTCAATGCATTGCCATATTGTGGGTTCTCAGGCTTTTTATTTTATGTATTTTGATGTAAATTTTGTGATTAAAAAAAAGTATATGAATTGATTTCTACATGGTGTGTCAGTATCCTTTTGTATCTTGTAACTTATAGAAAATCGACACAGCAAAAACAAATTGACAATATACGTTGCAAAATTATCTTTTATTTATGTTTCATTTATTCACACATTCGTTCCTACTATGACTATAATATTTAATAATAATGAATTTCATGAACCTATTAACAGTGAAATGACTTGAGCGAATGATAAGGCTATAATTAATTCAAGGTTATGGGTGCAAAGCCTTTTGATAATAATAATGGAGAAAAATATGAATATTCGGATTCTGAGCTTAAAGAAAAAAAATTCATTGAATTTCTTGCCCCAAAACTTTGCATTAAAGTCTTGTTATTTTTGTGACTAGGTTTCTACTGGTTTTAAAAACAAGCAGATTGTGTTGCTAAGCAATATACAGCTATCAAAAATGACAATTTTTTTTTTATATTTGATCATAAGATAGAAATTTTTTAATTAAATAAAAAAATTTAAGCTTTTTAAGTGTAAGCAAAAATTCTCAAGTAGTTTAAATATATCCGGTTTTAAATTACAACAGCATGAAAGAATTCCTTGTTCTATTAATAGTACTGTCAATATGAAACAAATGGAAGAGGGGGGGAGGGGGACACTAAAAAAATAATATCCATTCAAGGTCAACTAATGGTGCCTACAAACTAATTTGTGATGCCCATCATACTGAAGTAATAGTAATAGGCTTAGCAAATTTATTGTCAAAATGTAATTGTACTCAAATATTTATATGACAATACCAAACTAAACTTTAAATACAAAAATAATAATAAATTAAACTTTCATGATGCTGTGGTCTGTGTGCACAAATCATGAATTAATGTTCACAAGACCTTAAGTTGATGCCGGCCACCATGACACTAGAAGGAGTTGGGTGCTAAAACGTTGAGATCTTTTTTTGTGATTTCCACTCTCTCCCCCTCCGTGGCTTTAGTTAACCAAGCCCCAAACTGTCTGGTGCGGGACAGGAAGCCGAAGCCCTGCGGTTTCTCAATGTGAGTGGCACCATCAGCAGAATCTAACAAAACAGGGTTCTGGACCCTTTGAGCTGCTGAGGTGAGCATAGCATTGTTGTCAAGTTTGTTAGAGTCAAGTTTGTTAGAGTCTGTCAGTTTTGCTACACTCATGTCATTGCTCTGTTGAGCAACATATGTGGCAAGTGCACTCGTGTGTTTCTCAGGATCCACACTGGAATCTGAGTGAGGGACACAAAAACTTTTGCTTTGGTTGAAGGTTTGGAGGCTGCTTAGTCCGAGGAGATTTGGTGTGGACTGTCTGCGGGGCAGGCATGGAGCTCCAGATGATCCAACCATTTTGGTGTCGTGTGGTGGGAGCGAGTCGTCCTTGCTGTATGGGGAGTAGTTGCTGTAAAGATTTCTCTGCGTGTTTTGTTTTGGCAAGATCAGCTTTGAAGAATCTGATACTGTGACATTGAACTTATGCAGCACTTCAGTGTCAAATGTGTCTTCTACTGGATCCCCTTGTGGATTGGAGTAGCGTCGAGTGAACAAATGATGTTTTTCTAGAGCTGACTGCTGCGATGTATGATGGCCAGGGTTCGGCTTACTGCTAGTATGGGCCAGAGACTGTAGAACTAGTTTTGAGTTGTCAGGAATACCCAATCGCATCTTCTGAGCTGTGAAAGACAGACATATAAAATTACAATGTTGTAACAGCTCAATGGCATGGCTATTCCCTAGGGGCATTCATACCAATTATGCAAAGATTTTAAGATTGGCCATGATCCAAAATAAAGAATATTTTTAACTGATTTCCTTAATGTATTTTTACAGAAAAAATAATTTTAAAAAACTATTACTTTTGTCAAAAAAATTTTGATTCCTGAAGGTTTGTCATTTATTTGATAATTTAATATCAAACAAAGATTGAATATAGTTTTGTCCATATATATATATATATCAAACACATCTAGCAGTACTCTTCAAACACAATAGAAATTTCTTTAGGGATATATATATACACATACATACACACACACACATTTTCATACATATACATACATATATATATGTGTATATACACATATATATATAGATATATACATATAGACCTGTTTACTCTAATGATTTTGGCGTACGATGTACGATTTTAAGATGTATACATGTTTATACTGTAGATTTATTATTATTTTACAATTAAGATAATGTTTTAAAGGATTTTGTGATGATATTGTAGGATTTGAAGAGTTTGTGGGTAAACAGGTATGTATACACATACGTATATACATACATATATACATACATATATACATACATATATACATACATATATACATACATATATACATACATATATACATACATATATACATACATATATACATACATATATACATACATATATACATACATATATACATACATATATACATACATATATACATACATATATACATACATATATACATACATATATACATACATATATACATACATNTATATATATAAGAGGTATAAAATTATTTAAAACATGATGATGAAATCCAGTAGAAAAGCACAAAGATGAAAGGCCTGTGGGTTCATCCAAAGTACAACAACCCAGAGTGTTAGTTAACTAGGTCAAGTCAACTTGGCTTGTTTGTAAACAAGAATATGATGAAATCAGGGGGAAGCAGGCTTAAATCCACAGTAACAGAATAAGGTAGTCCTTTTGTATGGAGTTACTCATCAGTTACTTTCAGCTGACATTTATTTAACTTTAAGAATATTGGGGGCTAGCTTGCTAAATATTTTATGTTAGTCCTAGGGTCTAAATTATTGCATGCTCATTACACATGTATTCCATGGCATGGGGAAAAACAAATGACTGCTAACCCAAAATTTACATAAATGAATTCAAAGTAATCAAAATATGGAACTAGGGCTGAGATAAACTAATATCAAATACATATATTTAACAACATCTCAATCTCAGCATTCTCTTTCTCTCTGACATAAAATTTAATGGCCTGATGTGGTTATTAAAAAGGTTAGTAAATAATAACCAGACCACCATCTCATGACTCAGGCATATTTTCTATACTAGACTGACACAGGCCCCAGCCCTATTGCATGGCCCTATGCCTCGCCTATGCTTACATTATTTGGGGGCCATAACATAAGGCCCATGTCCTGCATATTAAATCATATTACTGGTACTTAAAATTTAAGCATATTCGTTATAAATGAAATGGTAAATTTTGATTTCCCGATATATAAGTATTCAGTATACATTTTTTCAATGGCATGTGAATGTGCCATCTAGTAACAGTGTTACAGGTATTAAAATAAAAACACCCATGAATACGAAATATGAAAAAAATGATTGAAAAATGTTCCCTAACAATACTAACATAGTTTTCCCTTAACGCAATGCCCAAACTTCCTGTATCAGGTTGTGGGTCCGTTTGTCAATTACATTAATAATGTCAGTCAGTGGGGTCATGTTTACCATCTGAATATAATTTATAGCTCACCCATAAACTAATTCTGAGCTTTCTTAAAAAGTTTTTGTTTTTTGTGTTTAAAGGCTACATTTACATGATAATTTGGGCTTTAACTTTGTAAAAAAAAAACACTCAGATGCCTAACATGACAGGCTAGAGGGATTCGAGAGTAACTTAATCATTTCTTTCTAATCACGTAGCTGAAATAAATAACCACACAAAAATCATCAAAATATTAATAAACTGCATTGATATGTTTGATATGGATTTAACAGGCAAATGAGGTTATGAGTAGTAGTAGTAGCATAGAAAAATTTAATTAAATAAGACAAACGATATGCCACGATGAAGACGAACACGAAACAGCCATGTTGAAATTGATCAAATTCAAATATATTATAGAACTCAAAGTGAAAATCTGCCCTCATTTGGTAATCCATGGTCCATGATGAAATCCATAATATAAAAAACAAATTTAACAAAGCTAATAAATGAAACTAAGATGTCATTCATCTGTTTACCTGAATATTTCAAAATGTCAACCAAGCACAACAGCTACTCTGGGTCGCAACAATACCTTACGGTGATCGATGTGCGCAACTAGTGGTCAAGGCGGCTCAATGGATGAGTTGTGTCCACTGGACACACCGTCTCCCTCCCCTACCTTACCCCGCGACTCGCGCTACACTAGGTCAAAGGTCACGACTACCAGCCACTACCACCAGCCACTACCACTTCTGTCTCCCTCTCTTGCATCATCACGTGAGGGGCGCGTGGGAGAAATATGGCCCTAGGGGTGCTGCGGCCTGGCTCCCAACCAATCACCAGGGTCTGAGAAAACTTTATTGCAAGGCTTCTCAAGCGATAGCCTGCCCGCCAATGGGAAATCGCCAGGTTCAGTGCGAGCCCCGCTAAGTTCGAAGAAGGCCCTATGTTAATCGATGCATGGCAGTATGAGGCAGGGATGGCTACAAACTCTTATCATTGCTATATCGAATGGCTACAAACTCTTATCATTGCTATATCGAATGGCTACAAACTCTTATGTCACATTCATTTTAAGAATGTACTAAACAAATGTCACGAGGCTCACAGGGGCAATGGGTCACAAGCCTCGCAGGGGCAATGGGTCACAAGCCTCGCAGGGGCAATGGGTCACAAGCCTCGCAGGGGCAGTGGAAGGAGGGGGGCCAGTGGGTCTAAAACACCGGATCGCCGAAAAGTGAGAGTGACTCTTTGGGTTGTGCACAAAAAAATAAATGAAAGGGGTTGCACGAACATTGGAAGTGACAAGACAAGTTGCATGGACATCGGAAAAAATTTATAGAGTCTGGAGACTTGAGTTTTCCCATCTCGCCCTATTTATATATTATGCAAAAAGACAGGCCACGGGACATTTGCCCCTTTCATAGGCCTCCATTCCCAAGAATTAGTTTGAGAATCTCCGCGTTTGGCCTACAACACCGCCATCACAAAGACACACTGACATAAAGACCAACTAGTGAAATGGGTGACACGGTAGAAAAATAAATGGCCCGGGGCAAGGGCGAGGGTGGTATTGGAAGTGTAAGGTCAATCATACACAGCATTGTATTCGACCACCCCATGGGGGGATTTGGGGGGGGGCGGAGGGGCCAGTCACATGCTCCAAATCCGCTTTTAATCGCTTCCCTGGCCCCCAAGGCACCAGGAACTAGGAGTTGACCAGCTGGCTGGACAAAGGTTCATGCGGCCTAAACACGTCACCACTAAGATCGTGTTCTGCAACAGCAAGGTTACAATGTCCGTCATGGGCATGGGAATGTAGATTTAGCAACAAGGGGTTAGGGTCGGAGCAGTGATGCTCCTACCATCAACATGAAACCAATTTTGGTAGTCACATTTACCAATCTAAAATTGAGATATTATTAGACCTATTCTATTTTTTATTTATAAATTTCCGAAATTATCATTTGTTTGAAGTACATAGTCTAAATATATATATTTAATATCATGCTTTACCAATCTCCATGGATGTACCCTAATTATGCTTTAATAAGATGACCCATAAATGATTTTATTGCTGTTGTTTACGCAGCTATTCCAGTGCTCATCTTCACACGACTGACGTCAATGGTAACATTAACTGGATTCCAGCTGGTCTTCAACTTTCTCTATGACGTCTTTCACACAACACGTCACTTTAAACGGGGAAACATAAATCCTTTTTATATACGCAAACTATGTCCTGGTACTAGAGACAATAGAATAATAACGTAACAAAAGCCATCAAGGTATTCAGTGTCAGGGCCGCTCAAACAACAAATAAATAGATCCTCCAATGTCATCGTACATACTTATAACTTAACATGACCGATATGGACCAGTGACTTGAACATTTACTCAACCACACAGAAGTTGTTGATATAAATAGTGAGATAAACTTCTCTTTCAATAAAGGAAACGGGCAAGTCCCCAATAGGACAGACAAAATCATTTCAGTGGGGGAATGTGAACCCCGACTTTATTGTGAACATATAACAGTACTTTAATCGAATGTGACCAGTCTAGTGGTGACGGGGGTGATCAGTCTAGGGGTGACTAGGGTGACCAGTCTAGTGGTGACGGGGGTGACCAGTCTAGGAGCACTTAAGATAACAAGCTGACGAAAGAACACTGTACATTTTTACGTCTGTATAGTGAATAGGGAGGGGATGGGAAGCAAAGCCGGGTGACTCAGAGCTCGACATGGGTGCTCACAAAACAGATACGGGGAAATGGATCCAATCCGCTTGTATGTGCAATTTACGAAAGTACAACACAGTAGTTTGTAGGTCTTTACTTTAGTTTTCAAATCAACACGGGGGACAGCCCCCCCCCCCCAAACTGAATATGGTTTACTGTAACACCACACTATATGTGGCTTAACCCCCCCCCCCCTTTTTTTCCCCCACGTTTCTAACACATGGGAAAGTTATTAAAATAAAGCGCTTTTGTTGACTGCTGAAGTAAGCTGTTCAAATTGATATATATACATACATATGCATATAAATATATATACATATACAATAACAAANCCACGTTTACATTTTCTGTTTATTTTGTACAGCATGTGTCAACAAATACAGGTAGAGAAATTGTATAGGACCAACAATGTCATTATTGGAGTTAAAATTTCATCATGTAAGCAAACTTCGGAGCTCAGGGGTTCTTAAACATTTGGAATGGTTTACAACTTAATTCATCTATTGAAGATAAATGTGCTTATTTCGTCGTACCGCAAGGATAACTGTATTTCTCTTGATCACATCTGTGTACTACTTAGAATGAATGAACTGAATGAACTACTAGTGCAGGGTTTTACAACCTGTGGTGCTCGCACATCCAGGGGCGGGGAGGGGGGGTGGTGGCATTTCAGAGGGTGTGAGATGACATTTATGACATTTATGACATTTATGGGGGTGTGAGATGAAATTTATGGGGGTGTGAGATGACATTTATGGGGGTGTGAGATGACAAGTATGGGGGTGTGAGGTGGCATTTCAGGGGATGCAAGAAAAGATATATGAAAACAGAAGTTTATTACAGATATTTAAGTTATATGTACATTGGAGTTTATTACAGATATTTATTTAAGTTATATGTACATAGGAGTTTATTAAAGATATTTATTTAAGTTATATGTACATAGGAGTTTATTACAGATATTTATTTAAGTTATATGTACATAGGAGTTTATTACAGATATTTATTTAAGTTATATGTACATTGGAGTTTATTACAGATATTTATTTAAGGTATATGTACATTGGAGTTTATTACATATATTTATTTAAGTTATATGTACATTGGAGTTTATTACAGATATTTATTTAAGTTATATGTACATTGGAGTTTATTACAGTATAAATAAATTCAATATACATGTAACCTCAAATAATGTCTATAAATTTTAAGTTATATGTACATTGGAGTTTATTACAGATATTTATTTAAGTTATATGTACATTGGAGTTTATTACAGATATTTAATGCTTTTACGTTAGGTAGTAAGTCACGCGTTTATTTTTCGAGCTCTATTTTCCATATTTTTTTTTTAAATTACAACATGCAATGCTACTATGCAGGGGTTGCACGACTTTGTCAAATGAATTCCTAAGGGGTGCAGAAAATAGTAAATGTTTGGAAACCTTGCAAGTGTGATAAATGTAACACATTTTGAGAACCACTGTTCTATACCAAAAGAAAAGTGGAATGTGTAAATTAACGTAAGTATGTAACTGTAACACAAGAAACACATCTATCTAATTCTAGCCTAACGAATAAAAAAATCTCTGCAAACATAATATCAGAGAACGTGCAAAAATTGTATTATCATGTAGAGAGGAGCAACTCCAAACCTACCCAACAAAATGTTTACTGCTGACGAGAAATGCATCTTAAGATCCAGATGGGAAATTCCCGATGACCTGAACGATTCCATTCTATTAAATCTGTTACGCGTCATAAGTCCATTCACAAAAAGAGCACGGTTTAAAAAGTGTTAATTTCCAGCTGTGGCGTCTTCACACGTGCATCTAAAACAATTGACAGTTCTTTTCAGCTGATCACCACACAAACAAAACTATACTTTACTATACTGGCTATACTTCATCTATTATAATCGTTTCAATGCAAATCATGTTATCGTCGTGAAATATAGTGATTTTAACAGAAACACATGTGGTCTTTCTTCATCACCCAGATTATATACTCGGTCCCAAAGTTCCAACAACCAATGTTACGCTTTTTGTTGTTTTCGGTTTGGTACAAAATAAATTTAGGCCGAAACCGTCAGGAATCGGTTCACCGAGTTTATTGGGAGAGAGAGCATAAATAGACTGCCTCGCCTTGAGTAGGTTTCCCTCGGCATCCAGCCAATCGGATGAGAGGAGAATAATGACGTCAATGGTGTTGACATCCTGTATTTTTATTTGGGTCAATGAGTTTACGAAAAAGCCAAGCCGTTCAGTGATTGTCATGTTAATGACACCTACGCAGAGGCCTAGCGGGGGGGGGGGGGGGGGGGGGGGGGGGGGGCAGATTCCCCGGGCGCAAGCTAGTTAGGGGCGCCAAAATGTGCTTTGATATCATATTATTGGTAAAAATAATGGGTTTGAGAGTTGAAAAAAAGAAAAAAGGGGCGCTTTTAAATGGATCTTGTCCCCGGGCGCGAATCTTGTCCCCGGGCGCCAAACACCCTTGCTACGCCTCTGCACCTACGGGGTGATGTTTTCAGTACCTCTCCTGACAAGTTAATGAGTTTGTGAAGCAGAGGGAACACGTTTCGCTAAATTTGGTACACTAAAGGTTTTGGGGAAGAGTATGGTGGGTTTAACTATAACGTACATATTTAAAACACACAGTGATAAAAATTAGTAAAACCCGGAGAAGGAAAAGGGGGGCTGCAAATATAATGCTATTTATTCACTCAATTGTTTTCTAGTTCGTTAGAGCAAATACAATGAGTATACATATACAATACGTTAACATGACACAGTCATAATTTATGATGAACTCATACAAAAATAAATGGGAGATTGAATTTTAATTGAGGGCGGATACCGGTGTTGAGACCATCCCGCCCAGCCCAGCCCAGCCCACACAAAACTAATAGAAAGTCGTGCCCTCAGTTTGGACGAATGGAGGAGGGAGTAGCCTTATATTCGACATACAATCAAAGTCTATTGAAAGGTTGTTTTTTCAAGCTTCCATTGACTTTCAGCATATTAAAACGGTACAGCTCGTAACAATCATATGTTCAACTGATCGTTGTTTTAAATTAAACTTATTTTCAGCATTGTCCATTTAACTATTTATTTAAGCTTATTCATTTATTTAGTAATGTATTCCGTATCACCATGAAAACCAGGCTGTGACGTATTACGCTGCTTTCGTGGCAGTAGATCGGCTTCATCTTCATACATGTTTTAAAAGATTATACATTAAAATAGTTTTGCTTATAAACATTTGCAGATGAAATTCGTCTCCGACACTGACAATATTTTTAAACTGTTGAAATAAACAAATGTTGATGAATTGCAAATTAATAGTATCGCTAAAGTATGTGAACATTGTACATTTCATGCTTTGTACAGTTTGGCCATCGCCCTGCCGATAAGTGGGCCACCTGGTAATCGAATGAAAGATGAAGTGGTCCCAAAAGAAAGCACGACCTACACCTTATATCCTCAAGCCGGATATCGAATACTATATCGCAATAACAATGCAGTATCCGTGTTGATGTTTTATAACAGTCGCACGTTATTTTCGTTTCAAAACACGTTAACGTAGTCTGGGACACACAAAATGCCGAATATGTAGAAATGTATGGGTTATTAGGAGTATCTTGACAACGGCTTTCATCTCAAAATTAACACAGAACATATCCGAGTACGTGAAAGTCCAGTCAAACATTTTAGTGTTGTAAACGTAGGAGCACTTTTATAACCACACTGGACAACATTATTTACTGGAGACAAAATGAAGGTCTGTAAGAACACTTTGATAACCACATTATTTAATGGGGTAAATGAATGTTTGTACAAACACTTTTATTAACGCATTATTTACGAAGAAAAAAAAGGGGGGGGGGGTAATTTTAAAAGAAATTATTTCGGACTCTGGTTTCATTTTATTAAAAAATACACCCACTCCCCCCACACCAAAAAAAAAAAAAAAAAAAAAAAAAAAAAAAAAAAAAAACAACCATTACCAATAATTTCCAACCCGCTTCCCAAACGAATGCAGCTTGACCTAAACTTAGTGGCTGTAATAGCGTTGAATCAATCAATTAGCAATTTTAAACTTAACTGAAAATGTGTCATTGTGTGACATTTTGAGGATCACTTAAAGTGTGTGACATTCTAAAGATGATATTCACTATGGACCGGCAAAAAGCATGGGCTCAATGCATTTTACATACGGGTAAAGTTGAAGTCATTCTATCTCAAGTAGTATAGAGTTGGTGGCATACAATAATATACTGTATTGATATGAAATACGTGCTCTCTACATCCCTATTTACAGCTCTGTTTAAGTTTTAAAATTATTAGTTCAACTCAACGATTGTGCTGCTATATAACATATTAACCTTAGCATAACATTTAATTAAATGAATGTGTATTGGCTTACATCAGGAGAAACTCCATGACTTCAAAAGCTGCTGTGTGAGAGAGCATCTCAGCCAGCCTACAACAAGTCGTAGTCAGCATATTATTCGTGTTAATTAGGTCAGAATTATTTGATTGAACGATTTCCAAGCCACCTTGAAGAAATTGGTCACATTTTAAAAAATTCAGTACTGCGCAGCTGGGCTGACGTGCTAAAAATAGCGATTAACAGACACACCTCCAGGCCTGGCCAATCACATTTGTTCGACAGGGTCTGACCTTGGCCCGTTTCCACGTACCTGGTAGAACGACAACAATCGTCAACAACCCGCTGTCTCCGTGGTCTAAATATTGGACACACTTCAACAATGCTTTCAGAAAGTGAACAGACTTAGTTTTGGAACTATTTTCATGCAAGTAATAGAGACTTGATTGCTTCGGTACAAAATACACAGAGCTAAAACAAAAATACCACACACAAAATATGTAATGAATTGGTTCAAATGGTGGAAGGGGGTAGATCTAATTTTGGTTTAGTATACAGCACCGTATTACACACCTATTTTAAAAGCTGTCGTATTTGTCATGATGCTTAAGTTTAGTTAGCCATCTTGAATTCTTTTAAACAAGGGCACATCAACACAAATCTACATTACAGCCATGTCTGTTCAAATCTACTCAATTTACGTAATTTTTATTTTACTTTGATTCATGGGGTGGGGGTGGGGGTGTTACATTTAGAATCAAAATACAATACAAAGAACTATTTCAATTCAAGATAGACTTAATCGTGCACATCACCAAATGTCATCCACGTAGTTCACGACTGTATGGAAGTGACATCTCTAGCGTTCTTCTGCCCCTCCCCACAAACTTTTGTATAGGGAATAGTCAAATAACAACATACTAATGTCTTAAAACCCATCATAACTTAACACGTAGCTATGAACGACCTTGTCCTTTAGAGTGTCTTTTGCGTTACATGAATTAGACCATGGTAGTTTTCTAAGAGTTTTAGTTACATGGTAATAGTTACAGGTTAAGACGTTAACTAGAAGTGTAAGGGTGATGAGCGGACGAGACTGCAATCTGGTTAGGTAAAAGGAAATGGGCGTAACAAAGTATGGGAAAACATTGGTGGGGGGTGGGGGGGTGGGGGAGGCCACAAAACAACTAGAAGGGAAACCCCATTTCTCCGTATTTATGTTGGAAAATTGTTTTTGAGTTCCTTTTCCTTTGGCGTTTATTCAGTGTATCGCGGTGCTGGTGTACTGGTGGAGTTTGTATGTGGCGTTGGGCCCTGGGAGTCGATGGTGTGGTGCCGTGGGGGAGTCGATGGTGTGGGGCCGTGGGGGAGTCGGTGGTGTGGGGCCGTGGGGGAGTCAAATGATGTGGGGGAGTCAATTGTGTGGGGCCGTGGACGATGGTGGGGGAGCCAATGGTGTGGGGGCCGTGGCGGAGTCAATGGTGTGGGGCCGTGGGGGAGTCTATGGTGTGGGGCCGTGGGGGAGTCAATGATGTGGGGCCGTGGGGGAGTTGATGTGTGGGGGAGTCGATGGTGTGGGGCGTGTGAGGTTGGTGGGAGATTTTGTTCAACGTGAGTCTGTTTTCTAGGTGTGAGACTTTTGCATTACAACGTCTTGTCCAATGTAATCGAAGGCGCGAAGCCCAAACTTTGGGACCACTGGTATACGTGCAGGGAGAGGCAGTCAACAATATTAGCAGCACCCTCCTCGCCAGTTCAAGGCTGGGCCTCGCCGTGTAGTAACGGTGGCTACATATTTTATTAGCCTGAAGCGTGTTGCCCAACGGTGACGTAGCTAGGGTCAATGGTGGCCAGGTTGACACTAACAAGCTGATGTCACTCTCTGGCTCAGGGAATCAAGCTTAAATTTCACAGGGCGACATTGAACGTTTTTTAACCAACTGGACACCCCCATGAATCGGAGCCCACTCTCCCAGCCACGCCACTGATCAAGGACACATGTGAGACCGCGGTACGGATACGCTGATCTTCCCTAAGTAAGCCATAATACAAGACCAAAAGCCACCAAGATAAGGACACTGATTGCATAATGCTGAAAATTAGATTTTTTGACCTGCAGCCATTATGCACATTTTAAATCAGAGGTTTTTATGATTTTTGGAGAGCCGCCCCTCTCTTGATTTCGAAACATTTGTCACGCCGCCATCTCGATTTCCAAACAAATTTCCCTCAACCCCACTATACACACCTCCTGACACTGCCTGCCACACCTCCTGACACTGAGTGCCACACCTCCTGACACTGAGAGCCACACCTCCTGACACTGAGAGCCACACCTCCTGACACTGAGTGCCACACCTCCTGACACTGCCTCCCACACCTCCTGACACTGCCTCCCACACCTCCTGACACTGCCTCCCACACCTCCTGACACTGCCTCCCACACCTCCATACACTGCCTCCCACACCTCCTGACACTGCCTGTCACATCTCCAGGCACTGCCTCCCACACCTCCCAACACTGCCTCCCACACCTCCAGACACTGCCTCCCATACTGCCTCCCACACCTCCTGACACTGCCTGTCACATCTCCAGGCACTGCCTCCCACACCTCCCAACACTGCCTCCCACACCTCCAGACACTGCCTCCCATACCTCCTGACACTGCCTCCCACACCTCCAGACACTGCCTCCCACACCTTCAGACACTGCCTCCCACACCTTCAGACACTGCCTGCCACACCTCCTGACACTGCCTCCCACCCCTCCTGACACTGCCTCCCACATTTCCAGACACTGCGTCCCACATCTCCAGACACGGCCTCCCACACCTCCTGACACTGCCTGTCACACATCAATAGAGTGTTGGCATACAAAAGTCTGTAGGCATTCAATTGAGTGTATGAATTCAATAGAGTGAAGGCATTCAATAGAGTGTAGGCATTCAATATAGTGTAGGCATTCAATAGAGTGTAGGCATTCAATAGAGTGTAGGCATTCAATAGAGTGTAGGCATTCAATAGAGTGTAGGCATTCAATAGAGTGTAGGCATGCAATAGAGTGTAGGCATGCAATAGAGTGTAGGCATGCAATAGAGTGTAGGCATGCAATAGAGTGTAGGCATTCAATAGAGTGTAGGCATTCAATAGAGTGTAGGCACTAAATAGAGTGTAGGCATTCAATAGTGTATGCACTAAATAGAGTGTAGGCATGCAATAGAGTGTAGGCATTCAATAGATTGTTTGTATTCAATAGAATGTATGCACTAAATAGAGTGTAGGCATTCAATAGAGTGTAGGCATTCAATAGAGTGTAGGCATGCAATAGAGTGTAGGCATTCAATAGAGTGTATGCATTCAATAGAGTGTAGGCATGCAATAGAGTGTAGGCATGCAATAGAGTGTAGGCATTCAATAAAGTGTATGCATTCAATAGATTGTAGACATTCAATAAAGTGTAGGCATTCAATAGAGTGTAGGCATTCAATAGGGTGTAGGCATTCAATAGAGTGTAGGAATTCAATAGAGTGTAGCAATTCAATAGAGTGTAGTCATTCAATAGAGTGTAGGCACTAAATAGAGTGTAGGCATTCAATAATGTATGCACTAAATAGAGTGTAGGCATTCAATAGTGTAGGCATTCAATAGAGTGTAGGCATTCAATAGATTGTTTGTATTCATAGAGTTTATGCACTAAATAGAGTGTAGGCATTCAATAGAGTGTAGGCATTTGATAGAGTGTAGGCATGCAATAGAGTATAGGCATGCAATATAGTGTAGGCATGCAATAGAGTGTAGGCATTCAATAGAGTGTAGGCATTCAATAGAGTGTAGGCATTCAGTGGATTTTAGAGTTTAGACCTTAAATGCTTCCTAAAAAAATCCTGTATTTCGCACCTTGTCTCTAAACATAGGAACGTAATGGTTTGTATTAATCCTCCCATTCCTTAAAGTCCCACATACTCCCCCCCCCCCACATCCCCCGATGTCTTATGTCTAATGTACTTATGCCTACTTTGAGAGTCCCAGGACAGTGACAACGCCACCTGCATATGAACATAATAAATACAAGGGAAATAAGGTATTTACCAAGAGCCACGTGTTATTATGAATGACATCTCCTCTCAGTGTCATGCTAACAATTGATTTGAGCACTCTGCGGTAACCTCAGATACACTCATTGCTAAACAAAACCAAAGATCAGGCAGGACAAAGTCCTTTTAACCTGGGGGCTAATGACACATTTTCACTAAGTCCTGCAAAACAAGAAGAACGAACACGAAGGACAAAGTCCATTGGTCTTTACCGAACTGCCGGGTGACCGGTACAGTGGAAAAGTACATGTACTCTCCGTGATAACCTGGTACGCACTTTGTCTCGATCAGACACGCTTGTGTGTGTGTGTGTGCTTCCAGTCGAGAACCAAAGAAGTTCACTTTGAGACATTCTTAATGAGCACAGCTGAAACGTAGTGATACTATAACAGAACCAGAATGGCTATATGCCAAAGAACAAAGGTTCTCAAAGTAATAGATAAAGCAGACTAAAAGTCACTTTGAGCCAAAATTCCAAGAGCAAAAGCTCCTAATTATATATATATATATATATATATATATATATATATATATATTAATAGAGAAAGCACACAAAAAGTGTAATTGAGACAAAAATAAAAGAGCAAAAGCTCCTAATTATATATATATATATATATATATATATATATATATATGGTATATATGTGTGTGTGTGTGTGTCAATGATCACTGACAGTGGCGAATGGGAAATGATATCACGATCATATATTGACAGTTTTGCATTCTGTCCAAATGATATCACTAACAGTTGCTCATTGGAAATGATGTCACGACCTTTTCATCACAGGTCTGCATTCTGTCCAAACGGTAGTTTGATTCTTTGTACCAAAGACCATTATGGAAAGTCGGATGTAATACAAAAACGTGAGCACGGGTTGCACGGTTTCCACCCGATCTTTAACATGAGTGACGAACTAGCTTGACCCGTCAACTATCGGACTCATTGTTGGCACTTGCCCATGGCCCATGACCGTCTGACTTCCCAACATGGCCCTGTACGTGTGATTGCCACCGGGTGGTGGCAGTAAGACAATGTCGGTTATCACGTTACTGGAGACTGACAAACATCTTGTCACTCTATTATATATAGGTTACTTGTCAATTAAAGGTGACTGGTCTATTGGAGGTGACTGGTCTATAAACTGTACATTTCCTATCACTGCATTGATCACTGCAATGAGCAGACGAAAACTGAATGAAAATGTCTTACGGAACCAATTAATACAAATAAGTGCAGCATATAAAAATGTATGAGGACCTAGGACTTTGCATGAAAGATCTCCGCCAGTTGACAGCTGTCGCTGAGAAATGCTCTGTTCAAAGTTGCAGACTACCTTGAAAAGAATCTTCGGAGTGCATTTGTCCAGTTGGACAGTGGTATAGTATATAGGAGAAGAAGCAAGGGAAAAATTGTATGAAACGATTTTGTTTGAAGTCAGTTCTGAAGTAAAATGTCACTGTGATAAATGGTGCCACAGATGCAATGTTCAGTGCAATGGGGAGTCGTTTATAATGGCTATTTTCAATGTACGTGGTAGTGTACACAGTCGGAGATGGCGTGAAAGTCTTGACACAGTGGTGCCTGATGAACGGGGGTCGAAAAGTCACAATCATGACTGTGGACACGTTTTTATTAAGGAAAACATCGACTTGCCTAATTTGTCACAATCTAATACATCACCTTAAAGTGACCAAATCATGAACCGGAAAAAACGGGACACACCCAAGGAGGGTTTGTGCGGGATGCCCTCCAGCTATAGAGGGGTCCGGGGGCCTCCGCCGGAAACTGTTTATTGAAATCTGCTCATTTTAACTATGTTGAGACCTAGAAATCTTGTTAAATTTACCTTCACTTTTGTAATTTAATTTAAACTCTGAGGTATATCATAAACGAAAACAATAATTTTACAGTGAATATTTATTTATCCATATAAAATCTATGGCGGGGACACTGTCTTTTCCGCAGTGACGCAGAGTGGTGGAGGGGAGAACATTGCAGCCGTCTCGCGAGCCTACATCACTATTGACACTGGCTACACTGCCATGTGCAGCCAAAATATTACTTAAAGTTAAATTATAAGTTAGGAAGTTTTAGTTATTTGAAAATGTGTTTTGGTTTTAGAAACGGGACATTTAGGCGTCCCGAGAGACTTTTTCGGGACACTGGGTAGCGGGTACGATAGTGAAAAAACGGAACAATCCCGTTTTTACGGGACGAATGGCCACCCTACCTTAAACTAAACCCACCAGCCGCTGCGGGCTTTTTCTTGTGTTATACTCATATGGCAGGCATCGCACAGAGTTGAGTGCAGTCAGTCAAGTAGTTCTCCGCCCAATGACCACAACACACAAAAACAGTAGGTCCATTACACGGTACTCAACCTTCAAACGGCTGGCACAATGGTATAAAGTAGTCGATACATTTTATAAGTACACCCGATAAAAGACGTAACAAAATAGCGGAAGTTTAGGAAGTTTTCAACAACAGAAAACACAACAACATAGACTTAAAAATGCGTGAGTTGTTTCGTCTTTCTTCAGGTTTTTCATATCCCGTGTTTTATATTTCTAATTGCTTCAACCTGAACATAGACCTGCACATATTAAACTAGAAAATATATAGGCCAACCATCTCATTTTATCCTTTTGTCTTAACGTTTTTTATTTAGTTAAATGTCATATATCTCAAAGATTCGTGCTCCTGTTAAGAGCCAAACTGAATGATTGCCTTGATTCACCTGACTGACCAAGAGGTAGAGTTAGTAGTGTGCCCAGGGCTACGAGTTGGCGACCTATCTCAAATATTCCTTGTTATTTTACTTGCAGGCCTGCTGTTAAATAAAGGGTTACATAACAGATATGAAATAAATATGGTTAAAGAAAACACACGAGAGGAATGACATTGATTTATTTATTTTTGAATATAGAAGGATTAAGTCATAGGTCACGAATGGGGAGACAACTCCTCCTTTCATGTCGAGCACATATTTTTTGGCAGGAGTTCTTTGTTTAGCCGCAGTTTTCCCCCTTTTCAAATGATGGGCGTGCCCTGCTTCGGCTTCAATGTAATGGGATCACAAATCATGTTTCAATTTCAATCTCGTCAGTGTGGACTAAAAGTGCATTGACCTATTCATCCATGTGTACCGTGGACTGGATGATGTGCCCCAGAGTAGATGATACACCTTGGTTGGTTACAGCCAGCTGATTCTACTCTGACTGTGGCAAGTGGATTCTAAGTCCACTTCAGAGCCCAAGTTCTTTCTATTAAGATATGCAAATGTTGGATCAGAGTGGATTTTGAAAGTTCAACCAACTCTGTCCCAGTGCCATGAATTGCACGGTATGAAGGTGGCTGGACACCACCATGTACAGATAATGAGGTGGTGCATGGGCATTAAGCCTAAGACAAGCAGTACCATTACCTGGACACAATAAAAATCTGGCAAATGGTGCACGTGTTTTACAATGGCAGATGTGCACAGGGTTTAACAATGGCAGATGGTGCACATGATTTACAATGGCAGATGGTACGCAAGGTTTAACATTGGAAGAAAGTGCACATGGTTTAACAATGGCAGATGGTGCACAGGGTTTACAATGGCAGATGGTACACAAGGTTTAACATTGGAAGAAAGTGCACATGGTTTAACAATGGCAGATGGTGCACAAGGTTTAACACTGGCAGGTGGTGCACAGGGCTTAAAGCTTGCAGATGGAGCATGAGATTTAACAATGGCTGATGGTGCACAAGGTTTAAAACTTGCAGATGGTGCACAAGGTTTAACACTAGCAGATGGTGCACAAGGTTTAACACTAGCAGATGGTGCACAGGGTTTACAATGGCAGATGGTACACAAGGTTTAACATTGGAAGAAAGTCCACATGGTTTAACAATGGCAGATGGTGCAAAAGGTTTAACACTGGCAGACGGCGCACAGGGTCTAACACTAGCAGATGGTGCACAGGGCTTAATGCTTGCAGATGGAGCACAGCGTTTAACAATGGCTGATGGTGCACAAGGTTTAATACTGGCAGGTGGTGCGAAGGGTTTAACACTGGCGGATGGTAACAGGGTTTACACTTGCAGATGGTGTGCACAGGGCTTAACACTGGCAGATGGTGCACAAGGTTTAACACTAGCAGATGGTGCACAAGGTTTAACACTAGCAGATGGTGCACAAGGTTTAACACTGGCAGATGGTGCACAAGGTTTAACACTGGCAGATGGTGCGCAGGGTTTAACACTGGAGGGTGATGTACAGGGTTTAACAATGGCTTATGATTAAACACTGCCATATAATGAACATGGACAAAACTAAACATTCTAAGAGACAGAGGGATAAGTTAACATTTACAAGAGATTTTTTTCTTCAAAAAGCTCAATGGTTAAAAGAGCGTTGAATAAATAAGGCAATCAATGCACATAGTCATTGAGACAATGGGGAAAAAGTCGAAATGTATATAAAGTGATGAGATTATTTATCCTGACCATTAAAAGTAAGCTGACCATTAAAAGTAAGCTGACCATTAAAAGTAAGCTAATCATAGCATAAGTCGAAATTCTCCTGCATCTTCTGAAGAAATCTTCTCCAATTAAACTGACTTAAAGCATTACAAACTGAAAGAATTTAAACTAAAATAAATATTATAAATTAATGTTTTCCAAAGAAATAGTTCTCAGCTTTTCTATTTTTGTACATAGACAGCCATGAAAGGGTAAAGTATAATTTATAAAATGATGAAAGAAAAGCTTTTTTACTATGTATGTGTGCAACGTGACAGATTCACTTAAGCAAAAGAAAAATATAAACCTGTTATCAGACAAATATTATCCTTGATAAAAAAAAAAAGAACATGAAAATTAATCACTATTACTAAGATACAATGAAATAATTTAAAAAACGTGTGCTGGTGTAAACATAAAAAAAAAACTGACACCTAAGTAGTGGTGTGAGGGTTAACATGGAGCACATGCATGGCAATGAGCAATGTCTACACTATGCTATAGCATCCTCGGCTGGGTGAACTGCACACTCCTTCTTACCATCACCAGCAAAAAATGCTGCCCAAAAATGCTTGGGGATATTTGGGTCGCTTGATGGATTCACCGTGGATGGTGATGGATAATCCACACGTAACTGGCCTTTAGGCAGCACCACAAAAATATGTGAAAAATGCCAATGATAAAATTGATGGCAAGCCGGCCCATGATAAAGTTTAAATGAAATGACCTGTGAAGTTGCTTAGGGAAACAGGCTTACGGGTATTTATGTGGGATGAATAAATGATTTTTTTAAAAAATAATAATTCATTTATGGGAAATTTAAATGTTTGGTTTCAAAGTATTCTATTTTTCTAATTCTATTGCAGGCTTATTTTAAACCAAAAGCACTACGGGAATTTTTTTTTAAACTAGTTGCCAGAGACAGAATATTAAATCCTTCTAATTACATTACCATGCTTCATATTTTCTTACTGATTTGACACTGCTAAAAGTGCACTTTTTAAAAAATCAGTTCATTAACACTCAAAAGATATGAATGCTAGAGCATTAGTTTAAATGACAAGAGGAAGATTGAAAAAAAAAAAAGCATAGCACTTACCACCCTCAGTAGATGTAAATGGAACTAATTCATCAGACTTCTTCCTTGCCCCTCTTCTCCGGGTCAAGGCTGGTGGATCGGCTCCACTGAATGAGTCGGGAGCAGACTCCAGCGGGCTGTCAAAGTCATCAATGTCAGCATAATGGTTGCTACTGAATCCAAACACAGAAAACACAGAACGGCCTGATGTTGGGGGTAACTCACTGTTTGACATTTTCCTCTACTGAAAAACACAAATCAGATCTTAAGCTTGTGTACAAAATCTACTGGAAAAAAAAATAAGGTGCATAATACCCATACATTTTACCATCATTTTTGTAATGAAAATATAGACTGAATATTTTAAAAATAGATTCACAGATTATAGGGGCCATTCATAATTGATCTCACACAATTTAAGACACCCTCATAATAGAGCATCAGATAATCGTGACCCTCCCTCCCCCTAGAAGTGTGATTTCATTTATGGATTGCCCCTACATTACTTTAATACAATATACTATGATATCAAGGATAGAAATATTAGAAGGACAAAAAACAAAATAATTAGAAGTTCATTGTGTCCTGTCTTCTCCATAAACTTCATATTTATTTAGGTCGATTGATTCAAAAGATTTCACTTCTTTATTGATAAATAATGCAAAGTCAAAAAATGAAAGTAGGAAAAAAATGAATTTTATAACAAATTAGTAGAACTGTACCCAAAATTGATGTCATAATTTTTTCAATTTTTTTCTTATTTGATTGTTTACTCAATTGATTTTTCAACTTTAATAGGAAAACGTCTTGATCTCCTATAGAAAAGGCTCTTCACTATCAATGGCCATGCTATGTCACAAAATCTAAATGGTCTCCGCTAAATGATCGTGTGTTAAGCCGCAATATATCCACAATATATTTTCACAGACTGGTTGAAAATGTCTAAAATTCGAACTGGTCTGCGAACAACCTCACAGAGAAAGCAAAGAACCCGTTCAATACATGGGAGAGATAAATCCATAGGAAAATATGCAATCAAGTGTTATACAATGATGGATGGAGAATTCGTACAAACCAAGAAATACATCAATTTTTCGAAGACCAACCCATAGCGGCAACAATATTAAAAAAGACAGGCTGTGCTGGAAAGGACCCTTGAGGGAAGGCCAGATTGTAGAGCAGAAAAAGTGATCTGCAGACAGAAGCCTAGGGTCAGATGGCTCACTGTTTGATGAAGACTGAGATTGATTGACAATGTGGAGAAGGACTTACACCAGCTGGGTGTCTGCGCATGAAAGCAGAAAGCCATAGATCAGGCTGAATGGAAGGATGTAGGGGAATGTCACTGATGATAATGGTGGTCTGCAGATAAGCAGTTCGAAAACCACTGGTCTATACTATAGTTAAGTATTTTTATTTAACACTTGTCCTCATTTGTCACCAAACGCTGTAAAAATGCTACCCCAAATGAAATTGTTAGAGAACCCCTACAATTAAACCTTGTTGTTATTATCAACCTTAAACTTAAATAACAACACATTTGCCTAAGTTTGATCTGAAAAGCCTTTATAAGTGAGACTTTGACCTAAGTATTGCATCCCAGTATGTAATGTCTGTTACCCATAGAATTAATTAATTTTCTTTATCAGACAGTTGCTTTAGCGAAAGAAATATTTGTGATGGTTAACTCACAATTTATACTAGTCTAGGTTTTACTGTACAGACTCACAACAGCTCATTCCTGACATACTCTGTAGTGACCTGGGTAAAGAAATTTTTTCAACTAATCAAGCCTAATCTATATGGCTAAACATGATAAGGCATGAAAGAAAAAGAGATAAAATGGTCCTTGACAAAATAGGGGATTTGGAGATGTATTGATCTATACTCACAGTCACGTTCATGTACTGTGCATTTTATGAACTTAAAAAAAATTTGTAAAACATTAAGTTGACTTACAGTTGTGAGTTGTATTAATATATAGTCTAGATGTCACAGCTGAATGATTAACTAAATACCAAGATAAACTTCCATCTCAAGTAAAGTAAAGTGAATAATGTTTTTTATTTTTTATTTTTAATAAGGATCTTTAAGTTTAAGGACCAATCTAATGGAAACTGATATGGGCTAACCTCTAGGACTGAAGTCTAACTTCTAAAATGCACAAATTTTTGTTTTACTGTGTAGCTTTCATACCTACAACTCCAGAGCAGATTTTTTGACCTATTTACTATTATTTAGTATTTTTCAGATGGTTATATTCACCTATATTAATATGAGCTTTTTTATTAAGTTTAATTTAATTAAGCTCTCAATATCTTATTATTTGCACTTGGATATTACTAATTCTAACTTCTAAGTATATACATGTCACAACTGACATCGATCAATTTGAATAAAATATTAGACATAGACCTCATATTTTCCAGATGGTTATATTCACCTATAATAATATGAGCTTTATTATTAAGTTTAATTTAATTAAGTTCTCAATATCTTATTATTTGCACTTGGATATTACTAATTCTAACTTCTAAGTATATACATGTCACAACTGACATCGATCAATTTGAATAAAATATTAGACATAGACCTCATACAGAATCGAGACATTACAACACAGTATCAGTATAGTCAGTTTTTATTTTGCTAGAATATAAATGAAATAAATAATTAGGCCTAGACCATAGTAAGCTAGTTAAGCCCGAAATATTAATATGTTAAATATTAGTTACTCAAACTTAATATGAGATTGATGAGTGTCAGTGTTGAGTGTCACAAATGAATCACCACAATGGACCACACTATCTCAGTCTCAGAAAGTCTCAGTGGTCTACATTCTCATTTCACTTCAGCCATCTAAAGTCTAAGGCTTTCATGATACTAACTAAAGTAGCTATGCCTATTTGAATTTGCCTATTTTAATTTAACCCTCTTTGGACGGATGGGCCAATCTGTCGGTCCAGGGTGGAGTAGCGAAAAAGACGGATGTCCCATCTATCGGCCTGATAATTCAAGCCTCGAGATTGGCTGGCTAGTCATTACAATGCCGGGATGTTCAGGGTTATGTAAGAAGCAATCTGATTTTCTGGTACGAAGACAAGCCAGGCAATCACGAGGCTCGATTTATCGGGCCGATGGTTCGGACTTCTGTCTTTTTTGCTACTCCACCTTGGGCCAAAAGATCGGCCGGCTATTGATGGAACTATTACCCATGACGTCATTTGCGTGTTTATTTAATATTTGTGCAGGAGTCATTCCCCTTTGTTCATTTCATTGTTGGATGAAGTGATGATGACGTTGTTTCCTTTTCCTATTAAAAGTTTAATTGGTTGATTATTTATGATTTTAAATTATCATTGGTTGGCTAATTATCATATTTTATTTGCGCCACCATCTTTTCAGCATGTTGGCCTATTGCCGGCAGTTGTGCTCCAATTATTTGTGCAATAAAGTGTGTAAAAGTGTATTTCATGAAACTGTAAGTTGGGTTTTAATTATTTCTTTGTTTAAGAATTATTTTTGGCTTCTTTTTTGACATTTTTTGGGGTTTTTGTTCATTTTCAAATGTCATATCAGGTCATATGTTTTATGGCTGATTACTTGTGGCTTGAGGCTTTGGGTTAGGTTTATGGATCAACTGTTTTCTTATTTTATTTTTTCTTACATTGGGGAGGGGTTCTGGGGAGGGGGTCACTCCTCCCCAGACAATTTATTTGTTTCTGATTTTGGTATTTAAAATGGGGAAGGGGTCTGGAGAGGGGTCTCCCCTCATAATCTTTTTTGTTTATGATTTTGGTATTGAAAGTGGGGGAGGGGTCTGGGAAAAAAAAGAAGCCAAAAATAGTTCTTAAAGAAATAATTAAAACCCAACTTACAGTTTCATGAAATGCACTTTTACATACTTTATTGCAGGTTCCACATAAAAAAATGTGCACAAGTAATTGGAGCACAACTGCCGGCATTAGGCCAACATGTTAAATACATTTTGGCCGCTATCTTGGTTAACATGGTCCGTGACCTTCTCACGGAGCATGTCAACAAAGATGGCGGCCATGCTGGGGAAACACCGGGTATCTCTCTCAAAATTTACCTATTGGCCCTTCCGTCCCAAAAAGGAAATAGTGTTTTTTTTATACATTTTTTTGCAATGCGAGTGCCGAGCTTGTAAAAGGTGCTCTGTCTTTTTGGCACATACACCCCGAAAAGTATCCATCCCGAAAGGTTTAATTAGTTACACTATAATTCCAAAAAGTCAAGGTTCTCCTGCGAGAAGTGCAGCCCAGAACGCTATGCCATTCCAGTTCCAGGATCGGTCTCAGTGATAAGCCATTTTATTATTTTGATGAAGTGTTAAAAACGTATAAAAGCTACTCCAATTACATTACTATTATTCAGTAGCTGAGTAAGCTACTATACTAAAAATACTATTCAGATTCAGAACTCCATCGTCATCGTTTTTACGAAGACAGTCTTGAGTCTTAGAAAAATCATTTATTAGAATGTGACCCGACTTACTCAACTTACTGACTAACTTATACTAATAGTATCATACTATGTATAATTCCAAAAACCAGTCTGAGTACGGAAAGTATAACTATCAAAATAAATACCTTTTGAACAAGTGTCAATCTTTAATTATAAATTAAGTTCGTCAATCATCTTACAGTACCAAACTATATCAGTATCAGCTGTTCAGTCTTGCGGTTTACCGTCCTTCGTATTGTAATGACATGCATAAGTGATCAGCGAGTTGTTGTTTTCATTTCCTTTTGCGGACAGTATCGAATACTCGAAAACAAATTTTCCCATGTAAAAAAATCGTTAAAAACTGCGTAAAATAATTATTTTAAAAACATTTCCGCATAACAATTTAAAACAAATGCAACTAAAGTATGTTAATACTTTATATCATTCAGAAATTATAAACAAGACATTTTATTAAAATATTTATTATGTATTTTCTACTAGTAAAATGGACCGGAAGTATGTCACAATCTTTATTTAGATATTGCATTATGAATGCTTAAATGATTATGTATGTCTTGTTAATTTTATTTTTTAATTTACGCTCTTTATATTTTCAACTATTTTTAAAGAATTCTTTTTCTTCCTTCTTTACTTCACTTCGACCCCCCCCCCCTTTTTTTTTCCAAATTAAAAGTTTTTCAGCTATAAGGGGGCGTCCATTAATAACGTCAACATTTTTTAGGCAATTTTTTACCATTTTACCCCCTACATCCCCCTTGTCAACAACTGTCAAACTTTCAATGCCCCCCCCCCCCCACCCCAAGTAATTATGGCAACATTTTATCCCCACTCCAGAAAAAAAAAATTGTGGGAAAACATTTTATTACATCTTTAGCTTGTTAATCAACAAGTTTAAAAGTTTTTATACTTAAATTTTATAATTTAGAATCAATTAAAAAGGTTGTTAAAAAACTAAATATCATTTTTTGTGGAAGTATAAATATTATTATTGTAAGTATAGCTTACAACTGTTGTATAGTTTCTAGCTGTTATCATTTTCCCATGGAGTAGCCATGTGTTGCTCTATCGTAACAATGGACATAGTAGCTGATTTATCATTTTCATCTTGCGGAACTGCTATACCAGACAAGTCAACATCATCCTCATCTAACCTTTCAGCACTTAAAATAGAAGCATTGTCAGTGTGAGTAATAATTGCCATAAGCTCCCTCTGACTCCTGGCAGCTACTCACATCGATCGAATCCTTTTTTTTGTTGTGGAGCAGGTGGTAATTTTTTATGCTCAAGAGTGCATTGTCTGTGCTGTTGAAAATTGCTTTTTCAACTTGACTTGTGATGCAAAATAAATGTTCCAGATTTTGCAAATCCGTTCAAGCAGCGATTGTATTATTGCTACTCACTTTACTTCCCCTAATTCTCAAAATATCGTATTCCTACTCTATCAATATCATTTATATTGACTGCACAGGGCACTTGAACCTCGTCTATGTTTCATACCTGCAATATGATCGCAAACATACCGTCCTAACCTAATCGTTTGAATTTGCGACAAACAGAATCTACAGGTGAAGAAAACCCCCCTCTCTCCGCTTTTCCCCTTTGTCAACAATTGTCAAAGATCCTCCCTCCTATTTATTTATTTTTTTACATAATTAATGGCGCCCCCATCCAGATAGGCCTATATTAATTTTTCAAAAACTTTCTGGGGATTCACTTACATAGCCCCCTCTACAGAACCTCCACACTTCTTAGCCCTTATTTCTGCTTTTCTCCACACTCCACAAAATTACAGTACCAACACCTTTTTCATCTACAAAAAAGCTAAACTCCACCATCTGTTCCCAACACATGCTTCACAATTTCAAGCTATAATTGTGGGTCGCCACTACTCGCCACAAGTTGACAAATTAAATGTTTTAAGGAGTCCTGGCACTAAAAAGTGAGGACCTTTGGGTTAGGATTATTTTATAAGCTATTAAAGTTTTGAAGCCATTCATTAACTTTGAATACATAACAGAAAATGTGAAGATAACTCTTTGTGCGTGTGTGTGTGTACCATACAGAGGAGTTTCTAAAATAAAACGTCTTCTTGTTTCCATTTTATTTGCGTAAATTTGCATTTATTAAAGTAAAGGTCAGGAACCGTGGCCATATTTGATTGTTTTAATTCTAAAATGTTACCTCCCTTTCTGGGCCGAATTTAAAAACAGCATAATTGTCGGTAGGTTGTACAAAATGCAAGCGTAATGCCTGCAATATTATATTTGTTTGAAATCAATTTTTATAGTGAAAATTTTTATTAAAATTTAAAATGTATTGATGGATTATTGGTTACTTTTTTATATTCGGGCTATCAATTTAAGGGAGTCATTCTTTTGGATTTCAAACAAAGAATAAGAAAGCTGTTGATTTCGTCCCATATAGACTTCAGTAGCCTTCCCATTGCTCAGCCCAGTGGTCGGCAAACTCATTAGTCAAAATAGCCAAAAATCAGCACCAGGAAGATTTTTAAAAATTTGAGAGCCAAATTTCTTTTCAAGCACCTGTCAAGAACCATGTTTTTTGTTTTTTTTTGAGTCAAAACCGATTTGTGGTCGACTGGCTGACCCGCACTCAGGTCACTGGCGAATTTTGGACCACTCGCCCAGTCAATCAATACCATTATAAAACAGAACAAAACATAATAATAATAATAATAATAATAATAATAAAGTTTATTTGAAAAACACGCTTCATCCCCAAAAGCTCGAAGCGTGGTACAAAGTCAACCATATTAAAAAGAGAAATAAAAACAATCTAAAATTTACCATATTTAAAAACAGACGCAACAATATAAAGCTACATACGAGCATACCAAGTCAAAGTCTTTCATCCCGTTTCAACCATAAAAAACACATTCTTCGTACAAAGTCTTAAACAATTAGTCAATTAAAGGATCGCTCGAATTCAGTTTAAAATTAAACAACCAGATCCACGACACTTTATAGTGGGAATGTGTCGTCAATCAGCTTTTAACAAAGTGGTGTGCTGGTAAATGACGTGATGATAATCTTGGAAATATGGCTGATCAGAGGCGCTTATCGGTAGTCCAATCAGGCCCACTCTCCTTTCAACCATTGCTGGGGCGCCATCCGTTGCTTCCTCAAATCAAATCAAGACAACAGTAGACAATGTAGACCTATTTCTTGCTCTTTTTTTAACTCCTTCAGTTATCATCAAGCGTTTCGTTCAATGGAATCAGTCAGTGTGTAGAAAGAGATGCAGAAGAAGTGCTCCACCTTGGTGCCACCTTTTTTTTTTCTCTCTCTCTCTTTAAATGAAGGGGTGGCATTTTCGGCCAACTACAAAGTTTTTACTTGGAAAGGGGCAGCCAATTAATCGCCCGTCCCAGGCGGCACTAACCTTAGCTACTCCAGTAGTATAAGTACCAAAAGATCATCTTTAAATTTATATTACAAGTCATATCTATGCCAAATAGTGCTGGGTTAACCTAAAGACAAAGAAAGCACGTGTCTAGGCCAGGGGTCTGCAACCTGCGGCTCGCGAGCTGCATGCGGCTCTTTTGATGTCAAGATGCGGCTCTCCAGTTCCATGCGCAAATATTAATAATTATATTGAAATAAAAATGTTAGTGGCTCTTTAAAAACTGGGAAATTTTGTAAATTGTAACTTTTGTCTTTTCCGTCTCAAAAGGTTACCAACCTCTGGTCTAGGGGCCTCTGTTATTTTAGGGGCCACGTGCAAAGGGATCCATTTTATGTTATTATTTCATTTATTTTTTAGATTTTGGGATTGGGTTGAAATTAATTTGATCTTAAAGGTATGCTGCAGGGGGAGACAAAAGTTCGTCTGCCTTTGAAACTCCGCAAGTCTTAATCGACACTGATGCCAAGCTTATACTGTGTCAGTGATATCACGTTACCCATCCAAGCAGGACTGGATCAGATCCCCCTTTTTACAAATCAGAAACTGTACAAATTGATATGGCATTGGTGAGAAAGCTGAAGATTTGATTTTGTTTTTTTCCTTCGTGATTTTATATTTGTTTTTCTTATTCTTCTTCTATATTTTGAGGGCCCACGATCAGTGCATGGATCATCCTGGCTCCTATGTTTGTAGATGGGGTTCGCGATGTTTCTGTGCACGGATTTCACTGGCTACAAGAGCTACTCAGCGATGGTATTAGAAACTGCGGGTTGGAGGCAATAGACGCAAATGTGTCACGTGATGCCTTAATTGTTCCTTTTGGAAGTTTGTACCAGTTCCTGATTCTCTTTGGTTTTTATTCGACTTCTACTTATAATATTAAGTATCTCTGCAATGCTTAAAAGTATCACAATCTCAAATATGCTTGAAAAAAATAAAATAAAAAACAGTTTATCTTTAAATATGATTCCGTAGCAGTCACTTCAGCTCACCTGTCACTGTCAGCGAAAAACACTTCACTCACTCATCAGATTCTTTTAAGAGAGAAACTTTCTCTAAACTTTCAAAAAAGTAAATGCGACTTGAGATGATAAAAATTATCATTTTACTATTTCATTGAAATTTTGAAAGTTATACACGTGACTGTCTCATTTGAGTATAAGTAGCAGAACCTAATACAAACAATATACACACAATAAAGTTTTCAAAAAATAATAAAAACGCCTAAATTTATATTTAATTTACATATTTTATTGAACATACTTAAAGCTAAGACTGACAAGGTACTATAGAGGTTTAACTGACACTTGTCTGAAGGTTACAATAAGCTAAGACTGGCAAGGTACTAAGGAGGCTTAACTGGCACTTGTCTGAAGGTTACAATAAGCTAAGACTGGCAAGGTACTATGGAGGCTTAACTGGCACTTAACTGAAGGTTACAACGAGGCTCAGTGTCAGTTTACTGAAAGTGCCAAGGATGCTGAGATTGGTATTTATTTCATGGTGCTAAGTTCTGCATTAGCTCAAAAGATTAGATTTGATAAAATCCTCTTCTGTTGTGAAACTTAAAATTAGCAAATGTTTCAAAGGGAGACAAATGGCTTAAAGTTTTTAAAAAAATATTTTTTTTTACTATAAACTAAAAAGTGTCAGTTTTGATAAAATTGAATTAACATTACTAGACAGGGACTAAAATTAAACAAATACAAAAACATCCTAATTTATTTTAACACTCTTTGGCCATCAATATTTTATCTATTATTATAAACTTCAATTGAGTATTATGCAAGCATATTGTAAAAATAGTACGCTAACTATTAAAACACTATTTTCAAGAAAAGTTTTAATATATACTTCAGCATTAAGCCATTTAATTTAAATAAGCCCTTATTAAAAAAATTGTACAAAGTTGAACGGAAAACGAACAAGTGTACAAATTATAAAGGCATCATTATCAGCTTGAAATTTATTTATACACTAATAAATTTCTATCACTAGATTCAATTTATTACCGTCTATCAACAATTTAAAAAATTAAATAATCCATTTCAAAAACTTTAAAAATTATTTATACCCATAAAACAATTTTAAAAATTAATTTCTCTCTTTCAACGATCTTTACATCTTCTTAATCAAACTCCCAGCTCTGGGCTGATATTTTTAAATGTTTAGAAAAGGGAGCAAAAGTTGAATCACGATGGGACATACATTTTGCAATTTATTTATATATAAGGTGTAAAAAGAAAACAAAAAGTCTAGCTCTTAAAGAATAATGTAAGCAAATCATCATATTTATCAAAACATATATAGGCATATTAATTATCATACAAATGCTAAGCACACACATGAAAAAAACAAAAATTAACTTCTAAAGGAACAAAATGTTGTGAGTGGAGTGACAAAATGTTATAAGTCAGTGATGATTATTATTTCATTGTTAAAGTATTGTTTATTTGCTCCTTCTCAATTCCTTCACCCGAGTGCTGATTCAGCTGTAACATTATTTTTCCTTATGATTGAAGGACATTCTACTTCTATTCATAAGTGCTATCTAGTCAAAAAACAAAACCAAGATTGGATAATAAAGATTACCTAATGAAATAATATTTAATCAATTCTCAATGTTGTTTGATTTTCCTAGTCCTTGTCAATTAATTTACAAACTGTCATTAAATAAATTATGGATGCCTAAAAATAGTGTCTATGGTCAGGATATTAGAAACTGCTCAAATTATCATAATAATTGTAACCTTTTTATTTTTCTGTTTAAGTAGTGTGTTTTCAAAAGTTCAATGAAATTTATTGAAATCATTGACTTAAAATATGGGCTCTTACTTTCTAACAAACAGTATATAAATAGAAAAGATTTTCATTTTAACATCTTAATACTCTGTAAGTTTATTTCTAAAATTAGATTAGCAGTTGAAGCCAAGAAGAAGAATATCTATTGAAGTCTAGACCATTGTATTTATTGCATCTGAATTAAGGTTAAAAAATTATCTGTATACTAAATGTATAATGTAAACCTAATGTAACAAAGTGAAATGTTTTGTAAACCTGAAGTGACAAAGAATGTTATTTTCCTTTTATTACTTAATGAGTAAGAGATTCTGTGATTAGTGTACATTGGAATCTGATGAATCATAAATTATATATAGGCCTAAAATTGAACTAACACAATTAAATACAGAACTTTGTTTTTCTCTTTCCTAGTTTCTACCAGTGTCCTTTTCCAACAAGTTTTATAGCAGTGGTTGTCCCCTCATGATCTTCAAGTCTGACACCAAGATCTGGTAATACATCATCTCTGACTTTGTCACACTCCATTAGGATGTCAGTCTCTATAAAAAATAACGCAAAATATCATAAACATAACCCGAATATCATTACCAAAGTATTTTTTAAAAAGATATTCAGCCTTAAATAAGACTGGCAAGGACGTTAATTAAGCTCATTGCTTTACTTGGAATTCCCTCTAATAAAAAAAACTTACACGAAACAAATAGGAAAAACTGAGTAGGCCCCCTTTTTCCAACAAAACTTTTAATTTTTTGTCTTTATAGTTGAGTAATAAATTTAAGAAAATATATTTTTTTAAAACTTGGACATATTGAAAATCAAACCCTTTACTACCACCTTTCCAGCCTCGTGATTTAAGTGTGCTACTGAAGTAACGCAATTAGAGAAGTGTTATAAATGATAACACTTCTCTGATTATCTTTTAGCCACAAATTGAAATATTTCAGAATGGATAGATTGAGGATTCATCAAGATCTCAAATATCATAATGTACCCGAGACTAAGCAGTGCATTAAATTCCAGCTCTTCAGATTAGCAGAAACTGTCGAACAATGACCATTACAAACTTGTGAAATTAAACGTTTTAAAAAGTATGTATCTAATTTCACAGATAATTATAACACTTACGTTTGGTTGCCTTGGCATGTGATCTGATTTTCCTCCTGAAGTCAGCAAATGCTGAGACGAATGGCATCACTGTTTCTTCATACTAAAATAAAATTTAAAATATCATTATACCAGAGGGGCTTGCAATAATTATACAACAGAACAAGTGGAATATACTTGTCGCTCCCTAGAAAACCTATAATTACATTTTCCCACTCTTTTCACCCCTCTTCTTCTATCACCCATATCTCTCTCATTAATGCCCTCTTATCCATGCCTTTCCCCTCCCAGGCATTTCTCAGTAATCCTATTTTCATCTTTGTACCTTTACTTTTTAAAGATGTCAGTTACTTTCCTGGCTTAAAAAAAAAAAAGTCAAAGAATAACATTCCTTTTCATCCTTTTATTTTTAATGTTTAAAGATATTTACATTTGCTCCCTGCATGTCATCCATTGGGAATCCAATGGTTTGCTCTTTGGGAATAGCACCAAATATCTGTAACAAAAAAATTAAATTAAACATGAACTAGCTTGACTTATTTTGTGCTTTTTTTTGTATGTCCTTTTATAAGTATTGCGACATCATTATTGAAAACCTTGAAAATCTGTATCCTGAATTGGAGCACACAGAAAAAATGATGGAATAGTGAGTTTACCTTTAATATATCTGTAATGTATGCAGCAACATTCCACAATAATCTTCTGTTAACTTGTTTGTGGCTTGTACGTGCAGCTGACATGTATGTGTTTCCAGCAGACATAAGTTCTCGAAGGTGCTCCATAACACTTCTAGTATCAATGTTATCTAGAGAAGTGTTGATTATTTTGTTATGGTAAATAAAACTCTCAATATTCATTAGAGCAGTACAAGCATTCAGCTAAAGTTTAATGGGTTTTTAAAATTTACAATCTTAAGACTCTCAGAGGTTAAGTTAATATAGTGGATAAATATTATGTGTCAACTTATTATTTTTTTAAATAGGCTATTTTCAGCATAAAAAAAAGCAACAACCAGCATATGTTATATAATTTGTATTTGATTTAGCTATCATTATGGCATCATTTTTAAATGTAATTCATAAGACAGATGCTAAATCTCAGAGTTTCAATTACTGAAGACTTTCCACCTAACAAACAGGATTTATTTTATTCATAAAACAAATTTTGAAAAAGTAAAATGATTTATTTACCACAAAGAGCAATATGGACTTCCTTGCGCATCTCTTGGAATTTGTCATTTAGTTTGACCTCTTCTTCACCCCATTTAGTGTAGGCACCAACTCCAGATGATGGAATCAACCTTACACTGTCTTTAACATTCAGGAAAAACTCCTACACACAATGGGAAACGGACAAATCTCTAAAGTATATAATTAGATACATAATGCTATAAAACAGGGATGATCCAATACCTGCCTAAACACACATTTGATCTGCATTAAATCTCATACAAATGTGTAGCTAAATCCCCTAATCTGACCACCAATCACACTTTTCTGTGAATAATGTACGCCGGTAAGGCATGTCATGGCAGCCAACAATGGTGCATTTAAAGAAATGGCAATGCCGCTTTCACTTTTCTACAAAAAATTAATGTTCAGTTAATCACAGAAATCTCCCATTCTATACTGATTGGATGTATGGAGTTTACATTTTGAAATTATTTTTTTAGCCACAAAATCAGCCTCATGTTGCACTGTTGCCAACTCTGCATTGGAGCCATTTTTCTCAATAGGCAGTCAAATCATTTAAATTTTGCAAGTTTTTTAACTGCAGTGACCAGCACAGGTAAGTTTATTTTATTATTATTATCTTAACAAAATTGTGTAGTCTTTGAATGAGGGTACCAAATCTCACTTATTAAAACAATTTTACTTTAAAGGAAGTGAACAAGAAAATTAGTCAATGAAGACATCAAGATTTCAACGCCCTGGTGGGTACAAAGAAAAAAATAAGCATTTACCTTGAGTGTCCTCTCATACTCCAGGCCCATCTCCATTGTTCTCTCACTGTAATCCAGCGTTTCCTTCCACGCATGGAGGAGAAACATGAGCCTCAACTGTCTAGCAGTGTATTTCTCCAGGACTTCTTTAATAGTTATAAAGTTTTTCAAGGATTTGGACATCTTGCAGCCATCAACAGTTAAATGCCCAAAGTGGACAAAGTAGCGCACCCAATGGTCATTTTCATAATATGCCTTTGGAAAGAATTTGCAAAATCTTTTTATAATTATAACCTGTGAATTTGCTTTCTGATTTAATTGTATTTAATTTTATCTTTATTTTAAATAGATTAATTAGCTGTTTATTCTAATTTTAAATAATATTGATAATGGTCTCGCTAAAAAAATGTGTAATTAAATTGAAGAAGAAAAAAACATTTAATTTAAACTTTTATTTATCCAATAAAATAGTTAAGGATCTGACTTACTTCAGCTTGAGCAAGTTCATTGTCATGATGTGGAAACTTTAGATCAACACCCCCAGAGTGGATGTCCATGGACTCTCCAAATATATCACTGGCCATTACAGAGCATTCAATATGCCATCCTGGTCGACCCTGTTAGCATGAATCAGAAATATACATTATAGTCATCAAATAAGTCAATATTTGTTTCCATAATAAACAAAAACTTTAAATGACAAACTTCTTTGTTACACCAGGGTTATCCTTCATATTCACTAAACAGCTTTACTGTAAAACACCATTTTGATTATTAAAACATCAGAAAGGTTGTTGTTGTTTTTTCTACATAAGGATTAATTTAATAGTCTTATTCAGTTACTGAAGGAAGAATTTATTTAAAGTCTGGTACACAGAATACTTTGACAAACAGCTAGCAGCAGATTGTACTGTTTGGTAATGAGGTATGGGAGGGGCATCACACCTTTCCCCATGGGGAGTCCCATGCAGGTTCTCCTGGTTTGGAAGCCTTCCACACAGCAAAGTCTGTAGGATGATGCTTTTCGGTTTGCTGGTCCTCTGTTACACTCAGCTCACCTGTTATCATTAAATAAGTCAATTAAAAATCGAATGAATGAAATGAGCTAAACTAATTCATGCAAGACAATTCATTTTGCATTAATAAGGGAAGGTAACTTCAATTTTAGATTAATTAATTTCCCGAACATAACACATCATTGGAAAAAAAACTTTCTCCCTGTTTCACATTTTTGAAAATAAATAAATCTACTTACTGCTTAACAAAGAAGAAGACATTCCATACTAAGTACCGACAATAATATGTAATTACCTTCTCCTTCTGCCAGAGCCCTCTGGTCACCATATGCTTCAGGTACCATTTTAGCATAGAAGTGGTCATTTGTTGCATTAAAAACTTTGGTGTTAAAGTAAACAGAACCGTGGGATGAGTACCTGAACAAAAGTAAACAAAATCAATAATTGGAAAAGATAAAATATATATTTATGTGAGTCACCTTTTCTTATTAACTTTACAACTAGCGACTGCCTTGTAAAGTCAACATAACTTTACAACTAGCAACTGCTTTGTAAAGTCAACATCACTCTGTTTTAAAAGCAAAGAAAAAATCAGACAAGAGAAACTCACATGAACTCATGTAACAAAACATTACTTGATTCATTAAATTTTTTTTTTTTTTAGAGCTAAAAAACTTCACAAATTTTGGTTTTCAAAAACTGCATTATAAAATTATGCTATAAGTCTGCCCCCCAACTGAACAAAATAACTAAAAATATAATATTTTCTAACTTACGCATAGCCATTGGCAATCAACTTCTCACTGTATTTGACAATTTCAGGGATGTATTCACTTACACGAGTCAAAACATCTGGTGGGAGAACCTGAGTGAAGAAATCATCACATACAAATCAAAACGAAAATTGGCAGTGTACATTTATAAATTTGTTTTTATTTTTAATTATGCCTTATATAATTCAAATAAAAAGATGTGATACCATTTATTCTTTACTTGGGGTGTTGCTTCCAAGAGTCATTTTTATTTTTTAAAATAGCCATGAAAATTATTATTTTATTATATATCATGATGGACATAACACAAAAGTGTTTTACTCATGATATAGACACTATATTCATTTACAATTACCTAGCCTAGCTTCCATGAGAACAACTCACATTTAGGGCTTCCATGTCCTTATGGTAATCTTCTTCCCAATAAAGTGGAAGATCTGCAAAGATTTTGTTATCTGTCACTGTTGAACCTCTCTGCTTGTCAAGCCATGATGACAAAATATCTTTGAACTCCAAAAGACTCACCTATTAAGTGTATTGTTAAATAATAAAAACATAACAATATAAGTTTACCTGGCTGCAAAGCATAACCATCAATATAATTGCAACTTTATTTGTTTGTTAAATGCACCAACATTTCAATTTTCTGAATGCTGCTAAAATTTCTTTGAAATATGGATTTTGCCCAACTGTGCTTAAAACATTTGTATTTCCAATGTTTTACAAAGTCTTTTCTCAATTAATGTAATCATTTACCAAAAACAAAAAGCAACATTTCACAAAACATTAAAAGTCAGCTTGATTTACCATTCCCAGCCCCAGAAACTCAAAATTGCCTAATTTAGATAATTGAATACAGGTACTTCCAGATTAACAACCTATTTGTTTAACAAAGTTCAAATTAAGAGCCAATTCTGCAGCAAGACCTTTACTTTGTCCAAATAATTTTGAAATTAAAATAAGGACTAAGACACTCACTTATGAACTGATAAGCTTTGCAACCTAGTTCAAAAGTTTTAAAAAATAATAGTATATATATAATATTATTCACATTTTGTCCAGCGTCTGCTTTTTCCAGAAGGTCTTCAACGTTCTGCTGTGTTTGTGTCAACATTTTGTGTTTGTCTGAGTCTGTCTCTCTGGCAATCTTTGCTTTGAGGGCCTGGAGATATGCATGAAGACTTAGAAATTATAATAAGAAATGAAAACCAAAGTTATTAGAATTTTGAGCTTTTATAAAATCTTGGGAGTTATTTAATTATTTTTAAAGAAAGTAAATACACTGGCATTACCAATATTGAATATGTAATTAAAATGTATGTTAAAGACTAATTGTCTAGGTGTAAAATCATGAATAGTAATAATAATGCACAGCATTTCTGAATTTCTTGCACTGAACTATTTTATTTTTATCTTATGAAATGGTTTTCTTGTTCTTTCAAGTTTTAGAAAATCTGAACCGATCTGTGCATATCAAATTTTATTTTGATTGAATTGTATCAGAAAAAAAATATCAACAACCCAAAAGTATAGTTTTCAAAACTGTTGAATGATTACCTCAAGTGCAGCCTTGACATCTGCTTTCCACACTTCAGGCCTGGGGCTGCTCTCAATGTACTTTTGCATCAAGTGGTTCTGACGAGCTCTGACAATGATCTGATAATTTTTGAAAAATTAATGTTTAGTGTTCTTTTCTCTATTGAAGTATATTTTTCACTACTGTTTTTCGTTATTGTAAGAATTTGTAATATATTTCATAAATAAACATTGTACTGCAACTTGCCACAAGATGATTCATTACATCCGACCATAGTTTATTTTTAAGTGTCAGTCAACACAGCTTTGCAGAGAACCGAACTGGATGGTCTGAACACTTGACTTTAAACAAAAATGGTAAAGTAGTAATGATTTTAATTGTAAGAATATTAATTCTCTCTGTAGAACCATTCTATGTGTTTAATCAACTCACCTTATCATCAACATCAGTGATGTTCATGCAATAGAAGACATCATAATTGAAGTAGTCCATTAAGACTCTTCTCAGGATGTCAAATGTCATGTATGTCCTGAGGAAAAAGAGATCCCTTAAATTTATGAGAATATTCAGAGCACAGTTTGATCATAATTTCTAATTGTTATGGGAAAATGTTCTTGGGTATAGGGCTGAGATTAATAAAATAAAAAGGGGTCTGATATGGTTAATAAACTGTTATCAAGACCAGCCTCTAAACTTTTTAATGGGTTACATTTTATTTCCCACCTGGCATGACCCATGTGAGAGGCATCATAAACAGTTGGGCCACAATTGTACCATGTGACTTTGTTTCCTGATTGTGGTACAAATTCTTCCTAATAAATAAAGATAAAAATGAACAAATACATTAATAAAGATATTTAATCAAATTAATATTTGAATATTAATTTTAAAATTTCATTAACCAATCTAAAGAGATTTATAGAAATACTGTATATTTCTATATCCTTTATATTAACTACGCTTTTGTTCATGTGTTTAGAGCAAAATCTTTGGATGCCTAATTGACCCACTTCCTGTCATCCGGTCAAGTTTCAGTTCGACTTGTATGTTGATTCATACCTTATTTCTAGTCAGACTGTTATAAAGGTGTAATTTTGGTTTGTCCTTTCCTGATGGAGCCTCCCATTTTGGTTGAATCCGTTTCATTCTCTCAGATGTAAATTCTGAAAAATTTTTATCACTATTATTTGTTCAAAAATTTTAGACTTAAAACAGAGAGGAGAGAAGGGGAAGTTAATATTTAAAATTTAAGAAAATACAAAAAAATTCCATTGTTCGATGCTTTGCTGTCAAAAAGTCCAGTACAAGCTACATTGGCCTCCAGCATGACCTTCTTTCTTAAATGGCTTCTTTGCAGGTGCTCTCATTCTTGAGTCTAGACCAGGGGTCAGCAAACTTTTTTGCCAAGGATAAAAGTAATAAATATTTTAGGCACCTTTGGCCAAAAGACCAAGTTGCTGGATGGGTGTGAGGTATCATGAAAATATAGGTTTTTCATAAATGCAAATACATGTAAATTTTAGATTAGAGAAGGGACAGTCAATTTTTTTATTTGGAAAGTGTTGGGGTAGGTATGGATATGCCAGATTATAACATCATGGCAGCACAGTCAAATAAGAATATCTAATGAGACCCCATTACAAAATTACAGCACATAACTTTCATACAGCGCTGCACACTGGTCTTAAGAAAGAGATGGTTGTTTGGATTAAGCCTGCCTGCTCTACTTTGCTGACCTTTGGTCTAGATTCTAGACTGTCAGGTCTATGCTACTAAGTAACTACTGCAAAGAATAATGATGTCAAATTTAAAATTATCATCTTATGAAATTAAAAATTAAACTAGACATTTTATTTTGCAAGATTCTGTGGTGTGGTCAGTGGTGAACTCTAATACTATTGAATAAATCAAACACAATTACTGTGAAATGAAAGCTTTACTTTTTCTCACTTTATAGAGTACATAGGCCTATATCATATATAATTTACAGTTTTAATAATGAGTAAAACTAAAGGGGTGGTCCCTAAGATGGGAGAAAATGAAATATGGATCATGACAAAACCCAATTATAGCATACATTTTTTTTTAGAAATCTTACCGTTGACTTAAAATTTATGATTTATAAGTAGGCTTTTTTTAGCCAGTCCTGTCCACACCACATTTTCACCTCAGCTGTAAAATGCATGACTGTTTTATTTTTAAGCCCCTTTGCCTTTGACAATAAAAAAAAAAATACTTTCTACACTGTATCGGACCAAATGGTAGGCCTACTTTCATTATTTTGTTATTGAAGATCATTCATAATATAGATTATAGAGCTTATTAATAAAATAATGTTCTCAGCAATAATTAACTTTACACTAACGGTAGCCTACATCAAAGTTCAAATAGTAGTAGTAGTGAATAGGCAGGGCCATTAGTAAATATTAAAGTAAAATCAGGAAAAGTCATAAAGATGAATTATTAACATGAAAAAGAATTTTTCTTTGTTTAAATAATAATTTCCCATATTAGCTTTATTATAACATATACAGGGTGGGCCAAAAAAGTGAGAACATCTCGTAAAATATTACCATACGAAATGTTCTCACTTTTATTGGCCCACCCTGTATTGTATTGGCACAGCTACCAACGTGTCGACAGTTAAATCTATTGCCATTTTCGATCAACTCTAACGCAGGTAGACTAACTCATCATTTTTGTTTTAAGCAGTGACCTGTGGTCTATTTTCTCTGCAATGATTGATTAGTGAGGGCTAAGGATTTTAAACTACCAACTCCACCACCCCCCCTCCCCCCAATCCCACCCACCAAAAATTTATGTTTAAAAATAGTTAATAAAAAATATGTAGGCTATTTATTATTTATTTCTTAGCAAGAAAATTACCAGGAGGGCCGTTCCCTCTCGTTCCCGCGGGGCTCAAGCACTGATTGTAAATAAATAAAATTTAAAAAAAACACGTTTTAAAACCCCTAAAGAGGGCTTACACGTACAGAAATTTTAGTTAAAATTTTTAAAGAATTGCAGCCCTTTATTCATTTTTTGGTTTCTTGTTGAAAATGAATTATCAACTTGGCTATTTATTATTTCACCTTTCTATTGTTTGGGTCTCTTTACTTTCTTATCATTAAATAATTACTATTTGTAAACGAAAATCCTCAATGAGTTCTTAGCCGTCGTAAAGATAAAAAAAAATAAAAAAAATTAAATAGTAATAATCGTCTTAAGTAATAATAGGAACAACTAAATCGAACTGGCTATAGACTATAGAGCTGTGTAAAATTATGAAGAAAGCATAAATGAAGCCAAGTGAATTTCTATAAAACAAGAAATACACACTGTAATCTCACCGTAGGAGTCGCTTATTAAACTGGCTTCACGGTCCTCCCAGCATAACCACAAATCTTGACTTGGCCTAAGTTTTATAGATTATATAGGTCTGCGACAAAAGATTTGCTGACGTTATGTCACCAGGATTTTTATTCCCGAGGATATTTGTTTATTAGTAGGCTATTGAAAGCTGGGTAATATTAAAGACTACATTTTTCATGGCTAAAAATAATTTTCAATAACTAAAGATCATTCGATCAAGGAAGGTACCTGGTAATTTTAATTATTGTTTTTTTTTTAATTCTCGTTATTGGTGGTTGCGCGTGGTGGCCAATCTCACCTCATATACTAAACTGTGCACATGTGCACCCGGAGCTTTAACTGTGCACGTGTGCACATGTGTACCCACAACCATCGCACCACTTTAGGGCTTTGTGTCACCTTTATTGAAAGTTGATTTTTTTTTTCCATATCACATCTTCGGGAAATAAGTGACACCAAAAAAAAAGGGGGACTTGACCTACTTTTGCTCTATCACATCACTTTTGCTGTTCTCTCGGATATCGGTACTACATTGCAGTTGTTTTTAGTTTATTTTTATTTTTATTTTTATATTTTTTTTTTTTTACTGTTGTTCTCTGACGACGGCCTCTTGTCGACACGTTCGGTTTTTTTTAATTTTGTTGCACCCCCTTTTTTAGGTTTTCCCATACTTCGTTTCCTATATTCCATTCTACCTAATCAGATTGCAGTCTCCCCTACCCTTACTACCACATCTTCGTGGCCCTTAACTATCCAAGGCCCCCTGCAGCCGCAGGGCTCACGTGACGGCCCTGTATGTACCAACATGAAATTTAAAGCCAGATTAACATAGAGCGGGCACAATGACATAATATTTCAAATGTGCCCATTTTTTTCCTAATATTATCTAGATTTCGCCATTCCCCTCCATTACACAACGTTGGTTAAAAATGAAGAAATGCCAAGAGATTTTTTTTTTTTAATTGGGATCATGACATGGAGATTGGAGACTTAAACTCTAGCTCCATGGTGGTGGTTAGACATCATAGAAAAGATTTTCCCCAAACTGGGGTGTCAGATATTGATTAAAACATTGGCACGAGAATAAATTTTAGTCTAAACCAAGCAATGCAAATGCAATATTCCCTTCGCTTTGCTGACTTGATTATTTTATATATTCTTGTCTTCATTTTTTTAACCTTTATCGGATTTACAGGTGCGTCAAAATGTGTCATAATTAACGAGACAGGTGCTGAAGAAGTTGAAACAAGCATAAGTCATTACCTTCGCGTACATTTACCCCCAACCCACCCAGTGCCGTCTTATGGCATTTTCCATATAGAGTACGACGAATCTTTTTAGTTGCAATTTCTTTCAGCTATATCTGCTGGGGGGGGGGGGGCCCCCCTTAAGCAAAAAATGTCCCACAAAAAAAAAAACTGGGCCTCCCCCCCCCCCCCCCCCCCACAAAAAACTTAAATGCCCCCCCCCCCCCCCCCCGGGGGGGGGGTGTTTCTGAAACAATCACTGCGTACAAATTAAACTATTTAACATGCCGAAAGATTTGTATGTGCATAGCTAGTTTGATTTAAAAATACCGAGAGCTGGTTTGGTATCAGAATCACTATCATGGAGCCTCTCGTGTTATACTACCATAGACATGTTCATAGCTCTGCAAGAGTAGATTTTCAAACGCTTCTTTCTTGCAAAAAGTGTTGGACTGCAATAAAGCTTTAAAATATATTAATAAGACACGAACAAATTGTGTCAATAGAACAATATGAGTTAGCTTTAATAATAATTGTACATTATTTCTTGCAAAACGAATACAATAACCACAAGAAATGTTAAAGTTGCCAGTAGACTGCCATTACCCAACACTCAGCGGCTGCTTTTGAAGATAGTTGTCCAGATGCTAGCAGAATCGTGAAATTCTATTTGGTGTTAAAATTACATTCCAATATTTGTTTTCTTTACTCAATTTTTTAACATTGTTTCCACTTTAAAATGGGAATCTAAATTTGGTCCACATGGCTTTTATAATCGAGGTTACTAGTGAAAAATAAATTGTTTTAAAAATAAAAGAGAGAAACACACTGTTTTATAATACTATATAATACGTTGGCGGGTAGGCCTACATTGTATTTAAGAGATTGTTTACAAGTTAATAAAATGCGTTTCTTGGAAAATATCACACTGAATCTATGCCGAGAACAAATCGGAAAATACCGATGAAGTAGTCTACAATAAGCTATTTTTCGGAAATCAAACGTCCATACACATTTAGTTCTTGGCTTGGGTTCTAAAAAGTTATGATTTCTTAGAATTCTATCAGAGTGGTTTTAGTGAACGGAATCCTTCTTTGGATGATGATGTAATACAGTAAGCTTACCATTGCAGCTATAAATAAAAAGTACCTCTGGCATATTTCTAGTGCCAACGCGGAGCTGATATCAGCAAACTAGACGTCACCCTTTACGCACTATTAATTTTGGAAAAAGCAAAAATAACAAACTTGCTGACGTAGACTTAAAGAAGAAAAAAAAAATATTTCCCCAATACTTTCCCGGGACAAGGTAAGTATTGTGTCTGATAGCTGGACACCTGCCACTCTCATACTAGAGTCCCTTACACTGGCTTCCACCAGTCCAGTATTAATTACCTTACCCATACGCCCATATTATAAAAAAAAATTAAAATAAAAGCATTACAGACCACTGTTGTATTTAAAGTATTAATTTAAAAATTACTTTTATTTAGGTCTACTTCTTCTTCTTTTTTTTTTCTTCTTTTTTAAAAACTTTTGGGTCCCTGAAAATTGTGTACCCGAGGTAAACAGTCTTAATCCATGGAACCGAAACTTGGAGCACAACAGCGAGCATCACGCAGACGGCACAGACCTTCATAAAGACATGCCTCAGAAAGATCCAGAACATCAAATGGCCAAACATCATCACCAAAAAAAAAAAAAAAAAACAAACAGGAAAGAACAAACAACAACAAAAGGCCAAAAATCAACACCAAAAAAAAAAAAAAAAAGACTTACAGGAAAGGACATACCAGGAACCTATTCCTGAAAACATCATAAGGAAAAGAGGGAGGGAGACTGGGCACATTCTTCGTAAACCCCTAGATAACATCACCAGACAAAGCCTAACACGGAAACCACAAGGAAAAAGACAGAGAGTAAGCCCTAAGAGTACATGGAGACGCGAGCTAGAGGCAGACACACACAAAGTATGGGCTACACCTGGACGCAACTGGAAAGGAAAGCACAGGACTGAGATGAATAACAAATTCTTGTAGACGGTCAATGCCCCAGACGGGGTAGAGGCACAAGTAAAGAAAGGATGAGGATTTGAGTGTGAACTGGATGAGGATCTGGGTATGAAATGGTTGATGCTCTGGGTATGAACTGAATGAGAATCTGGGTATAACACGGATGAGAATCTGGGTATGAAATGGATGAGGATCTGGGTGTATTGTGACATAGAGAGGGAGGGGGAAAATTGTTCCCCCCCCCCCCATAAATAGCATGATAGTGACTTTATGGTCGGTCCCAAAGTTGTTTTTTAAAAATACAGTCACGTAACAACCTGTTATGACGGCTTTGCATCTGTCAACTTCGTTCAATATTTCGTTGACTATCTCTTTTAAACACTTTGAACAACAGGAGGGTGGAAGGTAGTACGGAGTGTGACTTGGATAGTAGAGTCCTACAGATAGGACGGAGTGTGACTTGGGTTAGAGAGTCCTACAGATAGGACGGAGTGTGACTTGGATTAGAGAGTCCTACAGATAGGACGGAGTGTGACTTGGATTAGAGAGTCCTACAGATAGGACGGAGTGTGACTTGGATTAGAGAGTCCTACAGATAGGACGGAGTGTGACTTGGATTAGAGAGTCCTACAGATAGGACGGAGTGTGACTTGGATTAGAGAGTCCTACAGATAGGACGGAGTGTGACTTGGATTAGAGAGTCCTACAGATAGGACGGAGTGTGACTTGGATTAGAGAGTCCTACAGATAGGACGGAGTGTGACTTGGATTAGAGAGTCCTACAGATAGGACGGAGTGTGACTTGGATTAGAGAGTCCTACAGATAGGACGGAGTGTGACTTGGATTAGAGAGTCCTACAGATAGGACGGAGTGTGACTTGGATTAGAGAGTCCTACAGATAGGACGGAGTGTGACTTGGATTAGAGAGTCCTACAGATAGGACGGAGTGTGACTTGGATTAGAGAGTCCTACAGATAGGACGGAGTGTGACTTGGATTAGAGAGTCCTACAGATAGGACGGAGTGTGACTTGGATTAGAGAGTCCTACAGATAGGACGGAGTGTGACTTGGATTAGAGAGTCCTACAGATAGGACGGAGTGTGACTTGGATTAGAGAGTCCTACAGATAGGACGGAGTGTGANAAAGCTAAAGTGCCCCCCCCCCCTCGGGGAAAATTTCTGAAAGAAACACTGTATGAATATAGCAAGCACCTGGGGATTTCAGTAGAGTGGAGGGCTGGAGGCTGGAACCATATAAAAAATAATCAAGAGTTCAAAAAAAAAAAAAAGTATCAACTGTTTTATTTTGCTTTTTGTTTGTACACTGGCTTGTTATTTGTTAAGAGGAAGAAAAGTATAATAAAACAAAACAAGCAAAGTGGTTATAAGCCTGTAAAAAATCTACATTCATCATGGTCGCAGTTCACAAAATTATTGACAAATAACATGAGCATAAAAATCTGTCTGCTGTACACAGATTTGCCTCGTTATAAATTATAGGACAGACTTGGGAATGTTTAGGCTGAGCAAGGTAGACAATATTATCTTTCACGCAATCACATATTTTTTAAATGACAATTGGACACTGGCTGTAGGAATAATGTTGCAGAGACTGCGTTCAAGTCAGCAGCGTGAATGAAATAGTAAGAACATGGTATGTGAAAGCCAGAGTAACCAACTCCTGGCTGTATGGAAACCAGATTTAATTTTTTAACAGGTAGTGGTAAACTTGCTTCTTTCAAAATTTTACGAATTTAATCAATATTAAAATTATTTTTTGCTATTATCTAATTTTAAAAGTACGAACTTTTTTTTTTTTTTGTGTGCCCTACCATTTAAATTTAATGTAAGATTTACTTGAATGATAAACAAGTTCTACTTAATTCCAGAGCCAATTCTACAATTCTGTGAAATACACTCTTTGAAGTAAGCATTCAAAACAAGACAATATATTTACATAACCAACAAATAAGTAATTACATCAAAGCATTGGTATATCAAATTTTAAAATTGCAGGGGAGGACAACTGCAAATGACAGATTTTCAAATTAAAAAAAAATAATGTAATCCTTTTTTTAAATTCTCCTAGTCATAACATGTTCCCAGGTGTCCTCCCCTCTCACCTTTTTACCACTGGTTAAAAATAGAGACATACATTTTTCCATTTGCTTAAAGGACTGGATGGTTAGGCACTCAAGTGGTAAATGAAAAAAAATCTGACAATCAAAAGGGCTGTAGGCCTCCAAAAAACAAAAAGAATTTAAAACTGAAAGATTTATTTCTACACTTGCTTATCAGGGACAATGCCAATATTTAAAAAAAAACAAAAAAGATTGATCTAAGGAAAATGATGCAATGAAACAACCAGAGGGATAAATTTTTGTTTTTTGTATACTCTTAGTTAAAAGCTTCTGTGAGATAATCCATAAAACATTTATTGACAGATTTGTATGCTAAAAATATTACATTTGATAATTATAAAACAAACTTACAGCTAAAACTAAAACTCACTGTTCTTACCTCCAATACTTCAAGCTTTATTCATTACTAAGTGCAAGACTACAGAGCTCTCCTGTGATATTAAAATTAAGTTTTAAAATTTAGAGAAAAAAAATCAATGGCAACAGATGTATCCTTTTACCATAGATTTAAATCTACACAAGATTTCATCATGCTTTTTTTTAAAGTTTAAAATTGAAAAAATGTATATTTACAATGCTACAAAACAATGCAATCAACTATAGTGGGTGCTTGAGTGATACAACAGAAGGCCAGTGATTATTGATGGCTTTACCATCAAGTTCTCAGTTTTTAGTTATTAAGTGACATGAAAAATCAGGATTTCTGATGGATTTTATAATTAAGATGAGGCCATGGTGGCAGAATGGGTTAGAAACAGAAGTACAAGAGTTCCAGTCCTGGTCAAGCCAATTCAAACATCTAATCTATCACCCCTTGATTATCCTTATCATTCCCCATACAACATAGCTGTGTTGCCATGGCCCCTGAAGGCCTAATCTGGCGTTGTGAATTCATTCACTCATCACAAAACACAAACTTCTGAGCAAGGTTATGGCAATATTCTTAATATTGTTTAACATCAATGTTAATGTTAACACTGGATTACAGAGGTATAAATATATGAATGTGAATATAACAGTGACAAGTCTTAATAATAAAAATATGTTTAACAGTGGAATGTTCTATTCTGACGGCATGGACATCAACAGGGAACAATTCAATAAAGACAGTAATGGGAAATGATCTGACTATAGAACAATTTCACTCTTGCTATTTAAAGGATGACAATAATCCCCAATATGCTTGAGTATATCGATACGTATTTATAATCATGGGAATGTTCATAATCTTAAATGAATCTATTTATGTGCCAATCAGAATTCTAAAAAAACTTCATTTTCAAAACATTGATCTAGGAACTCTTGGGAGACAACTATTTTGTGATAATTTTATTAGGCTCAAAAGATGTTTAGATCATAACCTTATTTTTAAGTCCCATGTATGTATCCCACACCTGTTAATAAAGTGCAAAGGTTTTACAAAGGGAAATCATATTTATGACCATCTACTTCATTTATGACAGTTGATTAATTTGTGACACGCTTCTAGAATTCTAAATGCCAGGGAGGAGATACATCAGATTATTTCCCACAAAATGCCAATACAAATAAAATTATTTTGTTTATTTAAAAATGTTATCCAAATGAAACTTGCGAGCCAACTTGTGTAAAAATGTGAATGTTTGTCAAAGAACCTATACTGTAAGACAATGTCTCAGATGGTAATTGTAGTAAATTTGTAGTGAATGTGCATTGTAAAACTTAAGCAAGTGAAAATACAAAGGACAGAAATGAACAAGAAACTAAACCAATACACAAATCATGTTGTCATGTAAAGGGTAACAACATGCTGCTGTATATTTTATAAGTGCTTTTTTTCCAGGGGGGGGGGGAGGGGAGAGGAGAAAGGAGAAGAAGAAGAAAATTGTGAACTAAAGAAGCACTGATCAGCTATATACAGTATATATAAATATATCTATCAAAATCTTAAATGTACATTTATTGTAAATTGAATCAAAGAGAATAGTTGCATGGTGAGCAATATAAAGAATTTGAAAGTCCAACATTACACACAATGGAGAGATCAATCATTAGGTTCCTTCATCCATCAATTCCATGTCACTCTTAATTAAAAAAAAGAAAAACACCAGATTGTATTTTAAGGTAATATTGACATTTTTTAGGTCTAAAGTTTCAATCCAGGTTGTTGAGCAACCTTTTGCTGGTTAAAATGAATAAGTGGAAAATTTTTCTATGATATAACATGGCAGGTTTTTTTTCCTCTTGACAGGAGTGGAAAAACAGAATAGTCCAATTTGTGATTATTTAACTTTAAAAAAAGATTTTTTTTAAGTTTAGGATTTAGGACAAGTATGATTTGAGGTGAAACAAACAACAAAACTACTGTAATTTAACTAGATTTACACAGGGGAAGCAGCCAATTTCCTTGGTTTAAAAATATAGGAATTTGTCAGCCCGTTTGTAAATAACATTTAGATTATCATATGTCAAACAATCTTCTTAAATTGACTTAAAAACAGTTTTCGTTAATTTATATCAAAAGGATATGATCATTTACATTTCACAATATTTAAAAGGCAATTATTTCATATTTAGAAACATAATGTTTTCTTTAAAAAGCTTAATAAGTAAATAATGAATCTTATTGAAGTCTGACTTTTGAGACACTTAAAACTTACCTCTGCAGTTAAATGAGAAAAGTTCATTTTTTTAAAATTCATTAAACTGAAGGTTAACAAAATAAGAATCTTAACAGTCTATATTTCTGTTTCAACAGATTCATGCTTTTTGGGTCTTGAGCCCTGATTGAGGTACAGAACATCACCAGACGGTCGTACACTAATATTGCTTCCAGGTGAATAAGGTGGTGGATTCTCATCCAGGTTTTCTCTGCTGCCTCTGAACTGTTGGGCTGAAGGAGCTCCAGAAAGGTCCAGCCTGTCTCTGCTTCGCGATCTAGAATCTGCATAAGATGTTGTCGCAGAGTACGGGGGTGGACGGGGTAAAGTGTTTAGGTGATCCCTGCTGCCTCTGGGTATGTTCTGGTAAGATCTGTCAGATGACGAACTCACCCCTGGTTTTGGGGGAAGAGATTCATCCAGTCTTGGGTTACTTGCCGCAGACTGAGGCTGTCTATGCCCAAAGGAGGCGTCTGATTGCTGAGAAGGTGTGTAACTGTCAATATCTGAAACCAGCGGCCGGCGGAAATTGTTGGGTTTTGCCGCCGGGTCGACAAGACGATCTAGGCTGCGGTTCAAGGCAGCACTGCCCATGGGTCTGGGCATATAATCAGTGTCAGGGGCTTGATCTACACCATAAGCAGCAGATGGACTATATTCAATGGGTTCATACCGGTCTGTTGATCTGCTTCGGTCGGATGGCGTCCCGCTATAAACTGGGTCATAAAATGGGCCCCTGTTGGAGCCTTGGCTTGAGGCTCCTGTGTTCTTATACAAGTGTGATGAGCTGTTATACACAGGGTCATAGACCGGTTGTTGTGGTCCTGGCTCATTCGTATACAGTCTATTTGAAAGTTTCTGAGCTGGTGCTGAACCAGAAACTGGTTGCGAGGCTTGTGAAGAGGCTTCTGATGAGGCAGGAGATGCCCTTCCATTATTGGGAACTAATGGCTGCCTCATTTCATCAATCCTTGGTCTCATTGGTGGGGCTGGTTTGGGTCGAGCCATGGGCACTGGTAATAATTTAAGTGGCTCGTGAACGACTTTTGGATTCTTGGGATCAGTTATATTGTCTTTAGATGTGCTGCGTGGAGGGAAAATATTTTTGGAAAGGGTCACAATGGGATCGGTGAAACTAGACACAGATCTGCTACTGTTGGAATTTTGTGCACTGGAGTCACTGTCTCCAGACTCATCTTTGTTGTAACGACCTGCACCTGGTTTATTAGGAGTCACTGCATTTTGGACTAATCTGCCATTTGCTCTATTCATGGTATTTCGACCGTCCTTTTCATCTTTTGTTCCTCTGTTTCTGATGTCTTTTTCTTTCTTGTCATCCTCCTCTTCATCAAAGGTGCTGTCTGAATCAAAGTCTTCTTTGTCTACTGAACCAGAGCTTTCTTCATCCTCTTCTTTGGTGTAGCGCCTCCTATCATCTTCCTTTTTCCTACTATCTTGTTCAAGTGTCTGTCTTCCACCTTCAGCTCCTTTCACTACATTTTGGGGTTTAGCTAATGGCTTTGACCTGTCCGGTCGTAAACTATGAACTGGTCTTCCATTATCCCGCTGTTGGGCAGGGGCCAATGGTCGGTTTGGAATATATCGCTGCTGCTGAGCGGCAGCAGCTGTTGGCCGGCCTCCATAATCTCGCTGTTGGGTTGCTGTAGGAATCACCACACGGGGCTCGGGTGCATAGCCAGAGCTGACACTCTCAGCAACATCATCACTGACGGCTGAACTCTGAGAATGCTTAGTGTCAGAGTAATCTACGGATCTATCATCAAACTCATCCAGGCGTGTCCTAGACATAGCTCCAGACAATGCCGTTAGGTTAGACTTTGTTCCCCTGAGAGAGCTGTTTATTTTATTCAGATTGTTCAAGGACGACCTGATTGAGGCGGTCCTTTCAAATCTTTCCTTTTCGCGGCGTTTTGACTTGATACACATAAGAATTGCAACAATAACAATGATGATGATAATGACCCCGCCAACCCCAACAGATATGCCTATGATCATAGCCATGATGGCTGAAGTCAGTTCTTCTGGAGCAGTCACTTGGGGATCTGAAAATGAACCAAAAAAAGATTTAGAACTTCTTAAACTTAAAGTTTTAATTCTTAAATAGGCACTCAAAAGTAAAGAAACCAGTCTAAATTTGGGTGACCATACCAGGAATATGATGTTTTTATTCTTTAATTCTTTATGAGAATATCAAATTAATAATATTTTGAGTGCTTAAATGTTGTTTAGCAACCTCAAAAAATAATATGAATAGCTTGTGAATGATGAAATCTTCATCTATTTCCATAAACATCAAACAACTTTTTGATGAGCATTGATTTGAAAATCCCCTATGTCTTGCCAATCAAAATCGAAAATACCTTTAAAATTAATACTGTATAAATATATAATAAAATGTAAGCATTTTTCAGCATTGCTTCAAGGTATTTTAAACATTAGCTGTAGAGAAGTAAAACAAGACCTTTTAAAACCAAGATTGAGATTATAATGAAACAAATACAATTGAAGCAGTTGCATGACAAATTCGGACAGTAAAAAAATGGTGCAGGTACAGCTGTTAAAAAATAATTTAAATCTTACCTGTTTCACAAATGAAAGGATAATATTTCCGACTGCAGTCCTGCTCATAAACTAGGTAGGAGTTCTCAAATGCAGCACAACGGCCTCCCCCAGTTTCAGACATTACCCAAACTCTTTGAATCAAGGTTGGATCAATGACCATCAGCCTCATTAAATAATTGAAGAATCCCTCCCGGTCCCTAGCTTCTGCCAAAAATGCTCCATGAAGCTGGTGAGAAAAAAACAAATGTTTGAGTCGGAAAAAAAACTTTGTCAATGCAGAAAAATATAACACACCAAATTAGCTAAACGTAATTCCTGATATATTATAATAAATTTTTACCAGAAAGCAGAAAGATCAAGCTATTTGTAAAGCTATTTTACCTTTAATGAAAATAAGGTTACAATGAAATAATGTGTGACTTGCTCTGTATTTTCCTCATCAAAATCATGAATACAAAATTAAAACAGAATTTGTGCAAACACATATTTGTAATTTTGTTACAAGCAATTTAATTTAAACAACTTTTTGATTATCTCATGATGAAGAAATGAATGACAGAGAAAAATATCAAGTATTTTGTTTAAAAAATTATTGAAACAATTATCTTACCAGGCAAAACTCTTTGGCTTTGTCATATGGAAGTGCTCCTCCCATGTAACGGTAGCAGCGCTGCTTATCAAGCACCCATCCAGGTAAACAATCACCTAGAAATAATTTTGTATTTTAAATTTTATAAATCTTGATTTTTAAGTTAAATATTAATGAAGGAAAGATATATTTCATAAAAAGACATAAATTTAAAGTTATTTCACAAAATGCCTTTAACCCTCTTGAGACGGAGCCTTTTTGGGTTGTCTGTGGCAAAAAGATGGAGCCATTTCAACAAGCTGCACTTACTAAGCAAAAAAAAAAAAAAATTATAAAAAATAAACTATTTACTTTACAAATATAAAACTATATATTTTCTTGTAGGGAATTGAATAAACTAATAAGATCTTTCTGAATCAAACTGAGAACTCAACATTTATGCAACTGAGATATAATTTGCATAATTTATGCATACAATAATTTTTTTAACACATAGAATAAAATTGTCTAACTTGAAGAATTTTGTTGAATTTTATTGTTGAAGCCTAAATAAGCTCTAACCCATATTCAATGTGAAAAACTGCATAAAAGATTTCCTGTCGCTGTAATGCCTTTTGGCAGATTGCAAGGTCGAATATTATTTAAGCATATATAGGTGTCACAAGGTACTAAAAAATTGATATAAAATGACACAAAACAGCAAAATAAAATATCATTAAAATAAGCAAGAAATGCGAGAAATAATCTGATTAGCTGGTAAGAAAAAAAGACAGTCAATCTCGGGGCTACTATTATTGGGCCGCTAGAATAGCCCAGCACTCTCCAGAGGGTTAAAAACACAAAATAACAAATCCAAACCAATTTTTTTTTGGTTACCTTCAACCAATGACCTATTATCAATGATTGGAGGGATGAAGTTGACTTCTACCAATCTGTCCTCATCACTGAAATCATAAGTCTTGCCACTGATATAAGCTGTTCGTTCTGAGCCCCACCAATTGTTTTTGGCATCGATGCTACCATCATCTAACCTGATGAAAGATGTAAAAACATATCCGTAAATAGCTCATTCCATTGAGAATATAACAGTATAGGGGCCATGTAAAAATGAGTTGGATATTGCGAAAATATGTTTTCTTGCTCTTACATTCCTTTAAATTATAATATCCTAATCACATCGTTTGGTTAATTGAATAAAATACCCTTTATTCAATGTCAAAAATCCCTTGTGAATATTAAAATTACCTGGATATGTAATCAGGTGTAAGACCTGGTGAGATATTGTGTTAATATTATTGTACGACTTTTTAGTTAATTAGGGACACTACACCTTTGATTCCAATATTTAAATTTGAAAATATCATCATAAAAGTAAAAACATGAGTGGATATATAACATCGAAAGCACACAAATTGTAGATGAACTTTATATGTACGTCATCTTGAAGTAAAGGGCATAAATGTTATAAATCCATTTACTTTGCAAAGGAAATTTCGTATCCTTTGGAATTTACTTTAACAATTTTAATATTGTTCACTCTCAGGGATTTTCCCAGTCCTCGTAAGGTTGAATCATTATCATAGTTTTACTTGCTTTTTTAAAAAAAGGCACATCACCCTTTCCATGATGCATGTAAAACATTAAATATCACAAAATGTATTAGTTTAAAAAGATCCAATACCTGAGCAAAGCATTTTGAAAAGAGAAACTATTTGTATTTTAGCTATGGTAGTTCAATGTCAGTTATTGTTGGCACTTTTATATTATTTCCATAAAATTGTTTAATACAATAAAATTAAAAGCAAAACCGACAATATTTTGTAAAGTTGTAGAAATGACAAATGCACGCCTAGAGAATATAAAAGTTGAAAACTTACATAGATTTTGGATATGTTTCCATTTCGAAGTCATTAAGAGTATTGACCAAATAATTGTTGATGAACTTTGGCCTCCCTAGTCCTATCTTAATGGTTGTCTCTCTTAATGCTGTGGCATTGTTGTTATATATTCCATTACGTGAAAACAGCTGTGACTCTGTGCTGTCATCACTAAAAGAGGTACAAGACAAAGTTTCATATAAAATAAACTGATATCAACAAAAAAGTTGTTTCAGCAGATGGCGGTGAGTTCAACTGCAAAATTGGACGAGGATACTCTTTAACAAAAAGCTACCTTAGCAGCTCTATAATTGATAAATAAAATAGCTCAAATCAAATGAGCCACACTGCAGCAGTGTATTATAATGGTGTTGCACACAGTCGCAGACATGATCTCAACAAAGCTTTTAAACTTTTAAATTATATATTCTGTAGACTATGAGAAATTTATTTCAATCCAAATTTTACACCAACTTACTTGTTATATGTATGGATGATATAGTGCCCCACATTTCGGAGAATGTAGTTGTGGGTTAGATTGACAACAACATCTTTTATGTGGATGACATCCCTGAAATCACCTGTAGATTTTTTTGTTTTTAAATATTAAAAGAAAGTTGAACACAGCCAGTGTGGAAGCAATATATAATACCTGTTAAGATCCCAAACCTAATAAAATTAAAATAATAATGTAATCTTTATTTTTTTAAAATCCGTCACTTTTACTATGGAACCAGCAATGAATTATCTAAGATATAATAACAGCTTGTTTTCAAGGAAATAACTCTTAAAATCTAATTTCACTTTATTTCCAATTATTTCTTACACTTAAAAACACAATTAAAATGAGCAGAGCAAAAAAAATATACTAAATTTTATTCAAATGTGAACGTTTCTTTTACAACCAAGTTCAGCCACACTGAGGCTGAAATAAATTCAAAATACCAGTACATGATTCCAAAACTTCACCTTACTTCTAAAACCAATAATCTCTCTCAATAAAATCTAATTGTTATCAATTATTTTAACATTTTGTACATTTGTTTTCTAATTTAAGTTAAAAAGGGTAGAAAGATTATCCCACACTTTTACTTTTAGAGAGGACTGAACAGATTTCAAACTCTTTAAAAGATTTCTCAAAGCAAATAAAAGTGACTTAATTATACCTGCAAGCATTCACTTTCACAGTTCCACAAAAAATATATATATTCTTTTTTTTTAAATATGAGGAAATGGTGTAAAGAAGTGGCAAATCACTGAATCATCTAGAGACTAACATCACTGAACCATCTATAGACCAACATCACTGAATTGTCTAGAGATCAACATCACTGAATCATCTAGAGACTAACATCCCTGAATCATCTTAGAGTCTAGAGACTAACATCCCTGAATCATCTAGAGACTAACATCACTGAACCATCTATAGACCAACATCACTGAATTTTCTAGAGACCAACATCACTGAATCATCTAGAGACCAACATCACTGAATCATCTAGAGGCCAACATCACTGAATCATCTAGAGACTAACATCACTGAATCATCTAAGAGCAAACTTATACCTGAACTGGAGGAAGATATTATACACAAGCAAGTAAAAAGTTAATTTTCTGAGACTCTAAATATACAACTAGTTACCAGCGGTGTAGTTATAAATGTAGTTCTGGTGCAGCATGAGTCTTTGGAAGTAGTGGCCAGATATGTTCAGAGCCTCCCCATTTTTACCAAAGGCAAACACATTGTTGGTCATATTTCCCTTAAGAGCTGTGTTGATGGTAGAAGTGTGAGCAAAAATGTACATCCCTCCATGATTGTAGGAAACCTGCAAGACATGATTGATTAGCATTATTAAAAACAGAGGGGAAAAAAAAAAAAAGGGGGGGGGGGTCGATTTTTATTTCTGCAAGTTATTAAACTGTTGTTTAAATACTGTGACTTTTTAATATTTCCAATAGACAGTGCTTGAATAATTTACAACTGGAAGGAAATTTAAAACAATTTTTTTTAAACTGTATGATACAGATGAACACAGAGTGCTAAATGTGCATGGTTCTGACATTGGTAGTGTTTCACTTTTGCCTTCAAAATAAGTTATCATTCTAAAGTAATTTTAAAAGTCAGCGGCACAAGAGTGAAGTAAGTTAAAATATAATAACAATACATTTTGTTCATATTAATAGTCTATAGTAATTAAGCTTTCTGACCTGGTTATGAGAAAATCTGAAGCTGATAGTGCTCTGTAAAGAGATATCAATGGAAGGAGGAGAGGTAAGATTCAGAATGGGGAAACCATTCTCACTGATGTAGCAGTGCTCAATGAACAGGTTCGGAGTTGTCTCCCCTACATTCTTATACTGAATAGCTCCATCTTCGTTTTTCCTTATCTCCGCATTTTGAACTCTATGTGTATATTCACTGTCTGCAATTTAAAAAAAAGGACATAAGAATTTTGCACACATTTCAGTTCTTCCTAAATAACCTAATGGAAAAAAATGGAAAATAACTTTATTTATTCTGCCTTGTACCTCCAAGAGATTGTTAACTTTAATACAACAATGCACTACGTATGCTCTGGTCCAGGGGGGAAAAAATCCTTAAAAAAAATGGATTTACTTTTCAGCAGTGCCCGGCAGAGGTGACATGCTAATATTATACTACCCACACCATCAAGAGCAATTAGCTCAGCACCTTAAGAATATATATCCGAGGATTAATCAAACTAGTGATTAATGTCCAATGTTTTCATGGCAATGCACTACACACAATCTCATGGACTAGTATGCATTTTGCTCTTTAATTGTTCAAAATCATTAAAGCTGGAAGCATGGGCGCCCGCAGAAAACTTTCTAGGGGGGGGGGGCCAAAAAATCGATTAACTTTCTAGGGGGGGGGGGGGGGGGGCATATTTTTTTTAGTAATGTTTTAATATAGTTTATATGCATTTTGCTCTTTAATTGTTCAAAATCATTAAAGCTGGAAGCATGGGCGCCCGCAGAAAACTTTCTAGGGGGGGGGCCAAAAAATCGATTAACTTTCTAGGGGGGGGGGAGGGGGGGCATATTTTTTTTAGTAATGTTTTAATATAGTTTTAATTTACTGTACCATATTTGCATGGTGAACTAACGGACAAGACACCAGCTTAGTTACTTTCTCTTTATTTTCTCTTTACTTTAACACATTTTTTGTCTATTTTTGTCTAAAAATTTTTATTCAATCAATCCAGGGGGGAGGGGGGGCAAATGCCCCCCCTTGCCCCTACCTGCGGGTGCCCATGGCTGGAAGTGTTTGTTGAGGTTAGATATAAATGAAAGTAATCAGTAAAAAGTTAATTGTCTGTCCCATAAACAGAATATATGGGGGGGCGTTGTTACAAGTGACCGTATTTGAAACAATGCCTAAAAGCAATTTTGTTTTTGGTGTAAATCCTTTATACGTATTTTGTTTTATTTTACTATTAAATGACCCACCCGATGGCTTGTACCTGTGATAATTTATAACAAATGAGGAAGGGAAGAACACATTTTTGAAAATGAATACACAAAAAAAGATAGGGAAAAAAAACACATACTCAAAAGATCTCATTTAGAAACAAGTTTCTCCTTTTCATCTCTCATATGATATCAACAACTATAACTTTTCCAAAATTTATTACATTTTTTAACTATTTTAAATACACATGCCATTTTTTAAAGCTTCTGTATGGTTTCCTTTACTTTACCATGTTTACCCATATTAAATTTAAATAAAGCTACAAAATTATAACTTACTGGGGGAAGTAAGTCCTGATAATGGAAGCTTGAGAACTTCTGCAATGAACCCATATGAACCATAGCTGACTGAGGCATGAACGTGCACAGCCATTGTATTGCTGGAAGTCTCATACAAACGCTGGATGTCTGCATTACTGCTATTTGACATTATGCTCCCAATAAGGGTTCTTTGTCCAACTTCAGTCCCATCAAAAATCTCAATCAAATTTCGACTGAAATCCTCTTGGAAAAGGTTTATCTGCAAGAACCTAAAGCCAATAGTCTTTCTTGAGCTAAGATGAAAAAATTTAAATCCTTGATTAATCTCAGTGTTGGGTTTACATGCTCTAAAACAAAATGAGCCATGATATCAAAACATAAATAAATTTAAAATTTGTTAACAATCAAGTAATTTCAAATTGACCTCCTAAATTTTTGTTAGGATTTTATGCTATTAAAATTTAAACAAATTAATTTTCAATGAGTACAAGAAAACAATTCTAGTTAAATATAAATTAAATAGGAGTAATAACAACAATAATATCAAGTTTTTAGATATTTCTTTTTCTCTATGTTGTGGTAGTAATGTAGGAACAGACAGAGTTGGCAATCTTTTGCAATGGCTTACTAAGAGAACCGGCCTTGTTCCTAACTTTCCCACTGTTTGGTTGACAACACCATCTCCACCCATTAGTTGAGGGGATGTGAGGTAAGCTAAGCTCAGGGCTTCCCAGGCACTAAAAGGCACCTGTTTTATAAATAAAGCTTTTGGGATTGACCAAGGACCACCAGCTGGCTGTGATCCAAGTCAGTAAGATAGCATTTTTTCTATCTTGGCTTGCAACTATAGCCATGACTAGTAACTTACTTACTTAAATCATTCTATTATTTGAATGTGTGTTCAGTCCCCACTATTCAAACCATTATAGATCTTTTAAAAAAAACAAAAAGAAGAAAATATCCATTAATTTCACCATAACATCCACACCCAAACTTTAGCAAATATCTATCAATACATTTTAACTTACCTGAAGATCTTGACACAGTCTCTCATTTGCGGACCATACTTGTAAAACAAGATGACCCTTGTTTTAACTTCAATCACTTTTTCTAGCCTACATGCATCAACCAGGCCATAGACATTGTAAGGCATGGTGTTGAGGCCGCTGGGCATAAAAGATGACCGACGATTGCTGGACTCACCATTAAGCACTAGGACATTGACCCCAAAGCCCAAATTTCCAGAAATATTTTGAAGTTGGAGATTAAGTTCTTGTCTAGGGGCGATGATGTCATAACCATTTTCTGCACATTTTGTGATGTTCACATTTTCAAAAACTGGGGTTGTGTAAGTCGTCTGAATCGCACCTACTTTTTCTCCATGGAGCATACCAGCACCTTCAATGTCCAAGTAAGTCATGGAAGAACGGTCTATTCCTATATCGGATTCCAAAGGCTTTTCCTCAAATGAATCCGTGGCAAATCTTATGTTTCCCCAGTAGTCCAAGTGGGGCTCCAAGTTCCTGTCTCCGCATGTGATGAATGTGTAGTTAGCGGCATAAACACACGGTAGCAGGTTGTAGTTGTATCTGGTTATACACTGGTTGAGCGATGTCTCATCCCCTCGACAATTGTAAATATTGTACCAGAATTCCTTCCTAAAATACTGTGGCTTGCCATAAATATAGTAGTCATAGAGGTAGGTGAACCGGACTTTGACGTTAATGGTTTCTTTTCTCAGCTCTCGGCACACAACCTCAGCTGTTTTTTCATGAAACTGGCTGTCACACATCATATTCCAGGTTCTGGTGGATGCGTTGTACAACTCAAGAAATCCAGCATCTTTAAACAGGGTGCCATCCCCTCTGAGGCGAATGTTTTGCGTTGCGGTGGAATCCCTTTCCTCCCTTTCGAGGGGAATCAATTCTCTCTTCTTACGACCAGCTGTTATTGGCTGATAAGGTCCCATTTTAATCCTGGCAAAGGGAAGACCATTAGCAACCAAACGACCCAAGACTAGAATCCCTACATTGGGCATAAACTGCAGTTCAGTGCCTGCAGGGATTGTGAGAGTGATCCCCGGCATGATGGTAAGATCTGACTTAACAATGTAAGGTTTCCCAATCTCCATTAAGATTTGAGACTTTTCTACCCGGCCACCAAGGTGATTGGGATCCAAGTAGTTTTCCTCCCGTATTCCTGTTGATGGGAGGCCATTTGGATCTGCTACTGTCAGGTAAGGGAAGTAATCAGCAATTACATAATTATTCCAGTCATCAAAATCAAAAATTCTTCTACGAATGCTGCTTTGGTCTGTGACACCCCAATAATTGAGTGTCAAATCCATAGAGTTTCCCAATGAGAGTGCAGTGATTCCTGCAACATACTCATAGCCTAGCTGGGGATTGTTGAAGATATTTCGGTTACCACTCAAATTCTGAAGCCCTCTAACTGCCACTGCATACGTTTTTGGACTGTAAGCAGCACCAGGTGGCTCCACCCCTTCATAGCGGTTATTGGTAATAGCATTCAGATCCATTTTGCCTTTTATTTCTGTGTAATATTCAGAATGGCTGAAAATGTCCATATCCACCATGTAGCGTCCTACGTTGTTATTGATGGAGTTACTGTTCATGGTCAGATTTTTCTCCATACCCATCAGTGAAACAAGACCCAGCAAACACACATTGTCAGTGAATGAGTTCCTGTCAATGTTGACATTGGCATAGTATCCGGAAATCGTAAAAGCAAAGTTAAGATTATTCTTGAACACTGAATCCACAACACGAGCAGCATGCGCTTGCCTCTCGGTCTCGTCATTGACTCTCGGAACTTCAATTTCAAGTCCACCTGCTTGTGTTCCTTGTATTGTTACGTGGTCAATGGTCCACTGCCACACATTGTTAGCAAAATCCACATGATTGTGTTCTGCTAGTATGCCATAGTTGTTGCTTGTGAATATGGATTGAAACACAGTGTAAACAATAACAGCAACCCGCTCTGCTCTTGTCATATCCTCGTAGGTTGGAATATAGTCTTCAGTGAACTTGGTCACACTTGGCATGTGCATAGCTTGCTTTACACTGCTAATCACTTTCAAATCCTGGTTGAAAAAAAAAATCACATCTAAAGAACATAATTTTAACATAAAACCATATTAAAAGCCCTTTTTTTTTTAAATTAAAAAATAATTTTTATTTCAAAAATTAATTGTCTTACTTCATTTTAAGAATGGTTTTATATAAAATAATTTTAAAGTAGATTTTTCTTTAAAAATTATGAACACACAAATAAATGTGTTTTGATATCTACAAAATATTTCAAATGGTAAAATAAAGGACTGTACTGTTAGCAAAAAACACTGGAGAAGTCTGGCCCACTGAAAATACAAATCTAACCTAGAAGTACTAGGGTTTCCGATTGAATAATTACAATATAAAACAAACGATTTATTAGTAAAACTTCTCCATTTTAATTTATGAAGTACAAGTTTTTGCAGTAAAACCAGTTTGATATATAAATAAAAACAACAGACCTTGAAGTACAACTCCTCCAAAACATGTCTGTGAAACAACTCAAGCCGTCTATTGGAAGGGCTATTGTAATGCTTTGTAACAATACCCTGATTATTTCCAGTAAATGACGTGTTGGTTACAGCTGTGCGTAAAACAGGTGCAAGCGAGTCATAGTTGCCTGTGTAAAATATGGTTATTTTTTTTACAAATTGTTATAATTTGAAAAAAAAAAAGTGATTTTTTATGGATTAAGCATTTTAAATGTGAACACACATTTAATTTGCTTTTGGTAGACTACCACTGAAACAAAGAAAGGAAAATTTTTTAAACTTCTGTATTTATAGCGCCGCTTAAGTCAATCTTTTCAAGGTATCAACATAAATGTTTAAGTCCTCTGACAACTGCTTAACTTACGACAGATTACAGCAAATGCAAGTCTGCCAGACAGTTGACCATTGACTTTAAGCTGGATGGTCAGCACGCTGGCACTGGAGATGATTGGAAAATCAACCAGGTCCTTTTCAATTTCCCATCTTTTTGTGTTAGGGGAAGTGATGCCACTGATGGGCGAGTCATAGACAATGACTTTTTCAGATGATTCCACAGGGAGATAATCCAATACCTGATAGAAAAAAATTATTGCTTTTAGTAGTTTGTCTTGTTATATTTTACGACATCAATGTCTTTGGTTTACTTTAAAAGTGCAAAAGCTTGCTATATGCATTTAAAATATTTTTATAAAAATTTATTCAAGCTGTAGTCTATGTAAAATAGGAAGGCAATTCAAGAACTAGATAATTTCATTTGGATATATATAAATATATGACATCCTTCCAATGGAGTAGCTTACTGACACTTCATCAAATGGCTCACGAGGCTGATCCTGGAATGACAGTATTGGGTGCACTTCTCACAGGAAAATCTTGATGCCTGTTCACTTTGGCCCTCCTTAAAGCTCATTACTTTGGAAAGGTTTGTTTTTTTTCGCCCATCTTCTGCTTGTTTAAATACCGCATACACTGCTGATCACCAGCTGGAATGATGATCAGCGATGATCTCCCATTTGCCGATTTCTTTGTTGCCTTGCCCCTTCTGCCAACTCTGCATAAAGCAGATTCTTTGGACTACGGCCTTCCTCCATTTTTCTTACCTTGCCCAACAAACGAAAGTGCCTCTGTACATTTTAGCACATTCCAAACCCCTTGTGTTGGGCACTTTGTCCTGCCATTGAATTTACAAAGTGCAACAGATATCCAGACATCTTTGGTGGAAGCTATCGAGCATCCACTCATGACTGACATGTGGTCCACACTTCACTGCCATGTAGTCCTGTACTGAGCAAACATGCCTGATAGACACTTAGTGTTGTGCTTTAAGTGAGTTTTGGACTGTTCCACACCTGCTAATTCAATTTAGCCACAGTTGCTGCTGCTTTTGCGATCCTGATGATCACTTCTTCATCAATAGAGAGTGAGCTAGAGATATTGGACCCCAGGTATTTGAAATGTTAAACTACTGACAGATTATATTTATATCCGAGTCATACATACAATTTCAAGACTATGAATTCAATGTCATGAAACAGAGAAAGGAAGCATAATAATGTTTAGATATATAATATTTTCAAATGAAACAAATTTAGAAAAAAATCAAATTGCATTATTGAAAAAATTTACCTGAAGGGATAGTTTATAGGATGATGAGGAACCTCTAATTTCCACGATATACTCTTTCATTTCAATAGAATTCCCTGAAGGACAAATCAGAAACATGATCTGATCAATGTTAAGGATCCTTTGTGGCTGTGCAAACATATTAATGCGTCTGTCTGGGTAGATCATGTTCCGTATTAAAAGTACATCGTATTCCGTGAAGTATGGGTTATAAAGAAAGCCAGCCTTCAAATTCCGGTCCACCTTGGAGTGCATCACCTGTAATATGCAATTGTTTCAAAGATGAAATTATATAATGCTTAAAAATTTGAAAATCATTGATTTTTTTTTTTAAAGCTCTTAGTATTCAATTTTTACTATTTTTAGACATCAATTCCTCTCACCGCACCAAATCATCAGATCTATTTGGTTGCATTAAAAAATCTAACTTGGAAGCTAGCACAAAAATATCCAACTAATATAACGTGTAAAATCTACTGTAATTTGTGAAAGATTTTTTTTTTTTTTTAATGCTAAAGGTAACGCTTTTGAGCTGAAAATTCATTTTAAAATATCCGAACCTCTAATCTAGGTGATTTAGTGACCACACCATTTCCAGCATTGTCTGTCACAGTAAGATACTCCATTTTATTTAAGCTGTATGGGTGATTGTATGAGACATAGACCCCATCTGACATTGAGTTCTGAACTGTCAAATAGGAGATCTGATAGTAATTGTAGTCTATGCGGATGGCAGGTGTCAGAATTCCAGAATCAGGGTCAAGCAAGCCAGCATTAAAAAGCTTCAAATGACGAATTTGGGATTCAACTTGTAATGGTTGGTTCTGATCGTGCCTGTAGGCAGCTGCTAAAGTGATACCTAGAAATTGAAATGAATTTAAACAATTTTTATGTTGTGCAGCTGTTAACAGATCCAAAAATCAAATAAGATTTTTACTATCTCCTAACTATTTTGTAAATGGAAATCAACTTTTTTTCAATATCAAAAACTGATCAGCTACAATATATACTTATCTAATAAATAAACGCTGGTAGTCTAAATTAGTTGTAACTGGTCATCCAATTAAAAGATGTTTCACAGATTTTTTCATAAAACTGTCCTACCTGCCCATGTAGGACGAAAACATTTTATGTATACATCCTTATCATGGCTGCATGTGTAAGCGTCGTCATTGACAGATCGACATTTTGTGAAGTCAACATCAGTCTCGTCACAAGACACCCAACTCATCAGCACTGGAGTATTACTTGGTGCCCGACGCTGCATCTTCGCTAATGGGTAGTCCCTATTAAGGGCAAGACCAAGCTGTTGGCATACTAGCAGTGAATTTTCTTCAATCCAGCCCTGCCGATCAGTCAAAACGGATGTTATCATTGACAAGGAATTTAGCACATAAATATTAACTGCTACCTTCAATAACATTAGAGGATAAACATTTGAAAAATAATTCTCATTAATGATCACAAAAACCATTTAAGTAAGTTTAATTGAATCATTCAGAGTAAAATGTATGTAAACATATTCATTAATATATATGCTAACAAAAATCAGAATCAAAAAGTATTATTAAGATTCATGCAGACCACTATGCATTAAAAAAGAAATTCTTCAAAAAAAGAAGAAAAAAAAAGAAAACAGTACTAACATCTCTACACACTGTTCCCCACTGGCCATTTATCTCCACCTCTAGCCTGCCTTCAAATTCGTCTTCACCTTCCACTAATCTTATGCTGGTTGTGCGATTTTCCATTGGAACAAACTCTTCTTTATCGCTGATGTCAAAGATCACAGGTGACTCTAGCTTTATCCCATCTGCCTTTAGTAGCCCATGAACCACTATTCCAACAGATGGGCTAAATTTCAACTTGCTGTCAGGTTCTAACACTAAACTCTGAAAATAAATAAAATTTATTGGCATGCTGGGTTGAATAAAATACATTTAGAAAACTTTTAAACATAAATTTTACATTTAAAATTGATTTAAAAAATGTTAATACTATTATTTAGCACTAGATGGTTTTGGGTAGACATTTGCAATATTTCTTTAATTTAAATTTAAGACTAATTAATCTTGAAACTCTTAAACATGGTTCCTAAGTTATTTGAAAATAATTTAGGCATTTTCAGTACCTTATCCTTGAAAACATATATGTCCCTGTCTACATAGTAGGTTTTCCCTCTTCCAACAATAAAGCTATTCTCCAAAACACCACCAATAGTGTCTCCTCGCTGGAATTCCCAAACATACTGAGCTACATCATCTGATAAGTAGTTATCATAGAGTCGTAATGTTCTCAGTGCTGGGTGATACTCAATTTTAGCCAAATTGTAGCGATCATCCTGAAATCATGTGCATAAGCTTGGTCATATTTATTTATAATATAAGTGACTTATAAACAAGGACAAATTTAAACATTCTAAATGCATAACAACAGATTTCAAACTCACAATTTAACAAATTAATAGCAGCCTACAAAAATAGTATTACTCATAACCTCTCTTATGTTTCTATGTTTGAGTTGTGGGGTAGTATATTCAAACATTCTAAATGATAATAATGTGGGAGACTGCAATCAGGTTAGGTAGAAGGAAATGGGTAAAACAAAGCATGGGGAAAACCTGAAAATAGCCTATAGAAAACATAAAAAATAAATCCCACTCCTCACTTGATAAAATTATCATAACAGAAGAAAATTACTACAAGGTTAAAGCTATAGCCTGCATAGAAAAATTATTAGTTTTGAAATTATATAAATTTTTTTTAATCACCTGGTCAAAGATGGACATGTAGACTTTCTTGTAATCAGACTGCTTATTGATCTCAGTGCCCCAGTAGTTTTCTCTGGCATTTATAACAATTGATGGGTCTGCAAGGTGCGTTGACAATTCCCGTATGGAGCCGGGATTATCTATATGATTCCTCATCAACCTGATATTTGTTGAGGACAACACAATGACAGCATTGGCACGACCTCTGGGATTAACATACAAGAAAGAGTCATTGATTTCATTGCGCTGGAAGTAGTTAAACTTGCAGTCCATATTCTGCACTGCGCTGTTCTGAGTCAGACGTAAATTGACAACATACCGTCCTGTATTTTCGATGAATACATTCTCAAACATGTTCATGCTTACTGGAAAGTCACGATACCACCTGCTTATTAAGAGATCATAACCATTGTCTATCCTGAATGTTGCTAGGGTGTGGTTGACAAAAGTGTTGTTTGTTATCAATCCATCTGTATTTAACAAGGGCCTCATGAAGATGGCATGCCTGTAATTGTTATCGAACTTATTGAAAGCTATTTTCAGCTTGGTTTTATACATGGTGGATATATTGCAAGATAAATACTCAAAGGCTTCATCGTAGTTGAGGGCAAAGTAACTCTCATTCACAAGAATCTCTCCACCCCTGCAGTAATTTCCCATTCGTAGGCCTATTAATTGATTTTCAATAAACTTTGCCCTGACAATTTCCACAAAAAGCCTAGATTCTATTCGAGTGCGGTTCAGCTTCATATATTCTGTTATAATTCCATAACCTTTATTTCCAATCAGCTCTGTGTTGTTGATCAACTGATATCCCCCTGAATACGTAATATTAATTCCAGAATCTACATTTTTCTCAATACGTGTTCCATTAATAACAATTTCTCCAGCACCCTTATAGATATGTACACCAGCTCCAAAGTGGTTGTTGGATATCACAGTCTCATTGCTGATTCGTATTTTGCTTCGCATGTCTTGGATGTTTACACCATAGCCAATGTTGTCATGCACATTAGACATTATGAGTCTGAATTCTTCATCAACATCTAGAAAATAAAATTGACATCTCTCAAATATAAGAAAGAATGACATGCTAAATTATTTTTAAAAAATTAGTTTTTATTAATTTTATTAAGTTTTTCTTTTTCTTGAAATCCCATAATAATGCTCGTAATACAGGCAAAAAAGATTCAGCATAAACTGAAAATTACTGACTGCAATCCACGATTTAACTGGATTAATAGATAAACAGCTATTTTATAGGGCCTTTTGTAAAAAAAATAATAATTTTTAAAAGATAAATGTTTACAATGTTTTAATCATAAAAAAAAAAATTAGAATGACTAGTAATTTTACTTTTAGAAGACTTACCATAGTTTGAAGTGAATTCTAACAAGAATCTAATGCAAGGTGGAAAAGTCTTGCAAATCTTGCTGGTAGGTTGAGAGTACTGAAACCTGACAAAGAGTCTGTTTGTCCGTGTGGTGAATGACTCTGGAAATGATCCATTAAAGATGGGGAAGTCTGTCCGTCTCCCCAGCTCTCCGCCATCTCTAAATATCAGTGTGCCATTGGCATCTGGGTCACGCTCCATAATCATGAAATGAACAGTTATTTTCATGTTTGAAGCCGTGGCATAAGACTGAAAGTTTACAAATTTGAACGTTTAATATTCAAGTTGAGCCGAAGGTAGCGAATTTTAATTAAATGAATTTCATCGACCCAAAAGTTAATTATTTTTTTATATTCAATTTACAAATTAAATAATAATATTACACAGAGAAATTCTAATTATGTGAAATTTCTATTTTTATTAATCTGTTTACAAAAAAGCAGTAAGTAGATAGCATTGATGAGACAAAAAGTCATGCAACTAAGTATCAAACATAGTTAATGGCAAACATAGTTTACTGTAGAGGAAACAGCTTACCCGCTCACAGTATCCTCCAACGGAAACCATTGATAGGTCATTTCCGTTGACCTGAACCAAATCCATATGCTGGAAGAATGGGTAGGTCACATCCTCTGTGTTCACCTGCATACACATGGAATTCTCAGGCTTGAACTTGGTGCGGAAATCAAATATGGTCAAATTGCTAATGTAAAACTTGATACCGTCACCCCAGTTGTGGTCCACTTCAGTCATGTTCACCAAAGTTCTTCCAACTGATGACTGAATAAACATACCGTAACCTGTAAAATTGGATCAAAATGTTTATTAGTTGAATGGAAAAAAAGTTGAAACAAAATAAAATTTTAAAATCCTAATTATTTTATGTCCTACAAACTTATGGTCAATGCTTGGTTCCTGTTTTTTTTTTTTAAATTTTGAAAAAGTTTCATTTAAGGGCAAGACATTGTTTACTCATAAAAATTATTAAAAAATTCAATAAACCCTTTCTAACCTCTATTTTGTGAGATGGTTGAATTGGCAATATGGATTGGACCAACAATTTCTGTGAAGTTCAGGCCATCATAGGCACCATAGCGAATTGTCACATTATTTATCATAGGCACATGTGGACTTGCACTTATGGCAGCTTTCTGGTAAAAAACTTCAGGATCTGATGTATAGCCATGAAACGTGTCAAGACCTGTATAGCTGATGTCCAGGTATTCCAAGAAGGACAGTGACACATTCATGTAGACTCTATTGTTTCCTAGAATCTGGAGGTGGTAAAATTAAAGGCATGATTTGAGTTACCAGTACAAAAGAAATTGTTTAATGATTACATTTTCGAGTGCTTAACTGATGGCTTGTTCTAAACAATAAAAAGATAACAAATTCTGTTTACTCATTTAGCTCATCGCCCCAAACCCAAGTGGTCATTCAACTGTTTATAATGAGATCAGACTTCCAGTCAATGTAACCAACTTGCCTTATAGTATGCTCAGCTTATGTAAAACTAACAATGATAAAAATAGCTTCTAGGGGAGTAGTTTAAATCATCCCAAAAAAATGCTATTAACAAGCATACCGTATATCTGGCCTCTGTACTTGAGTTGTAAAAGTCAATGCCCCTCCAATGGTCAAGGGCCAAACCTGGCCGCAAACCCTCACACTGGAAACCTACAACCTCCTGTCCATCTGTAATTTTCAAGGATGTGTTTACAATATCATTTTTTTTACAAACATATCATATGTAAGCTTTTAGTTTCATCAGAAAACAATCATTTGTATCAATATGCTAAACTATAAATTCTTTTTATCCTATGGTTAGCTAAGCAAATAAAAAAAAACTTAAAATCGTTATCCTACCACAAATATGTCTTCCGATCTGCATGTTGACAGCACCTGGACAGTCAAATAGACTGTTTTCTCCTCCCTTACAGTCTGGTTTCTCCCAAAGTATGTAATCAGTTAAGTTTCGGGCAAACGAGTGATACGTGAAATTTCCTTTCAGAAAACCCAAGTGACGACAAGTAACGTTGGCATCAATTGCGGTGAAGCTGAAAATAATATCAAACATAACAAAATATTTTCTTAAAATAGTGTATTTATTTTGTTAATATGATGAGAATGACAGTATCAATTAATGTTACTTTATGATGAAACATTCACTAGTCAATGTTGTATAAAACAATGATTCTGCCCTCCTTAAGTCAAATGAAGAAACAAAAAAAAAATACTCACTTATTATAATTTGTACACATGGCTCTCCATTTGTACTTGAAGTTGAGATCCAATCGTCCATCTCGAGTTGTGTTCCCCATTGACAAACGTGCATCATTCTGCCAGTTACCACTTGGATGACCTAGGTCTTGGCCTTCAGCTTTTGTCATAGTGATGCGCCCACCAGGGTCAATACTCCCCTGAAAACGCAATTAATAAATGAAGATATTATTCCCCTTGCAAAAACTCATTATGTTAACTGTCCATAATGAACATGGTATGGATAAAAAGTATCTTTTTTAAGCTTTCTTTTTTTAATTTTGAAAGCTCAAGAGAAAAAGGCTTTTACTGAACTATTTGACAGTCTGAAGCCTCAATAAATAACTTTAATCCTTTTGCCACACATGAATTGCAATTTAATTTCACTTCTCTTTTAGGATGGGGAATTAGGGGGTAAATAGTAACACCATTTCCACCAGTGTTTAGAACAGAGAGTCACCAGCTTTTTTTTAATGGTTCAAGTTAAGTTTAAGAGTTATTTTCTCAATTTTTAATTGTTTAAAATAATTAAAAATGAAACTCCACAGTAACAGTGATAGTAAAACCTTTTAAAATAGCGGCATATTCTTTAAAATAAAATCCCATTAAAACTTACCCTGGCTATTAGAGTACCATTGACAATGATACCCATTCCTGGAGCAAACTTGAGAACACACCCAGGCTCAATATAGAGACAGCCACTCGGGGCTATCTCGATGTTGCCCCTTATAATGTGAGGGCTGTCTCTCAGAATGAGCGCTCTACTGTCTTTGATGATGCCCCCACCCACAAATCTGTCGATGATTGGCGGACGACATCGTTGGGGTATGTGATTGAGGTACCAAATCCTGTTGTCAGATATAACTGGTTTGTCTCCTATTTGAGGTGGTGGTGTAATTTGCCCACTGGTTAATGAAAGACTGCACACAATTAATAAGAAGAGTGGCAGAACCATAGTTGCGATGGGGCCTTCACTTCTTGAAGTTATATTCTTTTAATAAGTGGCCTTTTTAGAAATTATAAATGAGGTTTACAATTTGAAATTAATGGCATCATCCTCACTGGAAGTGGCTGAATCAATCAAAGTCAACAATATGCTATTAAATTGTGTACAGAAATTGATAAGTCAGTGTATATCTGCAGTGATGAATGAATAACTTTAGAAAATCAAAATGTACCCAAAATGTTATTCAATTCTTTTAAATTCTTTAGTCTTTAGGAGTAGGCCTATCTTTTATTATATTATAATTATATCATTTAGATTTTAGATTCAAAGATTGCTTCTTTGGAAAAAGCACTTCTTTGTTGTATTGTGAATAGTATAGTATCAGTACAAGTAGAGTATTCGTAGTATTAGTTGGTATATTTCAAGAGACACTACTTCTGTGGGCCTCTACACTACATGATCATCTCATGATGTTTTGAAAATAAAGGACAGGTAAATTCACACCACAGGTAGCATTTTATAGAAATCTTTGAAGTCATGTATTGCATTTCAATAATATCCGAATGTCATTGAGAAACCAAAGTTAAGTCCAGGGAAAACAACAAATATTTCAATGAACAACAATTATGCATTTGTTGTCTTCCGGGATAGCCATTTCTGTTCATTACAAGCGGAACACGGGTGCCATCGACTAGTCTCGTTTCAAATCTCGTAAAGTGTCGCACAGGTGTGTCAATGTGGGTCACAGGTGACAGCAATATTTTTTTAAAGTTTAAGTGTGTGTCTCCCCCCCCCCCCCCCCCTCCCGTTGAAAAGAAATACTGTGCATGAATGAGAAAATATATAGTTTAAGTGAATTTTCCAAGATCATAATTTAAAGCTAGTTTATAATTGTTTAAAAGAATATAGTATTTTTACTCGCGTCACTTTCCTTTCCTGATATTAATTGAGTCTTGAGTACAGAGTTAATTTTAGCGGAGCTTATCTCATGCTTATCTTGCTTTGTCATTGGTTAAGAGACATATCGACCTACATATACAAATTACGATATCTTTCCAAAATGAACGCAATTTTAAACTCTAAGGGCTAAGAAAATAACTTTGTAGACTCTTCTGGATCATCATTTCTCGCATACAAATTTGATATCACGGAGGCATGAGATCAGTGGCGTAGCTCACGACCTACGAGAACTCTAGTGGGTCATGCGTAGCTAGGGCTAGCGCCGCCCAAGCGGGTAAATAGTTTAGCCGCCTATTCCACGAAAAAAAAACAACATCTGCAGTTGGTCGAAAATGCCACACCTCCATATAAATAAAAGAGTGCCACACGGGGTGGGCCGCACCTCCGCACCCCCCTCCTAAGACACTACGAGAAATTATTTCATTTTCACATAGATCAGATCTTTAGGAAAAAGGAAGCGGCTCTTCGGTAAACTAACAATTACGACATCTTGTTGAACTTCCAGGGCGTAAGTATCCCAAATTCAAACCCACTTGCAAAACCAAAATGTATAGTTTGTAAACGGCCGTAGGAAGGGGGTGGGGAAGGCTGGAATTTTTTCTTTATATTTTGGGCCAGCATTTTTGTCCAGCATTTTCCCCCAACCTTTTTGACTCACTGAGCCCCTTAAGCCAACGCTATGTCTCACACGTTAATATAGTAAGGGAGTGCACTGGAACCGCCACAAAGCCATGAGAACTGTTTCCAGGGTCCGCCCCGCTCTAGTGATAGGCCTACATCAAATTGTTCATGCTGTACACCGAGATTTAACAAAGCGAAAAAAGAGTTCCAATATGAATTGCCATTCATGGACAAATTGGCTCTATATACATTGTTAGCGGTCTAATTATTGACAAAACTTTACATGCGTTTGAGAACCCTTGATAGAAGGTATATGTTTCTAAAGAATTCGGTATAAAGTCAGCCACTATAATTAAACACACCATCATAACCATTATAAAAGCCCCCCCGTTCCAAGTGCGGCAGGCTTCACAGTGAAGGGTGGAGCAGAATGTTTAGGGCAATTTATCTGTGCCATTTTCCGTGTCATGAAGTTGACTGAAATTTACAAGGTGGAGACAACGACTTGGGTGGCACTCAGAATTCTGGTCTGCAACGCCGTGATGGAATTTCTTTGAACTAAATCCAGAGAGCGTCATGACTATTTTGGGCGGAAATGTAATGATGTCAAGCCTTTGAGGACCGAGGAACACAGAAACATCGACCTAAACTTAACTGCCTCAGCACCAAGTCCTTTATAGACTATTTGACTCCAAGCGGCTCAGTCGACCGCTGAGATTAAGATTCATCTCAATAAAGAGTTTCAGACTAAAGCTACAGAGTCAAAGCACTATGGGCAATCATTTGCTATAATGGCTCCACCTGTGGATATATCTTGGTATTAAAGGGGAGAGACTGCAAATAGGCTAGAAAAATGGAAATCAGCAAAACATAGTATGGGAAAACCTGAGAAAAAAACCCGCAACAACACAACGTTCTTTTCTTCCAGGTTTTCCCATACTCTGTTTCGTCAATTTCCATGGATTTATCTTGTAGTACTTAAATATACAAACTTTTTCGGGATCATGATCAGAAGCTGTTAATGGATGTAATGTGTGATTAAGATACATTGAAACAGCGCAGAGTTTATTGCTACGGGGAAGTGGGGGTGGTGGCGTCGCTGGGGCACACACCCAATAACTATAACCCTCTTTTGATAAGATGACAAATTTGTCGCCCGAGTTGGCATGTGGAGAGAATTAAGGTTGTTCAGTAAGTTCACAGCAATGCCATTGAACAGATCTAGCACCTCCTGGGATCTGAGGGGGAGATAACTCCAAATCTGATTAAAAAATAAAAGAGGAAGGGTATGAGGGAGGGGCGGTTTACACCGCCTGTCAATTCATGATCCTCTATATCCACTCAATGGTGAAGTTTAGTGTCTGCTAATTCATGATACTCTATATCCACTCAATGGTGGGGGGTTACAGCAAGTTTGGCATGCACGAATTTGCCTTCCCTGCAATTTCATTTGGTAGATATTTTAGGAAAGAACAAGAGAGACAAAAACCCAATCTTTTCAATGTAAGTTTAAGTTAAAAGTCAGTCTGGTCCATGAAAACAAACTCTAATGAGAAAGTATGTTATTTTTATTGAAATTTAAAAAATAATTCTTTATAAGCCTTTATAAAACTATATAAGCAAGGACTGAAATATACATATATTTGGGAACTAAACCCATACCGGTACTCTTTATAAACTACACAATGTTACAGTTCAAGTTTTGAATTTGTGAATTGTGTCCATGAAAGTGTTTGGTCATAACTGATGTGTTTTTGTCCAGGCAATAAACACTGTCTATTATTATTCACAAATTCAACATAACATTTGGGAACATCTCCTTTGAATTGTATGTCTATTACTATTATGAATTGTGATTCATCTAATTTCAGCACTTGATGCTATGTAACCACCATCTTTCAACTTTCCTACTCTCCACGCTTCAGGAATGTCAACTTTTATTACCAGATTTGGCTGACAAACAGATGTCCCCATGTGTTTCAAACTATATTCTTTTATTATAGGATGTTCATAAAAAAAAACTTCATGCTAAATATTCCAGCAATAGTTATAGTTGGGTTATAATACTGAATTACAATTAAACCAATCCCAGCAGAAATTAAATGCAAAGCCATTCCAATAAAGCAGAGTCACAACCCTGAACGCATGACATTTTTGGTTGAATACTTGTACAAAATCAGTCCCTATCAGTTTGTTTCTTTATTCACTAGACAAAAGACGAACATCCTGATACCTTATTTATTCTTTGTTACTAAATATGTTTACTTATTTTCTATTTAAAAATTTTTTAAAATCCAGATTCAAATTTTTTTTTAACAGTTTCATATTCATGAATTTTCTGCAAAAAAAAAAAGTTTAAAAATTGCATGTCACAATAACTACAAGCCTTGTTGACAAAGGATATTTGAATATAAACGAAGGACAAGACCACCTTACATGAATCATAATGGCTTAATTAATTAAAAATAGATAAAAATCTGTATTGCATACAAAGTGTAATGTCAAGTCATTTCACATTTTGTTAAAATGAATCATGAAACCAGATAAATAAACAACATGAAATACTCTTGTTGCTTATAAAGTAAAATCTGTTCACTCAACAAAATAGCATGCATTCTTCAATGGACACCTTACAGATACTTAATGAAAAGGAATAACTTAAGATACATACAATCTTTCAGCTGTGTGGTCATAAGCAAAATTTATTACAGCTTTTAAATTTAACAACAAATGATACAAAAATAAATACAAATAATGTGGTGTCTGGTAAGCTTTTTAATTCATTCCATATAAAATTGCTCGGGAGCTTTCCAACTATTTATGATCCCTAATTTGTTGGCTACTTTACATACAAAACCAGCTGATAAAATAGTTTTCAAAAATTGGCCAGAGCCTTCGAGAAGTAAAGCAAGTTGTCAGCTAACAAAGGAAGCCATTATACTTTCATAATTTCACATGTTTAGAACTGCTTCTGCGACTAGATTAGATTGCTAACACTTTTGAAGCAATTATTTTTAGTTTTATCCATCACACGAAACAACCAATAAGTCAAACACACTATCTTCCTCAATATTAAACTAAAATTATTTTTTTTTACAGCAGCATGATAACTTGTACTTTTACCCTATTGGAACATTTAAAGATAATATTAATATAAGATCTTTTTAAGAATCCCCAAAATACCACATGCATGCTACTAAACAGTTGTTAACATTATATAAGGCTTGTAAGGGATGCTATACACATTAGACGAAATGGAAGCTCAGCTTTGCTTAGTAACTGAATCTGGAGTCAGGCTTGAAGCCCAGTTTCTCCAGATTTGGTATGCAGGCAAAGTTGATCATTGGAGGAGGTCCACACATTAAGATAACCGTATCTGGTCCTGGGGGTGGCAGGTGTTTTTTGATCATCTCGTCATTAACAAAACCTGAGCTGTAGGTCCAGCCTGTCAGAATATTTAAATTGATTCATTAAAATCCACATTATGAGCTTTCAAGAGACATTAGCATTTAAATTTCTAGGTTCTAGTGAAAAGGTCAGCACCTTTCGGACTAATAGGTCATTTCAGGGAGTCAAGAAGGCACACTAGGCCAGAAGAAACAAGGTGCCAAGAAGGCACAATGGGCCAAGAGAAACAAGGTTCCTAAGGAACAGTTGTTTTATTAAAAAACATGGTATGATCAAAGGGAAACACAGGGATTTTTTTACTTTTGGGCAAAGAATAATTCATCAGTCCATTCGGTGTGGAAAATAGTAATTGTGGCTACTCTGTGGGAACTCAGTGTAGGTAATATGACCATGCAATTAAGTTGCGGAATGTTCTAATTGGAATATTGATCCCGTTCTTTATTCTTGGAATCGATTCACATGTCAAAAGTACATCGAGTGTGCACAACAACACACGCTTTGACCCGGGTGAATGAAACTGAGACCAGAGAGTGAACTTGATTAAAAGACACAACATCGATCATCCTTCCCTGGTCAGACACTTCTGTGTCGTCTGAGAGTCTGACATCAGCTTGAGTTGCTAGCAGCATTAATGAAGGGGAACACAAATTCGCTATTTAATTTTAATTACAACGGGTAATAATATAAAAAAAAACTAGTTTGCCGTTAGGCTGGACGGGCATATTAAGATAACCTGAAACTGGCCTAAAGGCAGGAGCTTGCCAACCTCTGCTCTAGCGTGTTCATTTTAAACCTCTTGACAAATATTTTGCAATGCTGATCCATTTACACCTAGTAATTTCAGTTATGACTGTACCAAGAGTTATGGTCCTAAAAAATAATGTGATAGGTGTTTGGTCACTCATATTTCTGCTTCTTCTGTTACAGTGCAACACACATAAATTTGGACATTCTTAATTTTAAGGTGAACATAGCTTACCGGGTTCAGGTCTATCCAAGGTGTACCACAGATGAAAGCGATTAGGTTGCTCACTTTGAATTTCTTCCAACTCGGGGCGCAACAAGATGTCATTCTCTGTCTGATAATTTAATGAGGAAAATTTTATGAACATTGAAATATCACATAGATTACATGTTTATTTGAAACTGAACAGATAATATAGGTAATAAGGAAAAATAATAGATGAAGACATAGAGGCATAGAAGAAGAAAAGGAGTTGGAGGAAGAAAGTGGAATAGAGGTTGATAAATTATATTAGTCTAAAACTTCAAAAGTGGAACAGAGGAAGACACTTGAAAGTGGAATGAAGCAAATCATGGACAGTGAAATGAGAGAAAACACAGCAGAGAAAATTCTAGATGTAATAGGTCACACCTAAAAAAAAAAAGTTCAGTAAAGCCAGTGCTATATTATAAAGCATAGAAAGTAAACTTTGGGAGGCAGTAAAACATAACAGTGGAAAATTGGAAATTATTGGGATGTGAGTTTAACAGACAAAAAGTTGTGTAACATCATTAATTAAATACAAACAATAAATTAACCATTGGGGTTTTTATAGTATTTATTAACAAATCCAGAAAATGAATCAAGAATCAATACCTGATTAGCAAAGAGAAGCCACAGCTCTGTTTTATCTGTAGGATCTTTGAACACCTGTCTGACTAACTGTAGCATTGGAGTGATGCCTGGTTATGGAATAGTATTATTATTATTAAGGTGGTTTTATATAGTGCAGTACCCCAACCCATGTTAGGCTCACTGCGCTTCACATAAAAATTAGCATTTACAGAAAATTATAAATTTAAAAACAACAATTTGTAAAAAGCTTAACCTCACCCACTCAAGTACTATTTACCCCTGTGTAGCCATGGACAGCACGCAACAGCATCGAGCCTTATTTATCAGTTAGAGGGGCTGGGGTGAGAATGAGTTGGTATATTAGAGTTTGAAGAGATGGGTTTTGAGGGCAGTTTTGAAGGCTGGGATGGTCGCTATAATTCGGATGTATAATAGGAAAGAATTCCATTGTTTGGGGGCCCAAAAAGAGAAAGATCGTTCACCATGTTTTAGTGCGTGTTCTGGGAACAGAAAGAATGCGCATGTCTGTGGAGGAACAAAGCTTTCGAGCAGGTTACCAAGGTCATCAAAATCAACAGTCTATTCCTCTAGAATAACTGAGTGTCTTAACGTTTTATTGACATAAAAAAAGGAGCAAATACTTCCTCCCATGAAAACCATTTTGTTAAAATTTTTAGCAAATGAAATAGTCAGTTTATCTTTAACGCGAAATATTTTTAAAAAAAAACTGTACGTTAAATCGAAACATACAATAGGAAAATATTTTTATAGAGGACGACAAGAATTAAAGTTACACCAATGTTACCTGTGCCACCAGCAATCATTCCAACTTTCTTGGCTGACTTAGAAACAGGATCTGATTTCTTGTCAGCTCTTATCTTGAAATCGCCTAAGAGATTTTTAAAGCGCAAAAAAACTGCCATTAGGATATGCGCAAAACAATAGTTAATTTTGTCTCCCCCCATAAATATCCCCTTTGCTAGTACCTGCAATTATTTTTTAAAAGCACAAACAGCATGTTATATTTAATTCAAATTTCAAATAAAGTACAACTTGATAGTTTAATATAAATTATATCGATTAGTAATTTATAAATAAGTATGAGGCATGATATGAGGATGGATTTTTTTTTTCAAAGTGGGTAAGCACACACCTTTGCCCACATACTGTAGCAAGCCATTTGGTCCCTTCACATCAATATAGTCACCTACGGCCATGTTCTCTAGGTACTGGGACATTTTACCCCCTTCCGGAAACTTTGGATGAACATTCTTGAAGTAAACCTGTGAATAGAATCCTGTTAAACTTAGTTGATACACTAAGAAAGTAACCAACAGAGCACCAAAATAACTCCCAGAGAATTAAGCTAACAAGGCCTCCATAAATTCCTTTTTGTGTTCGAAGAAAATTCACAGTCATTAATAATTGGACAATCTCAAAATGGTGTCCCCACACATTATGTTTGGGGATACATTATGTTTTGTAATATTGGTGACTAATAATGCTTAAAAGTGCAGATTTGGCTGCAATGATATTTTTATAGTTGAAATAAAATCCATAAAAGAAGAGCTATTACAGGAATTACATTTTACATTACAATACCTTAACCACAAGGTCCATAAAACCTTTATCATCATCACTAGAGACTGGCGTGTATGGTCGAATTACTAACTGACCATCAATGCGTGCAGTCAAGTATATATGCTGGCCTGAAAAAATATTATCCAAATTTTATTTATTTCTTATGAAAAATCTTTTGCTTCGAAGGAAACTGATCTTAAAGATATTAAAATAGTTTCAGTAAACAAAAACTTTCACTCATTTTTGAACAATACAAAATTTTTAAAATAATAAATACTTTGAACAAAATTTAGTCCTACCGATGGGCAGTCCAAGGATATGATCTGGTGTGGGAAGTGCAAATCTAAACTTTCTTGTGTCATGGCTGATATTCTTTTTACAACAAGATGGGATTGAGAAAAAAAAAGGTAATTTTATTTTTTTACACACTAAAAACTCAGCTGAGATAAAGAAATTACAAAACTGGCAATGAGGGTTTTAACTGGTGGTAACAGCAGTTTATGCTTAAATAAAATCAATATGTATAAATCCTTAATCTGTGATAAATTGTCCTTGTCATTATTTTGTCCCCAAAAAATATGTCCAGTTACAAAAGGGTTTATAAAATTCACAAGAAAAACAATATCATGCTTTCCAATTTTCATTATCCCCACATGCATTGCAAGTCTCTGGTTGTAACATATGGTACATTTTAAAAATATTAGCTCCTCTTTGCTATAGACACTTTAAATAGAAAACAAATTTGAAAGGTATTACACTATTAACACAAAATTGTATATTTCTCATTTTATTTCCTGAGTCCATTAAATATTAAATTACTGGTAGTCAGTACTTTTTTGCATAACAAAAAAGTTGCCGGGTACTCATATTGGGGTCATCCATAATGTCAATCAGGGGTGTGTGTGTGTGGTGGTGGGGGGGACGGTGTTAAGATTTTTTGAACTATTATGATGGGGTCTAAATTATTGGACAAAGTTGTGATGTTGGGGGGAACCCCCCCCCCCCCCCCCCCCCCTTCTAAAATAGCAGGTTGTCATTTGTGGATGGCCCTTTAAATTTAAAAAAAATAATTATTGTTTTGTTTTTGAGTGTTCTGTCCTTGTGTCTGATAATATTCTGGCCTTTTTGTTAGCAGATTTAGTTATTAATTTTTTTCAATTTTACCGAAGTATTTTACAGAAAGTATTTACCGTTCACATGCAGTGGCATAGCTAGGGTTAGTGGTGTAACTAGGGTAAGGATTCAAGTGCATGAGAACCAAACATAAAATTGTCAAAAGTTACTTGGAAAATCTGGGGCCTGTATGACTGTTTTTTTTGCTGTCCTGGCGAGTTCTACGGCAAAAAAAAGCCCTGATGGTACTTAGTAAGAAAATATATATGTCAAGTTGTAACTTAACTTTAAAACAAAAATTACCTCTTTATCAATCAGTTTCAGTGGGTATTTTACTGTTGCGTCCTTCAATGTAATAAGCACACTTTTCTTCTTAGAGCCAAATAAACCAGGAAGGAAAATTTTGGCCAGTATTGCTGTCACAGCAACTACACCAACTCCCACCAGTATTGGCACAGTCTAAACAAGAAAAAGGTTTTATTTAATAATTATCCTGTAACATACCAACAAGGTATAAAAATATAATCTAACATGTTGAAATACAAACACTTCCAGAATTTAATGGTTGTGTGTATAAGTATTAGGGTAGTGTTTAGATAAGTGTTTTTTATAAGACTGTTGGGTAGTCTGGTATAAACTAAGTCAATCCCAAGCTTGTGGACTGGAGGTCGATTTCAAGCAAAAGCCTAGACAAGCAAAAACAGCACCAGCATCCGGGTGGCTGGGATTCGGTAACCTTGGATGGCAATTCCTCTAAGAGAAGGCAAACTATTGAATACACTTTTAAACACTATATTGCAAATTCCACCAAAAATAAAATCCAAATGACAAATAAATGGTATCAGATGATCCAAAATCCATTTTTCAAAAATGCCAGCAAAATTAGCCTAGTTTTAAATATTATGATTAAACGCTCAGTAAAATATTAGGTAAGTTTACGCTATCTGTGAAATGATGTTTCCCATGGTCGCGACCTTGGTTGCCATGACCCGCAACCCAAACATAAATTGACGAGTCATTTGACTATTGCTGAATGGCAAGCCACACTTTGGGAGCCCATCCTGTTATAATTAAATCAGTAAATTTGGAGAGATAGCACCGCGGCCACCATCTTGGTTGCCACGACCCGCAAACTTATGTCCTAAGTGTAGGCTAATCCCTAAACCTAAACTGAACCCTAAATCTATCCCTAAACCTAACCTGAACTCTAAACTTATCCCTAACCTGGGTTTTGACCCTATCGGAACCAGGGACAAAGCACGCAAATGACGTCAGGGTGCTACCTCTCCAAATTACCCTAAATCATATTTATTATATATTTATGGGGCATGAAAGGGTAAATCTACGAATGGATATGACAGTCAATTCATGGTGCATCCACATAAAAATTATGACATTGCCATGAGGCATGACAAAACAAGTTCTTATTAGTCTTAAATTTAAATCAGAATCCAAAGTAGGTACTTTTATGAAAATTTCAAAACATTTTTAAAAATATAAAAACACTACAGCTGTATAGAGCCTGGAAAGTAGATTACAAAAACACCAATATCAACTTTCTAGCTCAAGTGGTTCAAAAGTTATGAATTTTTAGTGGGGACCTCAAAGGCACTTTTTTACTATGGGATTTTCCTCCACATTTCGTGACCCTCCATTTGTTTTTTTTCCAATGCCTATAACTTTATTGTAAAATGAGACAAAAATATAATATTTACAGGGAACATAGTTAAATAAGAGTACTTCTAAATAAAGCCACAAAATATAAGTTAGTTTTTGTTAATATTCCGCACAAATTATTTTAAAAATCTTGATTTTTTCCTTTAAAAACATGTACAAATATGCTGACTCGTCACTTATTTGAAATTAATTAATTAATTTTGTTTAAATATTTTTTTTAAAATTTCCCTACTAAATTCATAATAATAATAATATTCTTTAGATATAAATTTCAAATTTTCTGTGGAATTGTTTAACATTTATAAGTATAAACTAATAATAAAGGGATTACTTGTTTCATTTAGTTAAAATTTATGATTACACTTTTTATTTTACCATTTTCTATATATGTATTTTAGTCCCATATCATATGAATGTCTGAATATGACAAAAAAATAGTATGTCATTTTTCACAAGTTAGTCATCTTGTTTCACAAATTAACATGCATCGATAGAATCAACTTTGGTGGTTTATACAAACTAAAATAAGTTCTAGTCATTTGCTTGTGGTAAGTATAAGTTTTTATGATTGTTCTTTAATATTATTAATAATATCTTAAGTAATTCTTGGACTATTGTGACAGAAAGTGTGTTTTTTCTTTAAGAATACCAAGAATTATGCAATAATTCTCTTGTGAAATATTGTGATATGTGATTAAATATAGGATATTTCAATATGAAAGGTAAGTGACTATTTTTTTGTTTACATTTTTGCTTAATCTATGCATTAAGAATCATAATATTCATTAAAATATCACTACAAATAACAAATAATGTGTCACACAAATAATGAGTTGGGGTGGAGCTAGGCCTATACTTAAAATACTATACTTTTCTAGGCCTGTATATATATTAAACTGTTATATTTAATATATTAATTATAATAAAAATGAGGCTAATAATAATTCAGTTTAACCCACTACCCAAGTCAACACCCCTCAATAAAAGCATCAAAACAAGTTAAAAATATATATTTATGTTGTTAAAATAGGTATCTGTGTTATTAAATTATTTGTTTTTGTTTTTGAATGAGTTATTTTGGAGTAATAAGCTGGATTTCCATTGTAAATCAAGTTATTTACTTTTTTAAAATTATTATTAAAAATCGTTAACGATAATAGGTCATTTTGGGACACATGTGACAAAAATTTGGTAGGCATTTTTTGACCATTGATAGACCCTTCGATGAAACAAGGGAGACTACTACTTTTTGTGTATCGGAAATGGGTGTCGGCGCAGAAAAATCAGAGTTTTTAATTTTCCGATGTGTGTGTCTATTTATTATTAAATTAGTTCTTTTGACATATATTTGAGTTCCGTTTCCGGCCTTATAATTTGGAAGACATCTTGGCCTACATTTCTAGCCAGCTATTTTGCTTTTTTCAATCGACATTTATTTTGAAAATCTTTGGTATATATAAGGCATCTTCGCATACACAATTTTTTGAGAAATAATAAGATAAGGCCCTTTTTGATTAAATGTGTATGAGCATTAGATATTGATCTATATCTGTGCCAAGTTTCATTGATGTAGGTCGTGTCTCACGTTTGTTACGCTTGTCACAGTGACCCATATCACCATAAGGTGGCTCAGCCTAATTTTGACATGGCTTGGGCCACGCCCCCCTTTTAAATGACGGAAGTTGCAGATGCTTAGGAAATATTTAATTATTACCACTATATACATCAAAATATTTTATATTTTGTGTTTCAGAATGCATTTTGAAGACATTTAAACTGGAATGTTTTAATTTGAGCTTTAAAAACCCTGTAGAGTCCATATTATAAATGATCAGAATTTTCCCTGAGCAACATGTTGTCATTGGCAACCATTCACAGCCACTTGCATAACGGCTATATCGTAGTACTATCTCAGAGTTTCATTCATAAGAGTTTGCCGTGTGCAAAAGCTATTAAACCATTGGTCAGGGAAAGCTTTAATTAATTATTCATGTGCCAAAGTTGAAAGTTTAAAATAAGTCGACCCTAAACAGTATTTTAGTGATAAGGGAATGTGTTGCCTTATATAAACTATATAGTCATTGCGCATGACCCGATCAGCGGAATGAGGTCACAGAATGTGGAGATGCAGTCCATGTTAAAAAAGGACAAACCAAGTCGTACTTTAAAAATTCATAACTTTAAAACTACAACAGCTAAAAATATGATTTTGGTGTTATAATTCTGTCAAAAATTAGCTCTATTCAACTGTGCCATTGGTTTATTTTTACAAAATGTTTAAATTTTTGACCAAAGTATCTATGCATTGAAGTGGGTGCCAACCTCTTGAATTTTTGGTATGTTGTAATTTATGCTATTATCTCCCGTCGTCTTTTTATTTAAGAAAGACACCCTTTCCAAAAAAAAAAAAATATGAATGAGTAAAATAAGCATTATTTTACCTTCAATTTTCAAAGTTAAGACCTCAAATATTTTTTAGAACAAAAGTGTATAATCATAAAACAACATGTCTACCCAAAGTTATGGGCGGAAATAGAATGTGCTTGCTGCGCTATAATTAACAAAAAAAATCGTAAACAACAGGCTCTCTGTAAATTAAAAAGTGGAGGTCGCAATTTTGATAACGAAATCACGATACACGGTTTTCGGCAATTCCCGGATCTCATCGAAGTGGCTAATTTATAGCCTCTATACCAGCGGTTCTCAACCTGTGGGTCGTGACCCCTTTGGGGGTCCCACAACCCTTTCCTAGGGGTCGCCTAAGACCATCGGAAAACACATATTCTCTACAGATATGAAGTAGCAACGAAAATAATTGTCTGGTTGGGGGTCGCCACAACACGAGGAACTGTATTAAAGGGTCCCGGCATTAGAAAGGTTGAGAACCACTGCTCTATAGGAAGCAAAAATATTAAAAGACTCCAATGTAAGAATAGTTGTTTATATAGCCCTTCCAACCGGAACAATTGGATTTTTTCTTGGCCGACGCTCAAGTGGTAGATTACCTGACTTATAACTTATATTATATTGAACTATTGATTGATTGACATTTTCATTTTAATTTGTTGATTGATGATTGTGATATTAATTAATAATTATTATTTATTATCAATGATTGATTCATGGCTGCTATGATGGCATTGTTGTCATTTCGACTCAGTCATAAGTCATCACTTATCAGCATGTGACTGTGGCAGAATATATGAAGTTTTAAAATAGTATGTAAGTTTAATACTAAGGTATACATATATAATTACTAAATCGGCTTACATCGTCAAAATTATCCACGTCAATTTTTGTTGACGAAGCCATGATTATGGTAGCGTTAAAAAGTATAATTCACAATAAGTAGGCTATACGAAATAAAACATAAGAATATATTTTTTAAAGAAAAGGTTTTTTCATTTTAAAAAATTCTTTAAAACAACAATGACCATCAATCATTTTATGGCCCATTTTATTTGTACACAATTATGACGCCACAGTTCTAAAAAATGTGTCACGGTCTTCACCTCTGTTTGGTGAGCCCAGTGGTTCCCAGAATATGCGCCATATCACCCTGAGTGAGGTGCATGGAGGCCCTCGTGCATGGCAATACGAAAGGGGCAACCCTTTATTCAATATAAATGTAATCGCTATCTCGAAGAAGTGTATTTGTTAGAATTTGATATAGAAGGCCTGGTGAAAGCCTAAATATGGAAAAGGCGCCAAAAATTAAAAAATTCTAGGAACCACTGACGTAACCGAACAAAATGAACTAAATACGTCACGGAATATACAAAAGGGTTATCTCATAAATGATAATAAGCTATTTCGGCAGATTTTTACCCTGACACCAATGTTCTCTTTAAGCTGCGTGGCTGCGCAGCTATCTCACAGACGCCGCGCAGCAGTTTTGAGTATCCGCGCAGCAAATTTCCATGTAAGTGTGTGTTTGTATTTGTGGGCTGTAAAATTTTGCACACAAAACAAAATTATGCTGTAAAAAATTGGGCACACACACAAACACACATACTTGACTCTCCCGCGTGACGTCATTTATAATGGCTTCAAAGGACCCAATATATTTGACAGTGTAAGACAGTTTCCGACAGCGGTGTGAGATAGTTTTAAAAAGTTCCATACATGATCAAACAATGTCAGACAGTTTCAGACAGAGTGATACACTATCAGACAGTGTTATACAGTTTTAGACGATGTAAGTGTAAGACAGTTTTAAACAGTTTAATTGAAGGTCAGACAGTGTGAGACAATAATGGAGAGTGTCAGAGAATTGAATAAGGTTCTAGAGAATTACAGACAGTTATTAATGTACCTTGAAGTTTGTACACACACAAAAAGAAGAAGACAGAGTCTTAGACTCTATAAAAAAATGTAATTTAACAAAACCTTTTCAAAGCCCAAATTCTACTTCTTTTTCGCTTTTTTATTTGACCCAACATTAAACAGTAAACGGTAAATAGTCATTAGTTTAGCCCCCAACCCCGGTAAATAGGCCTACTCATAGTAGTTATTAGTTAAACCCCACACCCCCGGTAAATACTCATAGTAGTTTTAGTCTAATTCATGTATGATTGACTTTGTACCGCGCTTCGAGCCTTAATTAGGGGTGAAGCGTATTTTTTGAGTTGGAAATTATTATTATTATACATTTATTCATATTATAATTCATTTTTTGGGGTAAGGGGGCATAAAATGTGGAAATAATTACTTAGGGGGGGGGGTCATTAAAAGTTTTACAGTTGTTTACAAGGTGGGGGGGGTAAAAAATTGCGTAAACATTGTTGACGTAATTAATGGACGACTCCTTAGTGCCCCCTCCCCCTTTTCAAGGGTCTCAACCACACATTTTTTTTCACGCCACTGAACTATATTAATATTGTAATGACCAACCCGCTTTTACACAGCAGTTTTATTTAACCCATTATTTCAGAAAAACAAAAGAAAATATTACGCACCAAACAACGCACTTCCGATATTTTCGCACACAAAATCTCATTTAGCGCAGTTATCGGGAATTTTATTTTATCTTCCACTTGAACAACAGGAAAAACTGATATTTTTAACTAAAAATTTGACAGAATGTGTTGTCATGGCTACGAGTGTATATGCCAAGTTTCAGCTAGGTAGGTTGACGGAAAGTTAATAAAAATGATTTTAAAAAAATAAGCTATTTAAGGACTTTCAGAAATTCAGGATACTTATTGCATATATATTATTTTTGTGTAAATAAATGTACGAACTTTTTGCAGACATCCCCGCCTCCTGCCACACGCACACAGACGCAAAATCTCTCAAATTGACTACACCCCTCCCCCATTTGCAACAATGCTGTTTTCCACGAACATAATACTCGTTTCATTTATGAATCCTGGCTGATAGTCTTTAGATATAATGTCAAACAGTTTCCCTACCAATATAAGTTACCTACTTAATCGGCCTTGACTCCTTGGTTTGCAAAATGGCGAATGCAGCAACGAAGGTCAAGATAAGCTTATTGCGTCGACTTGGTAAGTTGGGAAAGGGGGTGGGGGAGCTAATACGATGTTAATGTTATGTTCAATATTATATGGAAATTAATTGATTAATTTTAAATAAAAGAGAACATAGAAAAGACTAGTGCTCTTCGACCCAGTCATGTAGTAGTGATTGTAGTTTGAATACCGGTGCCGGTATTCAGTTAGTTTCAGGTCAGAATTCACTTGACTTTTAACTTGACTTGATTCGAGATTCGACGCTGCTCCTAGATAACTAGTCGTGGCCATGAAAATAAATGAAATGTTACTCTATGATGACACGAGTTAATTATGATGAGTATCATACATCTCTGATGATAGTATACGTACCACCGTAGTACCGGATAGTATTATCAATTGTTAATAATTAATTGTGATGTTCCTATTCCAAATTTGTGTATTAAATTATTTTGCCCACCACAACTTTTTTTTTATTTTAAAAGATAATGCCACAAAATTTTCAGGAGAAATTATGAGTTCTCAAACTCAATGCAATATTCTACACAATGAACATCAAAACTTTTACATAGCAGTTGGCTGAGTTGCATGACATCAACATTTTGTTTTGTATTTTTTTGATAATTTTATTTTTATTTGAGGGTTATGTTACTATAGACTACTATTAGTAGGGATAACAGTACTTGTCCATGCACCGTTCTGCACATGTCCTAAAATGTCGAAAAAACATGTTCTGCAATATGGCGTACAACTATTAGGCCATAGATTATAGTAGATACTTTAATTTTTAAAAATTCAAAAATAGTTATTAAAATATAACAGTTATATAAAGCAAATTTAAAATTAAAAAAATGAAAGCAGAATCAACTTTCTAGCTTTAGATTTATACTTTAGTAATTTTTTAGCTATACTATGAATAGTATGAATATGTAAAGTGCGAGTTTGTTTGGTATTTGGACTGCACCTTCAGCCTTCACATTTTGTGACCCTATTTATTCTGCTGATTGTGTCAAATGCAATAACTCTTGTTTTAATAACAATTTTATACAAATTTTATTTTCATGATTAATCATTAATGCTTAGTATTGAAAAGTCTAATTTTAAAATTAATTTTAACAATAGTATTATAATTATGCAATTATAAATAAATTATAATTTATCCAGCCATGTAATATGCATTATTATTAATTACATTAAATACAATATGGATGTATTTTGAACTTATGCACATGACTAATTAATTTCAGCTTTCTAAGAGTTTATATGAGCAATGATTCAATGGTGTTTAGACATGGAACATTCATACGCTTATCAATGAAACTATGAGAATAGCACATGCAAGTGACTGTGAATGGTTGCTCATGAGATCTTTTTGCACACGGAAAATTATGATCATTTTTAATATGGAATCTACCACATTTTTAAATCTCAAATTAAAATAGTATTATTTAAATTACTGTTAAGTTCCTTCTAAAACACAAGTTATCAAATATTTTGAAGTAAATAGGGGTAATAATTTAATTTTCCTAAGTATCGGCATCTTCCGCCATTAAAAAGGGGGCATGGACGAAATTGGGCTGGTCGACCTTATGATAATGCAGGTTACTGGGACGAAGATAATGAACATTGGTTAATTTAATTGGCACACATATATAATGCTTTTCAGTATGTAATATGATAGGCATGTTCTTTTAATTTCTTAGATGCATAATATGTACCTATGATTCATGAATTTCCAAAATTAACGCTGAATGCAAAAAAAAAAAAGGCAAAACAGTATGTTTGAATGTAGGTCAAGATGTACCCTATTGTGAACATGTGGAAGAATAACACAATTTTGTGAAAAAGTAGTCCTTTCATTAATGAAAAATGACCAAGGTCCGAAAATTCAAAACTCGGATTCCTTTGTGCCAACTCCCATACAAATTTTAAAGTACTCTCCCTTGCTTTACCGAGGTGCCTAACTGTAGTATTAGTATTGTCGGTTTTATTTTAAAATAATACAGTTAGTACTAGTAATTAGTAATAAGAATAATCTAATATTTTAGCATCCTTAATTCAATAATGGAATAGAGTGTTGCCAAAGGCAGATAAGCTTAATTTATTTAGGTAAGTTTATGCTTGATGTTTCCCCTATTCTACCAAGGTGGCAGTCTTTGTTGCCAAAACGGCACATGTTCAGGGAAACCAAGATGGTGGACGTGTAAAAAAAAAAAATTAGTTAAAAAACAGGACCCTAAAATAGGGAGGGGAAAAAGAGAGAATGTGCTGTTTTAGCTACTTAACCAAGAAAAAAAGAAAATAGGAATAAAACATAACAATTAAATGGTCGCTCCCGTTCCTGGCGTAATTTCAGCCGATACATTAATTTTGTGGTGCAAGTAATAACTTAATTGTATCCCACTAGATATGCAGCAAGAAGTGTCAACGACTGGCGGTCACACCCTTCCCTTAACTAAAACACTTTAAAATAAGGAAAAACCAACTTACAGTTTCATAGAATAAACTTTTAACACCTTATTCCACATTCCACCATTTTGTGACGAATGTATCAACTTTATTGTATCCCAGTGGCGTAAATAGGGGGTGCGGATCGCATCCGGCTACACCATCTCGAATCTCGGGGAGGACACCAAACTGAAAATTGCATATTTACAGAGCACACACTGCCGGTCTAACCGAATTTCATAAAAGTAAAAGGATAACAGAACACATGTCACACATGTAGCCAAACCAAATGCGTGCTTTTTTAAAAGTTAACAAATCCGATGTTTTCAGGCGATTCTATGTACATGAATCAAATTGGTAAAAATTAAAAACATTGTTTTGCTGTGGACTTAATTAAACAAGACAAAATCCATCGTGGAAGTCACGGGGAGGGGGTGATACCCCGAGTTACCGCACCGGGTGACACCAACCCGATCTATGCCACTATTGTATTCCTCTAGAAATGCGCCAAGATGTGTCAACTTACACATGTGTACTATAAATTTAGCCTTGTTTTAAATCTCGTTTTAAATATTATAATTAACCACCCAATGAAATATTAATTTACAACTTTCCATCAGTTTATTCATATTAGTATTTAAAAAAAAAAAGGAAATGTTAACTCTAGTACAATCCAAGAATAATCAAAAGGGAACTCACTCATTCTGGTGCGAAACATCAAGCATACATTGTCATTTATTTATATTAAATTTGTTTTTTATTGTAATTGTGCCTGTAAGTGTAAGGCCTAGGGCTATATTTTTATAATTTAAAATGTAAGTGAAGATGTCTGTCGGTGCATTTTCACCAGGGCATCACCATCACTTGCTTCTCGTATGTTTCAGATATATATTTATTTATAAGATCCTCAATATTACTTTCTGCTCTTTTAATTTAATAGATTCTTCATTGATCTGTTTGGGTTTTTAATGATTTATAAAACTTGCTGGTCTCATAAATTTTGCATAAGCTTGAAAAGCTGTACAAAAAGCATAGCAAGCTGATGGCAATATAGATCACTGTCTCTTCTTACTGAAAACTTTAAATTACAACCAAAAGAATTTTAAATTTTGCCTATTATTACTCTTGAGATAGCTGAGAGATCGCCCAGAGTGTTATTGTGAAAAAGGTGAAAGGCAGATCTGTCGGCCCAGAGTGTTGTGGTGAAAAAGACAAATGGCCAATTGGTCGGCCCAAAAATAAAAGCCTTGAGATTGGGTGGCTGGTCTTTGTACCAGCTGATCAGATTGCTTCTCTCATTTCTTGCTCATCTCCCAATTTTAATGGTGGCTTCCATGGATATTATATTATAGTAGTGTTCAGTGACTTTATATCAGTTTTTATTTTGTTGTTGCAGCTAGTGCCCATCTAAATGCTTTAAAAATATGTGACCTTGAAATATGCTAATAAATCATTGGCAGCCTCAAGGGAATATTTTATGCAGTTTTTTTTTTTATATTGAATTGAATCTCATTCAAATATGGGATAGAACTTATTTAGGTTTCAATAATTATAAAATTTAACAAAATTCTGCAAGTTAGACTAATTTATTTTGCATGCATAAATTATTCAAATCAGGGTATGTCATTAGCTGAAATATTTAAATTTCAGTTTGATTCATAAAGATCATATTAGTTTGTACAATTCCCTACATAATATAGGCTTTATATTTGTAAAGTAATAAGTTTATTTTTTATAAAAAAAATTTTTGCAAAGCAAGTGCAGGACTTGTGAAAAGGGCTCTGTCTTTTGGCACAGACATTCCAAAAAGGCTCCATCTTAAGAGGGTTAAAATATTAAAAAATAGACTTACAGTTACCAATTTTCTATATTATACCCGTACCAAATTTCTCATCTTTGCCCATCACTTATGAAAGTACCAACTATACTTAATTATACCATACCATGGTGGTATGGTAGGTTGGGGGATATTAGTAATTTAGAATTATTAAAAATTAAATAGTTTTTTGTTAATCACCATATCTTCTGAAAGGAAAATTAAGCTTACTGGGTATTATATTATTTAGTTCTAGTCTTATAGAATATATTTTATTTATGTTATTCAGCATTATAGAAAAGGAAATATTGTTTTAAATTTCAAAAAAATTCACAAATTGAATTTTTCTTTCTAGGCAACTACTTTGGGAACATCTTAAATGACTACAAAACTGTGGGTCTTGAAACAGTTCAAGACATCAAGGACAGTTCTGTGAAAGCATCGGTGTACCTTACCGGATTTGTGGCTGCAGGAATCCTTATTAAATCCAACCCAACAGCTTCAGATCTTAATAACACTCTCATTGAAAGCGCACACGAACTCTCTTTAGTTGGATCAGCCATACGCAATAAGGACTCTGACTCTTTTGTTGACAGTTTGAGAAGTGCCCAGCGGGACGGACGTTTGCACCACACTAACCTGGGACTGGTTTCACTTGTCTGGCTCAGTGATCATAGAGACGAGTTAGACCTTTATGCAGCCCAGTGTAAATATACCCACCTTCCTTGGTATGAGTTTCACAAGCGAGTTGTTGATATTGGAGTTCTTGGAAAATTTGTAACATTATCTAGAAAAATGCAGAATTACGATGTCAGTACAGATGAATGGAAGGAATAATAAATACTTCAATTTTTTTTATATTAAACACACCTGTGTTGTGACCTAAATTTTTTATGTTTAAAAAAATATTTTTTATTAACAAAATGATTTTTTAATTACCGGTATTATTATAATGCAATGCACAGTGCATTTAATTCATATAGGTTGGAGAGGGACAAGCTGTAATTGCCAATATGATTATTGGTGCTACCCCATTCTGGAAATATACACATATTTTTTTTATCAATTCCATTTATTTCATTTTATAATTAAATATCTTTTGGAAGTGAAAGTGGAAAGCATGTATACCGGTACCAAATAATTTTAAGATTCTACTGACAGTGACAGACCACAATACATTGGTTTTAATACCTTAGATAACAATCAATACAACAGCTAACAATAAATAACTCTGCAATAACAGGTTATGACAAATTTACTGAATTACAGGTTGGGACAAATTTACTAAACGAACAATTCAGGTTCATGATGACTCTATATTACACTTTATACAAATTGCATTTGACATTGTTATCTAAATAATTTTTCATTGCAAATGCAACATAAATCATGTGGCAATGTTCAATAACTTGTAGCACATACACCGTCTTACATTCAGAATCAGTGTTAGATGTGAGGGCTAACATACAGGTGTGAAATGTGAGGGCTAACATACAGGTGTGAAATTTGAGGGCTAACATACAGGTGTGAGATGTGAGCGCTAACATACAGGTGTGAGATGTGAGGGCCAACATACAGGTGTGAAATGTGAGGGCTAACATACAGGTGTGAGATGTGAGGGCTAACACACAGGTGAGATTTGAGGGCCAACATACAGGTGTGAGATGTGAAGGCTCACTTACAGGTGTAAGATGTGAGGGCCAACATACAGATGTGAGATGTGAGGGCTAATACTAATATACACGTGTGAGATGTGAAGGCTCACTTACATGTGTGAGACGTGAGGGCCAACATACAGATGTGAGGGCCAACATACAGGTGTGAGATGTGAAGGCTCACTTACAGGTGTGAGATGTGAAGGCTCACTGACAGGTGTGAGACGTGAGGGCCAACATACAGGTGTGAAATGTGACGGCCAACACACAGGTTTGAGATGTGAGGGCTAACATACAGGTGTGAGATGTAAAGGCCAACATACAGGTGTGAGATGTGAGGGCGAACACACAGGTTTGAGATGTGAGGCTAACATACAGGTGTGAGATGTGAGGGCTAACATACAGGTGTGAGATGTGAGGGCTAACATACAGGTGTGAGATGTGAGGGCCAATATACAGATTGAGATGTGAGGGCTAACATACAGGCGTGAGATGTGACGGCTAACTTACAGTTGTGAGATTTGAGGGCCAACATACAGGTGTGAGATGTGAAGGCTCACTTACAGGTGTGAGATGTGAGCGCCAACATACAGGTGTGAGATGTGAAGGCTCACTTACAGGTGTGAGATGTGAGCGCCAACATACAGGTGTGAGATGTGAGGGCCAACATGCAGGTGTGAGATCTGAAGGCTCACTTACAGGTGTGAGATGTGAGGGCCAACATACAGGTATGAGATGTGACGGCCAACACACAGGTTTGAGATATGAGGGCTAACATACAGGTGTGAGATGTGAAGGCCAACATACAGGTATGAGATGTGACGGCCAACACACAGGTTTGAGATGTGAGGACTAACATACAGGTGTGAGAAGTGAGGGCCAAAACACAGGTTTGAGATGTGAGGCTAACATACAGGTGTGAGATGTGAGGGCTAACATAGATGTGAGGGCTACCATACAGGCGTGAGATGTGACGGCTAACTTACAGGTGTGAGATGTGAAGGCTCACTTACAGGTGTGAGATGTGAGGGCCAACATACAGGTGTGAGATGTGAGGGCCAACATACAGGTGTGAGATGTGAGGGCCAACATACAGGTGTGAGATGTGAGGGCGAACACACAGGTTTGAGATGTGAGGCTAACATACAGGTGTGAGATGTGAGGGCTAACATACTGATGCGAGATGTGAGGGCTAACATACAGGTGTGAGATGTGAGGGCCAATATACAGATTGAGATGTGAGGGCAAACATACAGGTGTGAGATGTGACGGCTCACTTACAGGTGTGAGATGTGAGAGCCAACATGCAGGTGTGAGATGTGAAGGCTCACTTACAGGTGTGAGATGTGACGGCCAACATACAGGTGTGAGATGTGAGGGCTACCATACAGGCGTGAGATGTGAAGGCTAACATACAGGTGTGAGATGTGAGGGCCAACATGCAGGTGTGAGATGTGAAGGCTCACTTACAGGTGTGAGATGTGAGGGCCAACATACAGGTGTGAGATGTGAAGGCTAACTTACAGGTGTGAGATGTGACGGCCAACACACAGGTTTGAGATGTGAGGGCTAACATACAGGTGTGAGATGTGAAGGCCAACATACAGGTGTGAGATGCGAGGGCCAACACACAGGTTTGAGATGTGAGGCTAACATACAGGTGTGAGATGAGAGGGCTTGCATACAGGTCTAGAAATTACTACTGTATTGTTGTCCATGTGTGGTGTCTATTATAAGATGCACCCTGGGCCGGCCCTACTGTTGTTGGCGCGCCGGGCAAGCTTAACTTTGGCACCCCTTTCAAGTACAATCATAAAAGTTTGTGCAGGAAAAAAACTATGCATTAGTAATGAGTTTATTACCTAGGTTGATTTTAAAACAAAGAATGAACAATAAAATAATTTTCTTAACTTGTATCTAGACAGTATGAACTAGTTGCCTACCGTGGACAGTATGAACAATTAGCTACCGATTAATTTTTTTCCCTAGCCTTTAGATCAGAAAATCTTTTTATTGCACTTTCTATTTTTCTTTCTTGGCGCCCAGTTTATGGTGCCCTCTGCACATGGCGGCCCGAGTTGCCGGCCCTGGATGCACCCATAACAGGACAGTTACCGGTATACGGTACTACAATTTTATAAAGTATAACAACAGTTTGATCATTGTTGTATCAATCAATCGCTGTGTCTTTTTAAGACAAAATGCGCATTGCAGAATGTCTAATCGTTTAATACAACTTTTAATGACACATGCTTCATTCCCTATATCAGAATTTCGCACAAGGCAGGATAATTACTACATATATATTACGTATTCGCATGTAAGCACATTGCAGTATGCGTAACCATGACGAAATAACGGTTTGTGTTACTCACTTTAACACTGATATCTAATTCCATTTAAGAATATTAGTGGACGGCTGTATGTTCAACCATCAAAATATCATGGTTACAAGTCAAACAGACGGAGCTAACGCTCACTGCCTAATATAAGTAAGGGGTCGTTCGCAAATTACGTCACGCTCGTTTGTCAAAAATTTGTGACGTCACATTTTGTTGTTTAAATCTAAAAATTTTATAATTTTGAAAAATCTTTATTCAATTAAATTTAAAAACATTAATATGAGATAGAAATAACACCAGGTAGTATAGTAACGTGAAACTCAGTCGCTCACACCTTCTGGACATATCGAAAAATGACGCAAAGACTGTTGTGGCCATTTTACATTCGGCTTGGGGAGAACTTCGTTGTTTTGCGTCACAGTTTTCAAATAATACTAGGCCTACATCTTAATACATTATGGGAGAATGTAAAGAATAAAATAAAATTGTAGCTTAGTTCGAATAGCGGCTATCCGGGTCCCTTTAGACCAGGGGTCTCAAACTCGCGGCCCGCGGGGCATTTGCGGCCGACAAGACGATATTTTGCGGCCGGCGACACGACAGCAAAGTTTAGTGTTAATGCGGCCCGCACGTTTTCCCATCCTCATATCTATAATGTAACCACCCGTGACGGTTTCAGTTGAATCCAACGACTAGTCTAATTCTGATTTTTATTATGATTTTATAGATTTGGACGTTGATTATAATGTCAAAAACCGTTTTAAAATAGGACTAAATTTTTAATTATTTTTTTTTTAATTTGTAGCATTTTATGCGACAAACAAGGCCAAAGGGCAGTTATGAGAAAACACGCTTCGAATATTATTTATTTATTTATTTATTTAGGCATTTTTATATAGCGCTTATCATAAAGCTCTAAGCGCTTTACAGTTATTAAAACATGTAAACTAAGTAAATACAAATGAGACACTAGGATAGTAACTACTATTCTATAGAAACAATGAAAATGGCTATAAAA